ACGCCTTTTCGCAAAGCTTTCTAATATATCAAAACACCATAGCTGGTCATTGGACTTCATAGGCCCTGGCCGAAGCGTTGCCATTGCCAGTGCCAGTGGGCAGATGTGCACAAAACTAACGGAAAGCACTTCTCCGTCATACTAGCCCTATCAAAGCTAGGAAACCAGCACTGGGCACATTCTCTCGTCGATGCTGAATTCATGCAGTTGCAATGACAGGCAGAACACGATATGTTTGTTGCCAACACGGCTGCTTCTGAGCTCGAATCTGGCACTGTAGGGAAGTGACGAGAGGTCTGTTGTTGGATCACTTCCTGCTAACATAGACTGGTGAATACGTGGCAAAGGGGCGCCGGCAATGCCCCGGTAGTGCCACGGCAACTCTGCGGAGCCGTAGCGTTGTACTATCCTGGCTCTGGCAACTAGCTACTAGCAACGAGCATTTTACAACCTCTACCACCAGAACAATAAGGTAGAACGGATGTCATATCGTTTATCTCTGCAGCAATTTTTTCAATGCAGAGCTGCATCAATACATGAACGTTGGCATTCGTCACATGGCCCTCAATCGCTGTCCTAGACTAGAAGGCAAAGCTCATTTCGAGAGTACTACTTCATCTATCGTTGGTGTGCCAGCCAGCCAGCCTCCACTTTTCACGAAACCTAATAACTCACCCCCCCCCCCCCTTTCTTCCCTGAATTTCCATGCACGCATTTCCATCTCCATCTTCCACCGTGGTTTTTCTTTTGGCCTTTCATATCCACCGGCCAAGATGCCTCCAATCCGGACAGAAAAATCTTCCGCAGCGAAGAAGTCTAGCTTTCTTGCAGCCTTCTTTGTAAAGGTAGACAGGAACGAAGCTCTAGCCCGCGCTATCAAAGTCCAGCCAAAGGCACCAAAGACGCCAGAAGCACCTCAACATGCAGAACCCTCGCCAACCTCACATCGGCCACACCGCCGGCCTCTTCAATGGTCGCAACGCCGACGGACTCGAAGAGCCTACCTGAGGAAGGAGACGGAGTCATCGACTTGGTAACGACGGACAAAGTGGTCTTGCCTGTCATAGTGCCTCAGAGAGTCGCTACTCCCTCTGAGCCCCAGCCGTCGAACTCAATAGCATCATCGACCCAGCCGTTGAGACGTCTCAGGCGCCCAGATACTGAGAAGGGTACTAAGAATATTCTTTTCCAAAGCAATCGGGATTGGGGAACGGATCATCTGTACAAACTGGGCTCATCGACAAGACAAATTGTTTTCGGAACCGAAACGCAATTGACACCGTAAGTTAATGTCTCAAGACGCATAGCCCATTCACCCTCGGCCAGATCGGTGATAGAAGAAGTCGAATTTGCTTTCACACTCACCGCACTGCTTGACTCAATAGCATTGCATCGGCTTACCATTCTCCGCAGCGAAATCATCGACGAGCTCATCTCTTTTACCAAAGTTTGTCGTAGCCTGTGGTCCATTGAATTCCTACACTTGGACGATGGCTATCATCCCAATAACCACGCCCGAGACTTGACGGACGACATTATTGTGAGGCTGGCGGCAGCGTGCCCTAATCTTCGTTCTGTCAAATTGCGGGCTGCCACCCAATTGGGCCACAGATCCTTGATTGCATTCTGTCAATATTGTCCGGGATTGAAGCACTTGCAGATAACCGGCGAAGCTGCCAATCAGACATACTTAGTGCACGAAGAATTCTTTGATGAGGTGGCAAGACAGCCTAGCTGGGCTCCTCAGCTCAAGAAGGTTGTGCTCTACGCTCATCGTGACTCTTATCAGGATCGGCTTCACGAACCTTACCTAAAGCACGTACGTGCATTATCCAGGGCGAGACCAAAAATGGTCATAGAGTTCCATGAAATTTTGTTGGACAGGAAGCCGAGATGGACGGATCCAAGGTCTTATCTGAATACGGTCGTCAAGACTGGGTACGTGAAGGGGAGAAAGAGTTATGAGAAATACAGTGAATACACTCCCGACATGTGATGTCCTCGGCACGCCGCTGGTCATAACATGCATTGCAGAAAATCTTCTATCAACCTGTTCTCTAGATCTAACGGTGATTACATGTAAGCTCAATATAGTTTTGAGATAATTGACGTGACAGCGTTGATGCACTCAAGACTTTTGGTCATTGGTGCGGCTATGTCTTTGCTACATGTACCCCCGAAGTCTAGGGTGGGAAGCGAGCAGATATTTCCGACGCTCTTATAGCGCTTTGCGAATGATTATGCTATTCCATCGAGTGCGGAATGGCGTCAGTACATTGACCCTTGCGGTAGTAACCAGTCATCTACTTTATTATTCCATGATAATCCGTTTTAATGCCGTGTTGTTGCCTATCAATGTACTTCATCGAAAAGTTCAATAAGGGATCAGCGTTAGAGAAGACTGGAGTTGCATGTACTGAGGCCATGCCGTAGTTGACGGGATAGCCAGTGAATCCGATCAAAACATCTCATCTTTTACAATGATGCTTGTCTAAACGTCTAACTCCTTGCGACCTGATTTGGGTACAAGTACGGTTGCTTTTGCCAGCGAGACACTTGAGCCCCTGAACGGGAGTTGGGTATTCCTCTAACAAAACGACTAACCACTCTTATCAATCAAGTATTGTCTGTACGCCTTCCACACTGCCAACACGATTCGAGTCACTAGGTCCGGACAGATGGGGATGGTGGCACATCTCAACAACTCATGAGCAGAGTTTGAAGAGAGACTTTATTACTCAACGCCATACGGCAGATTTCACAGTGATAATGATGTTGACCATACGTCTGAGCCGAAGGCATCTGATTACGAGTCCCATTGGAGGACGATTCTCTATCTTGGCTCGAATTACGGATGGCGAGCAAAGGTGAATAGACCCTCTGGATTCTTGCATTGGAATGCCGCTTCTCGCTCCAATTATGATTATCCAAGGCTCAATACTTTCCAAGAAGCATCAAAAGACTCTTCCGCAGAAAGGTGGCGGCCCTCCATGAGCGCCGGTCTCCCTAATTTTATAAACGGCGGAACAATCAGAATCCTGCGTTGGTATCCGAATTAAGAATTGAGTATAGTCACTCGAGAATGGCAGAGAACGATGAGTGTGTTTCTTCTTGGCGAGTTATTCAAAGTAAATGACCACTGTTGATGCAAGTGTTGTATCGAGGCATAACAGCCAAAAGGGCATCCGCTATATTCTGTCAGGAGATACCTTAGTCCTTGATCTAGGCACTTTGCCATACCTCCGACACGCGCAATGAGCCCTCAATTCAAGACATGAACCACCCGTTAGTCCTTGTACGGATATGTTGTTTGTTTGTCCTTGCTGCAACTATAGGAATAATCGCCCTCAATCAAGGTGAAATAGGTATCACAGTGAAGTGGCGAACCGAAGTCGAGTACCGTTGATAGCCATGATTGGGTACCTCAACCGATGTTGATAGGCGATGGGTTGGGTTGACTTTGAGCTTGGACACCAGCAATTAGAAATGAGACAGGCCACGCCACTCCTGGTAGGGATGACCGCATGAAACGAAGGAGCCGCCGCCAAAGGGCCTAGCAAGTCAACAAGTCCACATAAGCATCTGACAACCGAAAGTATGGGACGAAGTTAGCCCTGGAAAGAACAGTGCATGTTTTGGATAACCTTATGGGCTACAGCAATATGCGGACCGCTCCAGGCCGCCTTTTGGCTCATGAGAACAAGGTGGTGCGGTAGTTAAAAAGACAAAAGTGACGACGGTTAGACGTCAAGTGTGGCAGAAGATGGGAAGGTGTAGCTTAGTTAATCTTGATCCAAGTAGCAGATCCTCTCTGATCCATGGAGCAGTTTCATCGTATTGACAACTCACACACTCATCATATCTCTCCGCTGGTGATGAGTCCACGACGTAACCACACCTTGGAGCCACAGCTGAGCCACAAATGGCGAAACACAAGCGGCCGCAATGACCTCTGGAGCCCTCGCCATTTCACCGGCGCTTCATGTCCGCTTTAACCACATAGCTCCTGCCACATCAGCCCTATCGCGACGAACGCGGGATCCGCGTGCCATGCCGAACGTGCTTAATAAAGTGCTTTAAATTGGGGCCAAACAGGGAGGATTTGGGCTTTGATAATGATCCACCGGGAGTAAGCCGGTCAAGAGAACAACGAAATTTTGGAAGCCATGCAGAGAGCGCCACAATGACGTCGAAATGCAACGAATACACACGCACAACGAATGGAGAACAGCGGGACAGAGGAGCCAATGCACAAGGGCAAATAAGAGAGAGGCGTAAAACGCGATGCAACGGCGGATGTTGTTGCAAGGCGGTAGAGTCTAGACAAGGGCAGGACCTTTACAGTTACACACGCCCACCGGAGGACAAGTTCTTTATCGAACAATCAGGTGGCCCCGGAGGTGACTCAGCGCGTAAGCCAGGGGTCAAGTCCGTCCGCTGTGTCCGCTGCCCGCGGATTTTCCCTTCCCTCTCCCTCTATCTTAATGTGCTCGGAGCTTTCCAAGGTGATGCTTTTTCCGGCCCGTTGTATTATTAGCTGATGATGGGCTGGCTGCTAGCCCCAGCGCTGGAGCTCCCGTCCTTTTTGAGTGGTCTGGTGATTGTTGACCCCAGTCGGAATCATCGGACATACCTCCGTCCATCCCGAGCAGCGTCACGAGAGATTAGAAAGCAATCCGGTTTGCGGCTCCGTCAGATCTTTCTCCGTTCTTTGACTGGGTGGTTTGCCATTTGGTCATCGATGATTGATCGAATGCCAAATAGACGAGTAAAGAAAATGAGAGTACCGTGTATAAAGGACTTTGGCTCGCCCATCACCTGTCCCCTTTCGCTTCTCCATCATTTCTTGGATGCACACTGTGATACCCAGCTTGCTTGCTTTCCTGCCTCTCCTAATTTCCTCTCTCTTGTCGGTTGTCTAACTTCTCACTTGCGGATTTCAACCACAAGCCCCCCGAAGCCCCTACAGACGCACGTCATCTGTCATCCCACCAGCAGTCATGTCAGCAGCGGCAGCGATTGCGCAACCGCCATCGGCGACAACAATATCTCACGTCGGTGATACGAGTCCCCGTCCCAGTGAGACCTCAGATGACGTCTCAACATTGAAGCCCGTCGCTCAGGCATCGTGGAAGAAGAAGCATGGTCTGCATCTTGGCCGCAGCAATAGTGACCACAACGACAGCGCAAAACATGAAATCAACCGCACAGCATCGCCCAAGCGGTCCAAGACGTTCTGGAAGTCCTTCAAGTACCTCCTCGACTTGACGCCAAAACAAGTTGACGATTTTATGGCATCTTATGTCATTTACAGCCTTGACTGGGCAGATGAGGAGCAAATGGTCAAAACGCTCGGCCCGGATTACAAGACCAAAGTCGGCGACTGCTTGCAAGCTTACTATGGAGTCCTGAATCATCTCTGCGCGCTGGGCGACGTGGAGAAGATGTACATCCCGCCCCTGATGGACAAGAAATCATCCGTTCTCGATAACCAGATGCTGTACGAGGAGTCCATCGCCCAGGATATTGGTCTCAAACCGGGAGACAGGGTCCTCGATCTCGGATGCGGTCGCGGAAGAGTCGCGGCCCACATGGCGGCCGTCACCGGCGCCGTGGTCACCGGTCTCAACATCGACCCGAACCAGGTCGTCCAGGCTAGGGAGTTCACCGAGCAGATGGGTTTGCAAAATAGCTTCACGATTCAGGACATGAACGAGCTGCCGCTGCCCTTTGAGGACAACTCCTTTGATGCATTCTACCAGATACAAGCACTCAGCCTGTGCAAAGACCTCCCGAAACTTTTCAGCGAGCTGCGCCGCGTCCTCAAGCCTGGCGCCAAGATTTCGCTGCTGGATTGGGTTAGCCTACCGGCGTACGATGCGACGAACCCGGAGCACGCGGAGTTGATGCGACGGACAAAGCCGCTGATCGGAGCTGTGGGAACACCGACGCCCGAAACTTTTGCAAAGGCCTTGACAGACGCCGGTTTCGCGATTTTGAAGTCCGACAACGCGAGTATTGATGGATTACAGGCGCCACTCATCGACAAGGCCGACGTCTACTTCCGCAGCCTGCGACAGGTTATTCTTGGTCTGGTCAAGGTTCACCTGTTGCCGCCCCACTTCAAGACGCTCATCAACCGGCTTTGTCTGGATGGGCAGGCCTTTGTCAAGATGGATACCATGCGGTTGGTAACAACAAGTTATAGGATCATTGCGCAGAAGCAATGATTGTTTTTGTATTGCTTGGGGAGTCTGGATGGTTGTTCAAATGGCATGGCGTTGATTTCAGTGCTAGGTTGCTTTGAAAGCGTGGCCTAGGGTGGGTGCACGCTCTCGATGGTCGTTTAGAATACGGAACATACGTCCTTTCGAAACCTAGGCCGTGGATTCATAATAGACCATAAATGGTGAGATATCATAATGAAACTATGACTCATGATGCATTGACTGAGATCACAACATTGAACGGTCATGAAAAACAATTTGAATGGACACTCCATACATGCAGTGTTCCTGAGTGGCGATAAAACTTAAACAACACACCCATGATCAATGAGTTGATAGAAGCGAAAGCTTCGTCAAAATGTGCGCATGGCTGCGTCACCAACATAGCACGATGTGAAGGAACCTAAGAGCTAGACTAACGGGAAGGATGTTACAGTGACTACTGGCTTGGCTCGCTAACACATCGCGTAACACAGCCCCAAACGCATAAGCCGGCCGGAATCAACCCTGACCATTCTGCCTTTGAAGTTCACAATGCCAGACCCCTTTTGGGCTGTCTAGGTACCACTTTACTCATAGATCCCGGATTTAACTTAATGATCGACTCCGTACGTTTCAGTATCAGAAGCTCCAGAGCTAGCAAAGTATCTATGATTAAAGCATAGCCTGGTATTTGATGTTGCCTTCTTTTATAGATCGTGACTTTATCATGTTAGTGTAGCAGACTTTTCTATGACAAGCCCCGGAATCTAGATGTTAGACAAGCTAGCGCCGAGCTAACCAACATCTGCATCAAATTGCTGATCTCGTTCACGAGCCAACCTGACACCCGACCCCAATGTTTGCATTTCATCTACGTTTGGTAGAACGCAAGCATACCTGAAGGCTTTCCTCCACAACTTTCGGTTGGAAGTCAAAAGTCTAATCTTTACCGCCTCATCTTTGGAGGTTCACATTCGAGAGAGTCACGAGATATCAAAGCCAGGTGATACGATATCGACTCGCTTTACCGATTGGAGACGCTTGGTGTTGCCCCGCGGAGAAAAGCCCGGGGATTTCAGCGTGTGGCGGTGTCCTCCCGGGTTCCTGCCGGTACCCGGGACGAGGACTATAACCTCGAACACAACAGACCACCTCCTTTGGGCCGGAATCACTACAAATGTATCCGCGGTGCCTTGTGCCAGATACACAGATTCGGCTGGGTGCTTTGATGCTCTTCATCGAGGTCACATGTCACCTAGAAGTAGTGGTAAATGCCACGATAGTTGCTCAAAGTCCACTGTTCCACTTTACGGGCGCCTAAGAATAGTCATTCTAGACCCAAAGAGATAAGCGAGACAAGGCATTGGATTACTTCCAACTCGTCGCTTTGAGACGCTCAAAATTGCACGGCGTCAGACAAACGTGGAATCGTGAGAAACGGTTGCCTGATACCACGATGACCATGCTGCTTTGGCATAATGTCCGCAACACTGCCAGCCATTACGTTGTCGAATTACAATTTAGCGTGTCTCAGTTCTCGGTGGTTTCGGACTTATTCATTGTACGATGTATGACTATTTCGTTAGAAACTCGCTCTTTCACGCTTCGTACAGACTTTAGGCAATAGCATTGTTTTGGTGGAATTTCGCCTTAAGGTCTATTGCCTGAAGCTCGTTTAATCTCATGGTAAATGACGCGTAAGCTTACAGTCCCATAACTCTGGAACTCGGGAAAGAACCTTGGAGCTGGAACTGTATCTGTATAATCATCCAGTCGGGCTCCAGGCATGAGCTGTGACGGCCCGGCTCGAGAATCCCGAGCGTCCATCAGTTCCGGACCTGGCACTGACTCGGTGATCTGAATAATCCAGGTTGCGAGAGATGGGTTCCCACATTTCGGATTGAAATCATGGTATGCAGCACCATGCCGTGCCTCCTGATGTGGCTGTGCGTTAGCCATCCTAGATCAGCTGAACACCGTTTATTTGCTTCTATGTCGTTTCGATATCATCAGATTTCGTCTCATCGGAGTTGCGCGTGCGATCTCGAGTTTGACCGGAAGATGAGATGTCTTGAGATGGAGACAAAGGCCTTGTTTGCGGTTACACTGCAACGACACGGATCGAAAGGCATGCATCCCTATTGGATTCTCTTTCGATGGTGGGACGAGCTTTGTAGAGGCAAAAGATAATATCGTGCTTGAAAGTTTTCATTCTTGCCACCTCGAGGAACTTTGCTATCGTGTCCAGCGTTTTGGTAGTATCACAGGTCATCAGGGACGATGTCTCCTGAGCACACGATGATTGACGATACTCGGTGATATTGAAGCGTTGCTGAGGGTTTTGAGACTATACGGCCAAAGATAAAAGGGGCAGTGACAAGACCAATTTTCTCACGACCTCTGCCCTTCCACCTCTCAGTCATACAGATTCATCACAGTCGCCAGATAATTATTCTCAAGTTCTTCTTTATCCAAAGGCTTTCGTTCTCGCTTTTAGGCATCACGCTTCCCATTACGCCCCTTCCTCGTCAAACAGGATCTTGACCTCGCCCACAATGCTGACCCTTCTGAGCCTCCTCTGGGCGCTCACCGTTGTACTCGGCGTCGCCCAGGCCTCCCCAACGAACGTCGTCGACGTCGATCTCCCCGAGGCCGCAAAGCCCGCAGCTCCGACGAAGACTTTCATCCTCACTCAGGAGGACGTCGACGCCTACTACGAGGAGACCGGCATGACTGATGTAATGGGAATAAACGGAATGGATGAGGTCTCGCTCTCAGACTTGGATGACCCTCCCGTCTATAACATCACCTGCCCCGACAAATGGCAAGTCTACTATTATAATTGGTGGCCGTAAGACTCCCTGTCTCCTGATCATAATGCTGAATGAGCATACTAAAGCAAACACGTCGCAGTTTACTCAACGCGATGTGCGGCACAGTAGCCAAGATGGGAGGAGCTTGGACGGACGGGCCATGGACTGGCGTCTTCGGTGGTAATCAGGCAAAGATAGACAGAGCTAGAAAAGTCACCTTCGACTGGGCGCAGACGGGTGAGAATTGTCAAGGAAGCTGCGTACAAGTCTTCAGCACTTTACGCAATGCGGGTCCGTGTAAGTGAATTTGTCCCCTAATCAGCTTACTTTGGGTCTTACTACAGCTCCATACGAACAACTAGACGAGCAAAAATACTGACGGTATTTACATAGGTCGCGGCGATGAGTTCTGGATGAAGGAAAAGATCAGCATGGATTACGAGGGCTGCGGAATAGCCAAATTCGAGTATCAGTACCAGCAACAAGCGATACTGGAGAACGGAAGAGGAGAATGTTGGAATACCAAAGACTACCGGCCGACATACCTGCCCGTGAAAGCGATTGTCAAGGATTTCTGCGAACAATCCATCAAGGTGATCCGACAGCAAGGAGCCGATCAGTTCATCAAGGATGTTTCACGGGGCAAGGACGGACTCTATTTCACGAGTTATAACCGCCAGGTCGACGATGCTTTGAACAGGACCAGGCTGTACGATGTCGGCATGATTCACTTCTGGATCAAGCCGAGGAACAATACCATTGCTTGTCCTGCGGGCAAGACCGTTCAAGACATCATTGAGGATAAAGTGGACGGACTCAACGAGGCGCTGTGCCAGCAGCGTATCTTGTCTATTGAGAACATGGACTGTAAGTACCCACTGCGCGCGCGACAGTGAAGACTGAACATTGGCTGATTCTGAGATATACCATAGGTGGAGCTCCTTTGGGCAAAAGCGATGGCGGACGCTTGTTTGCAGACTGTTTCGAATGGGGAGTCGAAGCATCTGGTTACAATGGGATCGACATTCTTGGGTAAGCTGTCGGGAAGGGACTGTACTCGCTTATCTTGTACGGGTTCACGTTCATTGGCAGTGTGAGGGCTGGCTGGACTAGCCGTTGTAATGGTTTGGGGAGGATATCTCCGCGATTTCGCAGCCATAGCAATCTTCGATTGAGAATGCCGGCCATATGCTACATCTCTTTTCTCATTTTGACGAAATTGGATCACGTTGCATGCTCGGATTGATATTGTCGAGACGATGACTGCTGTTCCCATTCTGCTGTTATTCGTGCTGTTGTGAGCGAAGGTCGCGCGCTCGGCCGAATGAAGTCGCATCATCGCAGATACGGCCAGGGAGGTCTAAGACCGACTTGGCGGTATCACAAAATGAGTGGAGAGGTGGGCTGGCGGGGATTTCTCCGGCAAGAATGGGCAGGCGCGGCTCTTTGAAGATGTGAGATAGCCGACATTGACCGAAAGCGCCCGTATGAGAACTAAATGAGATGAAGCCCCAAATGAATCCATGAGGCTTCATATGAGCACTCAATGAGAAGTCAAAGTGAGTTTGATAGCATAGATGAGGATGAGCCAGTAACAACCGGATACAGACACGTGACGTTATGGGGATGCTGTGAGCCCAGATCCGAGGCTCAACCGAGAAGAAAGAGAATATAGGCGCTAAGACCGAAAAGAGCAAGGTGCCCCACGTTTGGTTCCTTCCCTTCCCGAGTGACAGAACTGCTGCACTGGCACGACTGGCTGAACATTGAAGCAGGCGCGGGCACTGCGCAGTCTCTCTTTCCCGCGGATGTCGTCCTCCATTCTTCCGACCGCCCGGAAAAGAATTAAGCGGGTCTGATTGTTCCTTCCAGCCATTCAGACGGCTGGAAACAGCAGAGAACTGGAGACCAGCCACTTACGGAATCCCCATGGTGCCCCACCTGCGCAGGCGTTGGTGAGAAAGAACGGAAAGCACGAAGGCCAGCCGAGAAAGAGCAGGAGCAAAAAAAAAAAAAAGCCTGCCTCAGTGCCACCTTCGGTCTGTACTTTGACCGTGTACCGTTCCCAGTTACCGTCCCGTCTGTCGCCGTGGTACCTTGCTCTTGCGGCATTTGACAGCCAGCAACTCTGCCTTTCTCGAATTCCACTCTTTTTCTTGAATTCTTCCACTCCCCAACTCCTCCGATCCCGAACAACATCTATTGCTCCGCGAATACCCTCACGAGGCACCAACGACCGTCACGATGCTTTCCCGAGGATCCGCCCGCACTGCGCAGGTACGTTGCCTCTTTTCCAACTCTCAATTGAGTCCCTTTTCTGCTGTGCAAGCCGCGACGTGGTTTTTCTTTTCTCGGTGTGTGTCTGTGCATCGTGATCGCAGAGGCAAGGCTGCGATGTAAGAGGGGGAGAAACAACAACAAACACCAAATTGCGACCCAGTCGATAACGCAGAGAACACGACGACGTCAGCCAGGATGGGAGACTAGGAAAGGAATACACGAGAAGCAGACATAGCCACAAGCACACAAAGCACACGGCCATCAGACAATGGCCACACATGGAGCCAGATATGCCACGATAACCCACGGACAAATGGCTAACAATCCTCCCCCACGCAGATTCTGCGCACCGCGCAGCCCGCGCGCGCCTACGCCACGGTCGGCTCTGACATCTTCAAGCCTACCAAGTTTGGCGGCAAGTACACGGTCACGTTGATCCCTGGTGACGGTATCGGTGCCGAGGTCGCCGAGAGCGTCAAGACCATCTTCAAGGCCGACAACGTCCCCATTGAGTGGGAGCAGGTCGAGGTCTCTGGTCTCAACACCACTACCCCCGAGAAGACTGAGGACCTCTTCCGCGAGTCCGTCGCCTCTCTCCGCCGCAACAAGCTCGGCCTCAAGGGTATCCTGCACACTCCCATTGAGCGCTCCGGCCACCAGTCCTTCAACGTCGCCATGCGCCAGGAGCTCGACATCTACGCCTCCATCTCCCTCATCAAGAACATCCCCGGCTACCAGACCCGCCACGAGGGTGTCGATCTCGCCATCATCCGTGAGAACACCGAGGGTGAGTACTCTGGCCTGGAGCACCAGTCTGTCCCCGGTGTCGTCGAGTCCCTTAAGATCATCACCCGCGCCAAGTCTGAGCGCATCGCCAAGTTCGCCTTCAACTTCGCTCTGGCCAACAACCGTAAGAAGGTCACCTGCATTCACAAGGCCAACATCATGAAGTTGGCTGACGGTCTCTTCCGTTCCACCTTCCACCGTGTCGCCAACGACTACCCCACCCTCGAGGTCAACGACATGATTGTCGACAACGCCTCCATGCAGGCTGTTAGCAAGCCCCAGCAGTTCGACGTCATGGTCATGCCTAACCTTTACGGTGGCATTCTGTCCAACATTGGCGCTGCCCTCGTCGGTGGTGCTGGTATCGTCCCCGGCTGCAACATGGGCCGTGATGTTGCTGTCTTCGAGCCCGGTTGCCGTCACGTCGGTCTCGACATCAAGGGCAAGGACCAGGCCAACCCCACTGCCCTGATCCTGTCCGGTGCCATGCTTCTCCGTCACCTTGGCCTCGACGACCACGCCAACCGCATCTCCCAGGCCATCTACGGCGTCATTGCCGAGGGGTAAGTTCTTTCGTATCTCCTAGGACTGTAATGAGAATAGCTGCTAACAACCCAACAGCCAGGTCCGCACCCGTGACATGGGCGGTGAGGCCACCACCCACCAGTTCACCAAGGCCATCCTCGACAAGATGGACACCTTGTAAATACAGCTACAGACACACAAACCACCATCCCTGTAGCTATACGATAAGCCAACCACAGCGGGCGGCTTCCCACCTTCCTCAAAACGACCCCCTATTTACCTACCTTTTTCCCCCGACAACGCGATTAGACTCGAAATGAGGCGAGACTGGGACGGAGATAGATACCACCGACGCGGTCGAATTGCATAAACAAGCGGAGGAAATAGATTTCTGTTTTGGACACTGGGAGGAAGGCTCGGTCTTGCTGGGAGATTGTAGTTGTACCAGTTGTACGTAGCATAGGAGTCACGCAAAGCATATGAGTTCCTTTTTCGTTGTTTGAACAATACCTTACCCAGAACCGCTCGCCCCATGTGCTCTCTTTTATATGTTCCAGGTGACAATTGCCCCGGATTCTAAACTTAGTCCATTATCTGTTGATGACGAATACCCACGCTGCCATTCGACGACGCGTGTCCCCTCAAACCAGTTTCGCATGGTCATCAGGTATCTACTATCACCGACGTTTCTCGGAGTACATATAGCCCTGCGCCGAACGAAACACCATCATTTTCGTGAAGTTCTCAGCCTCGCCTCATGCGTGGGGCATTTGCACGCTGCATCAACGAATCAGCAGCCCTGCTGGCTGCACGTCCTCGGAGGTGAGTTTGTCTTCGGCTCGGAGGGCTGGCGGCGTGCTGACTCGGATAACATCGGCAATCCGAGGTGGTGCTCGGCGGCCGATTTCTCGGCCGTTTGGTTGGTGGGCTATTCGGATTTGCCGAGGTTAACCCTTTTGGATGGTGCTTTCTTCAGTCTTGAAGATGAGTGAAGAATGCGGGTCTAGTTGGGGTAAGAGACAACTTGATTGCTTTTGTTGCTCTTGTTGCAGCAACGAGGAGTGTTTTGGAGGCAATTTAATTGACATTTTTTTTTTAGTCTGGCACTGCAAAAGCGAGAGTTATATGGTGACAGTTTGGGTTGAAGATCAGCTGCAATCGCATAGCGTGACTGTTTGCTCTCCAAGACTGAGAGTTACCTGGTGTCCGACTTGGTTGAGTGGCAATTGCCAAATCAGTGATGGACTGAGTTGCCATTAACAGAGTCAGCCACGCAAACAACAAAGCCGAATCTAGAACGTAGGTAAGTAGTTCAATGATTCCCCCTGTGCGTTTGTGGTCCAAGAAGTTTCTGTTGCTGTCAACAAATTACGAGCGCCTCTACGTCTAGACTCGAATAATTTCACTTTGTTTCATTGAGCTGTGAATACCTCTTACATGCATCCCTGTATGCCTGGTTCTCAGCACATCCGTCTCCAGTCTTTTTCTAACTTTTACTTCATTTCTAAACTATTCATGGATAGATGTAAGAGAAGTAGGGACGGATGGATGAGTAATTCGTGATTACCTCGGAGGAAGATACGTATACATGTATTGAAGCCATTTGGCAGTTGATGGGATAGCAAGCAATACAAGTAGCTTGTATGGCCCATTACCTTCGGAATTCAAAAATTATTCTGAAAGAAGGAACATAACACAATCATCAGGAAAGCCATACTTTGCCGCACCCTCTTGGTAAGCGAGCTGATGATTGACAAACCTCTAGTAGAAAACACAGATGATTGTCAATGCCTGATCTCAGCAGGCTAAGCAAGCCTCGCACACGCGTACTTGGTCAGTATTTCAGCTCTTCCCCATCATTCCCACTAGACAAATTCTCTGTACACATTGAAAGCCTAATAGTGCCAGGACGTATAACTTCCCCATTTGAGTCAACGAGGACAAGATCGATAGTCCGTTCATCTCATGTCTAACAAGCTTAATTTGCTTACCCAAAATAGCAGCTCAGGTCTGACAATCAGCCTCTCGAGGGAGTTACGCATACACGACCGATCTAGCAGCCCGGCTTCTGGGAAGACCCAGATTACGCTCGCAGTGTCTCGTGCCACATCTCGCACCTAGGGGCTCAGTAATCTCTGATGACAATCTGCATCTACCCCGTAGCTATCTAGCCGGGGCGTAAACAGGGGTATGAGGTGATGGATGAGAGACATTTGGGATCTTAAGAGGGGTCGAAGACTCAAAGTTGAGACAGCATGTCATCTCTGACGAGCTTCCCCTTTTTTTTTTTTTGTGCGACTTGCGATGTTCTCTTTGGATGGGGAGGGTACTTGACTACCTCCTACAGCCCACTCACAGAGTCATACAGCTCTTTACGAGGGTCTGAAGACTCGACCGACGTGCCACCCTTGATTTATCGTCCTCCCATCACAAACCTACTGAACCACATCACCGGATGTTAGAGAAACCCTGAACAGACATCTTGAGGAAATGCAGTCGCCAAAGAAGCAAAACAAGCGCGAATCGCCTCCATATCGCCTCATCTCTACGCTTGAGAAACAGCAAAACAGCCCACACTGGCCTCGAAGCGCCGCGTCAGGGGGGTTTATCATACAGGGTCCGCGGAAGTCAAGCACACAAATCCCCATTGGCCGAGTTTCAGCCACCCAATTTGTGTAAGCGATTCTTGGGAATCGAAGACGGCCGTAATTCTGGGTCCTCTGGTAGATCTCTGTACGATCGATCGCAGGTGCTCCGCCGGATCAGAAACAGAGACAGAATCATGGGAACCGACATCCAGTCACTTACATGAGCGCGCGATATGTCGGTATCCAGAAACCAGATCTGACAGACTATCCTTGCGATGCAAGGCAGTCTCGACGGAAGCACTACCTGTAACGTCGAATCACACACGCCCTCTTTCCTACGTCTTCGCTGCGTGGGCGCATCTGTCGGCTTTGTTGCACAGAAAAGTAAACGGAGAGCGCATATATCCACCAATCGCGAGCCGAGGGAATCAGTTCAGACTCGGAACATCTCGAAGTATACATGAGATTTACTCCATATCGAGCAGAGCATGCACGTCGCGTGCATCTCAAAAATGACGATGCAGCAATAACCCGTCTTGCAGAGGAGGCCTCGAAGAGCAAAAACCCGAGTTCGCCCTGGGAGGTGAGGGGACGGAACTGGACAGGCGTCTACCCAAGAGCCAACCGCTCAAGAGGCCAAGAGAACACCAAGCTCGCAAGAATTTCCCAACTCGTTACGCCGGCATCAATAGTTTTCCCTTTTTTCTCTCTCAATGTCTCTACCCTAGAATGATTGGATGGTCGGGAACTTTCAAAAGTTGGCATACGGCGAATCAGCACGTCTTGAATTCAGGTGTCTCTGCAGGCAGACGCAATCTCTGATGTCTTATTCGACCTGGGGAACGAGCTGCCGAGAGAAGGGGGGGCCCTGTTCCAAAGATCCGGGACCCGTGTAACCTCGCGGCAGCATCCGCCGTGGCCGGCACACATTGTATGCCATATGGCCTTTACCCTGTTGCAGAGGTCATGCTTTCCAGCGGGCGTTTGCGGTTCTTTTCACTTTCCCCGCTCCAACGGCACAATCCTAAGGAGTTCAATGGTCGGCAGGATGCTCTCTCTGTCCAGGCAGTCATGGAAGAAGAGTTTGTTTGCCTGTCCTCTTGGCGCATGTGCTTCCTTTTTACCCCCTTGCACTACACGTTGCTTACCTACCGGTACCTTCTCGTGGGAGGTTTGCGGATCGGCTCTTCTAGCGTGGGCGTCAGCCATGCGGGAGCAAGGATCAGTCTCACTCTCGAAAATCCTGAGATCCTCTATTACACTCCCCCACCCCTCGCCAACGTCAGGCCCATCGTCGACAAGGATGTAAACAGCGGAACAGGCGCCCATGTCATTCCGGACATCCAGATCCAGTGGCTTGTTTTCTGTGTTACAACAGAACTTGAGTTATCGTTGTCTTGTGATCAAAGAAGTGCGGATGCGGGCCGGGGTTATCCTGTCGAACATTGTTGCGAGTTGCAGTTGGTGGCGTTTTGACTTGGGTGGGAGTTGTTTGCCTGTATTGTCTTCGACACCGTTGGTCCGGACATGGCTTGGAACATCCCTGGCGAAGGATTGTGATGGCTTTATGGGGGGGTAAGCATCGTGGTTGCATATTCGGTCTAGGAAGAAGTCCATTTTGGGTGACATGTTTGGCGGGTCAAAGGCCCGGTAGAAAATGGAGGCAAAGGTGAAAGGAGGAATATCGACAATAGCTTGCTTTTTCTTCTCCTCTGTGGGTGTTGCTATTCCTTCCTTAAAGATGGGTATTCGCTCCTTCTCGAGGAGTGTCATCCGATCTTTTGGGAATTCTCAATATTTACAAAAAGGCTTACTTCAAAATCCAATCTCCAGACTTCACCCCTTCACCTTTCCACTCTTCCACCAACTTCGCCTTTCCACCCACCACCTCCCTTTCTACCCGACCTATCCATTGTTCGTTAGGGGTTTTGGCACCGACTCTTCTTTACCTTAGTTTTGGCTCATCATCGATCACTCCATTAATATTTCTCCATTCGACCTGAGCGTTACGCCATCTTCGTTCTTGCCTCTTGCCCTCGAACCATGGCTTTTAAGCTCTGCACAGGCATATCGCTTCTACTTGCAATCATTGGCATCAGATATTTGTACCTGGATCTTTCTAATGCATTGAAGATCTTCTTGGCCTCATTCACCTTGCAATGTGTTGTTCTTCTAGGATATAATGCTTTCCTCTATCCTTTTTTTCTCTCACCGCTACGACACCTTCCCGGACCAAAGGTAAGAACGTTCATTCTTGCTCACAGATACAACGGAAGGATCGACACAACCATCAATAGTTACGAAGTATTGCAGGAGCGCTAATTCACGATGCTTATAGGGCGGCCATTTCCTGATCGGTCAGATGCTCAACCAGATCAGAACCCCGGGGCCAGCCGATATATTCATCTCCTGGACAAAGCAGTGGCCCGAAGCGCCTTTCGTGCGCTACCTTTCTATGCTCAATGCTGAGACTCTTATGGTCAACAACCTGGCAGCTTTCAAGGAGGTCCAACAGACCAAGGCATTCTCGTTCCGAAAGTCACAGCTGGCAGCACGCATGTTCTCACCAATCACCGGACATGGACTCATGTTCTCAGAGGGTGAGGAAAGAAAGAAGCAGCGAACCCAGCTGGCTCGTGAGTTCTTCATGCCAAGTTGTTCCAAGCTTCGTTTCTCTCACTGACGTTGCTACACAGGGGCGTTCTCGAATCAAAACACGCGCAAGATGCTACCAGTCTTCCAGCTCAAGGCCAACCAAATGTGCGAAGCAATCTTCCGAGACATGGGTGGAGAAGATGTTAAGCTTGTTGATGGTATGCTACAGTATTTCTCATTTCCGGAACTGTTGCTGACTTCTATCTCAAGTCGAACCCTACGTCCGAAAGGCGACTCTCGACGTCTTTGTCATTGGTTCGATCGGCTGTGATCTTGACGGCATCTCCATCCCTGAAGCCCACTTCTACGACGTGTACGAACGCATCATCCGCCAGCCTCCTTCCGGCCACGTTCTCACCTTCATCGATGGCCATATCCCTGTTCGCTCATGGCTTCCTCTCCCTAGCAACAAGAGATGGCTGAAGGATGTTGCCCTGATTCGGACAATGCTCCTCACCTGTGTTGAGAACCGCCGTGCCGAGATGATTGCCGAGAAGAAGCTTGGTCTCAACGAGAAAATGACTGAGCATCGAGACATCTTAACGTTCATCTTGGAGGACTGCCAGTTCGACGCTACTCAGACCAACTGGACTGACTTGGAGCTCTTGGAATACGTAAGACTATCCGATACTTCAAGGTTCCGATCCTTGCTGACTCAAATTCCACAGATGCTGAACTTCATTGCTGGAGGTATGAATGATAAGAACAGGAACATCCGAAAGGCTTTCGCTGACACTGTGTCATAGGCCACGAAACCACTGGATCCATCACCATGTGGATAGCCCATATTCTTGCGACGGAGCCCAAGGTGCAGGAAAGGCTCAAGCAAGAAGTGCTCGGTCTCTGCGCCGGAAAGCCTCGAGACTGGAATCCGACCTACGAGGAAACCGAGCATTTGGTCTACGTTAACAACTTCCTCAAGGAGATGCTGCGCTTCTACTCCCCTGGTAAGGAAGGCTCATAGAAACTACCCAGGTCAACTTGAATTTTGCTGACAAAAGTCCATGGATAGGAATCTTTCTCCCGCGCGAGGCAGCAGAAGACGTCACCGTCTGCGGAATCTTCGTTCCCAAGGGCACGCAAGTGACTCTCTGCCCGGCCGTAGCACACTTCAATCCTCTAGTATGGGGCGAGACCGCCGACATCTTTGACCCCGACCGCTGGTCCGACGGCCGCGCATCCAAGGACTCGTACGCCATGGAGTCATTTCTCCAGGGCCCGGCTGGCTGCATCGCTAAGAACATGGCTTTGCTGAACGTCAAAAGCGTAATCTTTGCTCTTGTGCGGAATTTCAAGTTCTCGCCACGTCCCGGATATACTGGCGTGGTGGAGCTTGCGAATCCCAACTTTACCCTGCGGCCCAAGGGTAGTATGGGTGTCACGATGGAGAGAGAGACGAGATAGACGGCGCTTATAGAATGCTGCGCTAGAGTCTAGAGGGTGCTGAAGCATGTGTATGCTGGCGCCACGTACGATGAGGTCCTCACAACTGGACCATTCTACTATACATAATTTGGACGAGGGGCGAGGTAGATTAGAATTCGCTCGTAATTACACTTAATAGTTATAAACCCAGCACTTTCTTCTATTTTTCTCATGATGCGTCAGCTGGGCTTTATGCTTATATAATAGTCAGAGAAGCCTCAGGAAGCATCACTATGTGTCTGTTGACAGATACCTGAAGATCTACCTTAGTCTCTCTTCAGACACATATCACCTGACTGAATCATTCTCATTGAGGATTCAGATACCTAGCTGTTATACTTTTTCTTCCCGTTCGGAAAGAAGGGGTTTAGACACATCGATCTGGTTGCTCCTGCCTTCTTAGATGATTTTGAAATCCCAATTATAGCTGGAAGGCACGTCAAACAATTTCGCTCTCGAACGCCCCTTCCTATACTCGCCTTAGACCTCTACTCGAATCCCCTTCTTACCGCCTGCCTTGGACACCTCGTCTTTTCCCTCCTCCACACCTTTCCACCACCTTACGCATTCAGCCCTCTCTGTAATACCCAACCCAAACACCATAATATTTCCCACAGCTACCTACTTACCACTACTGGCATCGCGTGAGAAAAGTTCTTTTGGTTTCCTTCTGTGGTCGCTAATTCTACGTTGTCGTCATCACATGCAACTTTACATCTTTCATCAATAGGTACCAGCATCAACACAAAAGATAAGGCCCCAAGTCTGATCAGCGATTCACATCATCGTCATCACAGTAAGACCCCATTTCATTTCTTCATCTCCTGCTTCCCAAAACAATCTGACAAATTCAGCACATCTTATCGTTCTCTCCAAACGCTTGTCACAATGGCGGCTTCATCCAAGGTGATGCTTGAGTCTGACTCCGACATGGAGCACAGTGCCCTCAAGATGGCAGCTGCTTCGGAGACTTTCGACCTACTACAAGGCACGCTTCATGAGAATCACACTCCCTTCCCTATCATGCTCACACTTAAGCGTGACGATATTCCCATCTACAAGATCGACATGGGCAAGCCTGCTGAAGAGCGCTACATTGAGCTCGCCAAGGATCTTGCTCCCAAGATAAGAGAAGTGAGCCTCCTCTTTGATGAGGTGATTGAGGCGATCTTTCCTTCAGGTCTGTCTGGTTTTGCCAAAGTCACTTCTCGGTTGACCCTCCGCAAGGTCTTTGACCCTGAGCAGACCAAGGAGATTAAGTCCATCGCTGAGGCTGCTGGCATCCCCGTTCACCAGCTCATGGCCCTCAACACCTTTCTTGACCTGATGCTTGGTTGTACATCAGGAGCTGCCTTGGTCAAGGGTGACTGCAAGCGCAAGGCTGGTGGTGATGATCCTGACCATCTGATGCATTTTCGCACTCTTGAGGTATGGTTTCCCCCCCCCCCCCCCCTACTCTACAAAGAATGTCCGGCACTAACGACTCATCACAGTGGGGTATGGATATCCTGCGTGATATCCTTGTCATCATTGAGTACATCAACACGAGCAATGGCTCGAATGAGGTGATTGCCAGATCCGTCACCTATGCTGGCTTCGTCGGCATGCTGACTGGGGTCCGGTAAGCTGCCTTTTCCCGTCCATTGCAGATCGGCCTAGGCTAACATCTATCTTAGCAAGGGCCTATCAGTCTCTCTCAACTTCCGCCCAAGCCATTAGTGTGGTTCGGGCTGCCTTCTGAGGCACCGAATTATGGTCCTTTTTGGCTTGCGCGAGTCTGTCCCCTCGACGCTCCGCCGTATCATCCTCAATGAGAATATCTCCATCAAGAATGCCAAGGCCTATGGTACCAAGGGCCCCAACCCCACTGAGGACAGCAGAAAGCTCACTCTCATAACGTCCATCGGCAAGAAGCTTGCCTCTTCCAAGGCGTCGCCCTGCTACCTGACCCTCTGCGATGGAAAACAGGTAGTAAACATCCTCAAGGACCTTCATGGCGGCAAGATCAAGACGAGCAGTGTCTTCCAAATTCAGTGCAACCACGACCCCGACCATCGATACTGCTGTAGCCGCATGACTGTACGCCACGGCGCCGACCCTGTCCAGGCAAAGCTCATGGAATCTGAGGACTGGATCGAGGTGTCTGCGGATCGTCAGAATGCCTTCCACGAGAAGTGGATTGAACATGTCCGAGCTATCACCAACGGAAATGACATCACCTGGGCCAAGCAGAATAGTTGCTGCACGGATCTTGAGCTTGATGCCGAGGCTAGAAAATATGGTGAGATCCCTGGCGTTGATGAGGCCAAGCTCCGCGAGTGGATCGCTACCTATCCTACCACCAACGAGTCGACTCACTTCATGTGCATAATGGATCCCCTGACTGGTGAGATCCGCTGGATCTCTCGTGGCCCTGACCCTCTCGCAATGTTTGAGTGTGAAGACGAATTTTAGTCGTTGGCCCTTATGCAATTAAGAGAGGAAGCGGCTGGAGTTTGCGCCGTAATCTTTCTCTCGTCTGACTGTGCTAGGATAGGAGGATACCAAGGAGATGAGTTCTTGTGCTTCCGGGAGGCACCGCATCAACACTTGGTTTTTTGTATCTGCACATGAGCACTACAAAAAGCTGGCAGTGTGAGGAAGTGGTATGCATGGGCACAGGGTATGGTCACATAGGAATAGCGACGAGTAACGATGACAAGAGTCATGAGAAAAGAGCATGCCACCAAGAAAGGCCACTCAAGGCTGTGATGATGGGGTGGTGATTGTGAATTGTGCCTTCAGAAAGGCCTTGGTGTAAGTGAAAGGTGCTCGGACTCAACTTAAGACGTTGTAGGCGACGCTGGGTGGGGAATACCTGCAGCGTACTTTAGCTTCTTCAGCGCCTTCGCAGAGAACCAGTACAGCATTGCCCTCCAAGACAAGGAGGAAGGAACGGTGATCCGACACGACAAATCCAACTTCATGATTAGAATCTTGACACTTCCACACACAACGGCCACAAACCACTTCATGTCGACTTCATTCCATCCTAGCTCCTATCGAAACCGAACAGAATGACCGCCGAAATGCCAGCATCAGCACCAGCCCCTCATCTAAACCAGTGCCCAATGACCGACGAAGTCCTCAAGGGCATCTTCGCGTCCGACCAAGACATGTACCCCGCGCCGCTGACATGGGACCGCCTCCGGAGCTGGACGACGGCAGCGCCCGAGCTGGCCACTTGCTTCTTCCTCCCTGCCGATGCCGATGCCGGGGACAACGGCAGCACCCAGACACTGGTCGGCGCCGTCATTGCACTCCCGATCCTCACGTCTGCGTGGCGCGATTTGCTGACCGGTGAGGTCAAGGAAGTGGATGTGGATGCCGAGACTATGTTCCCCCGCGATGGTGACGAGCGTTCTGAGGTTGGGCTGCATGTCTTTCACGTCGAGAGGTTCGATGTGCCTGAGACGCGTGGCAAGGTGCGAGGATTCGCCGAGACCTCTATGCGGGCTGTCATAACCGCTGCAGAGAGGAAGGGATGGTCGATCATCGGCTATTCAGGTAAGTAATTCGTGGTGGCTGGCTATGCTTGCATTGCAGGTTTTCGATTGACACCCATCCATTCGGGAGAGGCTTATCGATTGATCTGACATTGTGACAGCACTCACAGCGACGCCAGAAGGACGAAGATGCTTTGAGAAAATGGGCTTCGAGGCGACAGGCTACAAGGAGTTCTGGGTTGACGATGGCTGCAAAGGTGTCCAACTGGTTACGATTACAGCGGATACCGCGCCCGAGGAACGCGAAGTGCGAGAACCGGCGACAGTCCGAGGCCACGCGAGGATGCTAGCAAAACACTTGCATCCCGTCGCCGATGCTTAGCTGCGGTCTGCCCAAAGATCAAGGGAGGACCCCTGGCCAGCTTTACCGCCGACGAGGGAGCCCGTTTGAGTACAACGCAAGGAGTGGAATTCAAGCGGAAATTTGGCTTTGAAATCAGAAATCCCATCACAAAGAGAAAGCTGGGTCGAGGCTCCTTGACGCTGGGGCAATTATTCAACCGAACATAGCAACAAGCCAACAATTGCCCCGGACCCCGTTTTCCTTGCCAGAATCCCGTTGCTGTCCATCAACAAAGTGCGAAACGAACCTCGGCTCTCGTCACGTAGCAGACGTGGTCCAGACTCTTTGCGGATACCTACGATTCTACATACGAATTACCCAGTTGGTAGCAGCACCATACGGTGTACCAAGCCTCGGTCGTCCGCCCCGCGGACCTGGCAACCGGCACGGCTCAAGCGACTACCGATGTTTTCTGCACTGTTCTTATTTTATCGGGGCCCTCCTCCACCAAAAGGGGCAGCCAGCTCCGGGTGATCGAGCGCCAGAACAATAACGGCATTGAACTTGTGCTTTGTCATCATTGCTTCATTGGTACGGAGTAAAGATTTTCTAGTGGCACGTTTTTGGAGAATGGAGAGGCGACTGCAAGCAAGGTTGGGTCAAGACTAGTCAGTGATGAACCTCACCCTGACTCGAGTTCCCTGGGCCACGGCCATCCCGTTGAATCGCCAATTCTCCAAACCATGAAGAAGGACACAGCAAGGCAGGCCCACCGAACAACAATGGCGGGAGCTGTGCAAGTCAAAGCCCACGACGATTAACGGAAGCGATCTTGACCGCAGATCAGGGAATCTGGGAGGCCCTGGTCTCGAACACCTTTATGGTGATATCGATGAGCTTGATTGGACCTCTCAGACACACCGCCTACCCAAGCGATATCTGGTAAGTGTTTCCACATCTCAAAGAGGGATATGCCCCGCCATGAACCGCGGCATCTTTCACTGAGAAAGGATGGAGGGGCAAACGGAAAGGAAGAAAAAATCTAGCGCCCTTGTTTAAGTGCTGTTGCTGACAGATCAAAAGGAAGGGTCCGTGGGGGCAACAGCGGCCAAGTCCCGTTTGACAATTCCGCTATCCTCTTTCCAGGAACCACCTCACAGAACACGACCCGATGAGCATGGCCAATGCCGGCGACCCCCGCTGTTAAACAATCTCCACCGGTCGAACAAGCAAAGTGGATGCCCCTCCTGGCAGTCCTTCCATCATGACGTTGCCGTTTCCAATGCCTTCCGTCGCCCCGTGTTTGCTAGAGAGCTGGAGGAAACCTGAACATTGAACCGTTCCAAGCGGACCGCAAGGTCGGACCCGGCGCGGGCCCGATGGACCCTTTGACGGGATTCGTCATGACATGGAGCAGGTGGTCTCTACGTTATATTTAACACCAAGACAATCCCAGATCTTTCAGCTGTAGTTTGAAAGAATCACTCACATATCTTCCCTATATCTATTCACTACTAAATATTGCAGTTTCTTGATACCCCGTCACTTGGACACTCACACTTAACACATCTACAATGGCTCCTACTCCCAACAAGTCTTTCATCTTCAAGCAGGTCCCCAAGGGCCTGCCTGTTGCCGGCCAGGACCTCGTCACCGAGGATCGCCCCATCGACCTCGAGCAGGACCTTAACGGCGGCATCCTCATCAAGGTCCTCTACTCTTCTTTCGACCCCTATATGCGCGGCCGCATGCGCCCCGCCGAGGCCGGCAAGTCCTACATCCCTCCTTTCGAGCAGGGCGCCGTTATCGTTTCCTCTATCGTCGCCCGCGTTGAGCGCTCCGACGCCGCCCAGTTCGCCGCCGGTGATCTCGTCACCTCCTTCATGGGCCCCAACGCCGAGTACGCTGCGATCCCCGCCAAGTTCCTTCCCGGCTTCTTCAAGGTTCCCAACACCCACAACGTCGACCTCCCACTGTTCGTCGGCGCTCTCGGCATGCCCGGTATGACCGCCTACGAGGGCTTCTACGACATCGGCAAGCCCAAGAAGGGTGAAACCATCTTCGTCTCCTCCGCCGCCGGCGCTGTCGGCCAGATTGTCGGCCAGCTCGCCAAGGCTGAGGGCGTCAAGGTCATTGGCTCCGTCGGCAGCGACGAGAAGCTCGACTTCATCCTCAACGAGCTTGGCTTCGACGCCGGCTTCAACTACAAGACCGAGTCCCCTCACGACGCCCTCAAGCGCCTCGCACCCCAGGGTATTGACATGTACTTTGAGAACGTTGGCGGCGATCACCTCGAGGCGGCCCTCGAGTCCTTCAACCAGCAGGGCCGCATCATCGGCTGCGGCATGATCTCTGACTACAACACCCCTCGCGAGCAGCAGAAGGGCGTCCGCGGCCTCTTCCACCTCGTCGCCAAGAAGCTCTCCTTCCAGGGCTTCCTCGTCAACCTGTCGCCCGAGAAGTACAAGCCTTTCCAGGAGAAGGTGCAGCCCATGATTGCCAACGGCGAGCTTAAGGTCAAGATCCACCAGACGGATAGCATTGACCAGGCTGCTGAGGGTTTCATTGGTATGCTCACCGGCCAGAACTTTGGCAAGGCTGTCCTGAAGATGGCCCAGGAGTAAAAGAGTCAAGAAGGGATGGATGAAAATATTGCATTGCATAACAGGATGGGAAAAGCATGTTAGATGTATACTATAATGACAATTGATGACCAATGAACCAAAAAATGAAAGTTGTAATGTGACGATGAACTTCCCATCTAATAACAGTCTGACTCTACTTGCGTGCCACCTCAAATCACCGGAAAGGCCTCGGGCTGCCTTCTTCTCTCAAGCGATGCCGAGCAAGGACACGAGAAACAAGTTGCACATGTTGCTACGTGGCATCGCCTTCATTCACGGTGCTGAAGAGCTGGCAACCTTCAGTCTTCCCCTTACGGCAGATTGCTATCTTACAGATTGTAAGTCACGTCTGTGAAGGTACATTGTCGATTGCAATTGTGTTTAATTCTAAAAAATGGTATCATACGAAGTACTATATAAATCCAAGCCAGTGCGTATGGCAAGTTTACATCCCATGTTCACCCCATGTCCCATAGACTTTCTAAAGAGAGAAATCCGGATCATCGGATCATCCTACCAAACGCCAACAAACCGCGTCGCTAAATTCTAATCCCATGCCCAAGCTGAAGTCTGTGTCTCTGTCTACCTAACTCCATCTTAACCTCTACCAAACAGCTTCTTAGCAGTCACACGTCTCGTAGACGAGGGCGTATGCTCATTGGCATCATAGTACCCTCCATAACCATTAGCATGCTGCTGCTCCGAAATCGAAGACTGCGAGCGGTGGCTGTACGCATCCGACGCCGCATCCTCAGGTCTCAGCTTCTGGGGGCGAGGAGGCGGGGGAGGTGCCTGGGCCGGCGCGGAAGCCTGTTGTGAGGAAGGAGCTCTGTAGTATTCCTCCTCCTCCCACTGGGACGTGCTGGTGTTTGTCCTAGCGGGCTCGGCGCGCTCCGGTCGCGAGGTCGGAACAGGGGGTGCCTGCGCGGGTGCTTGGTGGCCGCCGTAGGAGTATCCGTTGGTCGCCGACTCAGTAGGCTGTGTTCTCGCTGAGGGACGTTCCTCACGCTCATCACGGGAGCGTGTTGAGCGGTGTGTAGTTTCACGGCTGGGACTGGCGTTGTTGCTGACGGGCTTGCGTGTGGTTGTCTGCTTTGGCTTGTCGTCGTCTGAGTCGGAGCTGTTGTCCTCTAGATCACGGTCTTCGTCGGCGTACTGTGAGGCAAAAGTTAGCATAGTTGATTGTGATGGGGGGGAACAGCTGTAGCTTACCATTCTCAACTCCTTGCGCATGGCCAAGCTGGCGCAAATGTCGCGGGCCTCCTCAATCGCAGTCTTCTGCGTCTTGAGCGTCATTCTGCGGTCGCGCGTCTCTTTATTCTCCGCAGCAATGGCTTCAACCGTCTCTGCAGGCATGCCGAGAATCTCAACAGAGTTGAAGATGCTGTACATGCCCTGCAATAAGTGTCTCTCCACGACCTGGGTAATCGTGTTGCGGATGAAGGTCTTGGCTGCAAGCTCGTAGAAGATCAACATCTTCTCGCAGACTTCTTGCGCCTCGGTGTATGTAGCGCCATCCTTCGTGGTCTCCATCTGCCACTTGCGAAGACGCTCCTCGTATTCGGGGTCGTACGGCTGAATTTCGAGGTTCATGTCTTGCGTCAGGTGCTCAAGCTCGACCTGTGCGTCCGCCAGCAGCTTCTTCATCTGAACATCGAGGAATTGGTAACGCAGGGGCTCGCGCATGCGCTGAGGCCACGCGAAGTCGATGACCTCACTGAGGAACTCATTGCACACGACGCCGAGATTATCCTTGTGCTCTTGGGCGAGCTTCGGCCAGTTCTCCGAGTAGCTCTGGAAGAGCATGTAGACAGCGCGAGGCTTGGGGTCCATGGGGAATTCGGAACCGCGAATCTGTCGCAGAAGCATCTCGACTTCTCTGCCGACAAATTCTCTCTTGCTGCTGTCACTGATGGTAACACCGTCTGCGGTACCGGGAGCAGTGGATGACGAGAAGCCGAATTTGCGACCGTTCTGGCGAATGCGGTGGGAGAACTTCTCGTTCTCCTCGATGGCGCGGGCACGTAAATTCTGAGCGGGTGTGCCGCGAGGATCGGCTGTGGCGCGGAAGAAGTTCTTGCGGGGAGGGTTCTTGTAGAAACCGTAGACTGCGGGGATAACCAGTTCCTTCGAGCTGGAGAAGAGCTCAACGAGCTCGATGCGCATCTCCTCAACGGTATCTTTGCCAGTGCCCATGGACTTGAGCTCTGTGTCGCAATCGTCGAGCGCCTTCTGGATCTGCTTGCGAAGTGTCTTGACGTGACGGCCGATATGACGTTGCAGCTGAACACTCAGCTTTTGCTTGAGTGCATTGGCACCGCACATAGAGCTGGGAAGAGCACGCCATTTTCCGCGGCCGAAGAACTCCTCCTCACGTTGGCGACGTTCGCGGGCTGAAGGCCAAGGCTGGCCTTGATCGCGGGGACCAGGGTTTAGCAGGACGTACCAGCCGAGCTTGAAGTAGTTTTGCTTGTCTCTGTTCTGGACGAGCTCGATGAACTTGTCTTCCAGGCCGATCGATTCGCACAGATCGGGTTTTGTCAGGACACCGATGGTACGGCTGCCGGAGGGGTCGAAGTGGCGTGCCTTTGTAAGAATAGGCGCCTGGACATAATCGGTGTTGCCGCCAACGACAGCAAGGATTATGGTTCGGGAGCTCTTCATGTATCGGTCGCAAAGAGTCTCAATCGTCTTGATGTCGTCCATTGACTGGTCATTATTGGCGTTCTTGACGAGACCGGGAAGGTCGACGAGAGTAAGCAGAGGCATGTCGGGACCTCTCTTCTCAACCACCAAAATGTCGCGGGCGGCGAATCTGCCCGGAATGTTCTTGGGGGCAATCATTTCCACCGCAGATCTCATCAGGGACTCGAAGGACATGTCGGTGTCGACGGCGCCGCCAAACTGCTTCAGCCGTTCCTGATCTCTGAAAGGTTTGTTCTTGTCGGGGATGATGGAGACATTGAGACTGGCTTCAGCCGACCTGCGCAGGCGGATTTCGGTTGCGAATCGCGTGCAGGCGCCGGCGTCGCGAGGGAATGGGGTGCCAGTGATGGCCTCGAGGACGGAACTCTTTCCCGCCGACTGGTCGCCGACAACGACGATCTGGGGCAGCTTGACATTGTCGAGCTGGGCAAACTGCAGCTTGTCGATGAGCTCGAGAAGGCCGCGCTGCTCATTCGCCATGTCCGCCGTCCCCAGCGCCGAGTCGATATTCGGAGCCATGTCGCGTTCGGGTCTGAGAGAGACGTTAGTTTGGCGGTGATGACTGGTTTCTGGAACCTCGTACAATGATCCCATCACAGTCTGGTCTCGATTTATGTGTGATGTAGGCGATTGCGCAAGGAGAAGTCTTGGACCTCGAGAACAGGGTGCGAGCACAGCACTGGGAAGGGAGAACCTTTTAAAGAGGAGACTACTGTTCGCCCAGCCCAAAGACCAAAGAACAAGCTTATGTGGAATTACGCAGTTACGCAGTGCAAGCCTGCATTGCGGCGCAAGACGTGTCTCGACCGAACATCACATGCCCTCCAGGTGTGAGTGTGCCCAATAGCCATGAAAAGGGTGCCTGGATCTGGGCTCCAAGTCGTCGCAAAGCCGCGTCGTCAGCCCCCAGTGACGACCTTGGGGCGTGGGGAAAAGGGCAAAGCTTCGCCTACTTCTGCGTCGCCACCGGGGAATACGGCGGTACGGCGACATTAGAGTTGGCATTCCATGGATGTTGCTTGGCTTGAGGCAGCCCAGGTGCCCAGCAAACAAGAGGCGTCCGTTTGGGCCCTTTTTCGCACGCCTAGGGCAATACGGATACTGCAATTTCGTCTGTCACACGGCGTCGGATAGCAAAGCCGAGACCAGTCAAGGAGACTGGCAGACTGGATACTGTGGGCTAGAAGACCACTCGGCCTCCGTTATGCAGGGCGAAAAAGACTTTGAACAACAGCGAGAAAGATGAAAGCAATCCCATGTGCGCAAAGCCACCGAACTTTGGGACGGGGACCAACGCGTTTGTGTCGAGGTTGGACGAATGACGTCGGTAGCTCGGCAGTGGCACAGCCTCATTTTCCCTGTCTGGCACGTCCAGAAAGCCCGCCGTGTGAGGTGGGGAGCCATGGAGGCACACTTTTCCTGTCAAGCTTGTTGACTCGGTTGCCGCAAATTCGCATTTCGTCTCGCTTCTTCGCCTGGTCTCGCACTATGCATGACGAGCGTACGCGTCGGGAGGCACTCGAAGCCCCAATCAGAACTCGGGTATGTCCGTCTAGGCCGGTGTGAGGAGGATTTTGAGCCAGCCAACGAGGTGCTAGAGACGACGACGTTTAACGCCAAGATGTTGCTGGTGGTTGATTTTTCGCCACTCGTCAGACTGCAAGGATCGGCCGGTGAAACAATTGGAGTACGGTGGCTGTGCAAAGAAAGCTGCGGCTCAGCAGTTCGGTTGTGCAGAGTGCATGATTAGGTAAGTTGGGTTACCCCTCTATGTGGCTGTGCTACGAGCTTTCTGGAAGTGTGGCGAGTGTTCCAGAGACGTGGCTGAAGCTACTCTCCACCTCCAAGGTCCGCCGAGGCCTTCGAATATCCCGTCTTCAACCACTTTTGATATTACTTGCCTGCGAGCCTACGTAGCTACCTGAGGTCCCGTTACGAGTTCTATGTGAGCATTTAGAATTCAGTGCAGATTTAGCCTCACGATTATCCCTCTCTTCAGCAAACATGGTTTCCTGGCCATGCCCCCCAAACTGCAAGGCCACAGGAACGACCGCGTTCAAGCGTTCTCGTGGGTAGCAGAGGACAAGGAAGTATAAGGGAGCGAAGGCTGGGGATGGATTCATGAGAAAAGTCAAAAGTTCTGAATTCGAACTTGTGAGGTTCGAATTCCTATGAATCTCAGTCGTTGTGCCACGTCCTGATTCTACCGGTTGTATACCGCTCGGCTACTGCGGATGATGGGTGGTGGACTTAACCATGAAAAATATGCAATCGGAGTCCGCAGGGGGTATTCCCAAACTCAGGCTCTGCTGCATCGGCCGACAAGGTTACGGCGTGTGTGTTGCCAACATGTCCTCGCGGAAAATCCTCCCACTCCATGGCCCCGGTTCCTGCCGCAATCAGTCAGCTTCGCAGCGCTCATTCAAACACGAGGGGCTCGTCAACAAAACTCGAGAGATCCAAGGTCCAATTCAAAACAAAAGTTCAGCATCCGAACCTGCGAGGTTTGAATCCCTATGAAACCTTGTGGGTTTCTACCAGGTGTATACCGCTCGGCTAATGCGGTTGATAATTTTGGAATGAAAGTTGTATTGTATACGACCGCAATCCAGCGGATATGAGTAGAATACACATGGGCCATCTTAGTATTTAAAATCCTGTCCAACAAGCTTCTCGCTGAGAGCCCACAACATCTCCGCGTCAACCTTACTCCTAGCCCACGGGTACACCTCCTCCTTCCAAGGATCAGCAACACGACAATTAGTAAGAAACTCCCCATTCTTCTCCTTCAGCTCCGGATCAAACGCCGCAAACACGTGCGTTGCGGCGCCCTGATCCAGGTCTTTAGGCTGGATATCCCCCATCCCCCACATATACTTGCTTCCCACCACCACATCAGCCTTGCGCAGGGCCTCCAAGAACCCGGGGAAATCATGCGCCTCGTGTGCGGCAAGGTTCGTGGGGACATACCCCGGGCAGAGACTAAACGCCGTCAAACCCCTCGACGGGCCGCCCAGCCTCTCAGCAAGGGCGATGGAGAAGAGGCTGTTGGCCGTCTTGGACTGCCCGTAGGCCATCCACTTGTCGTAGTGCTTTCCCTCGTTGAATTTGTAGTCTGTCCAGCGGACGTGGCCGAGTCTGTGGGCGTTGCTGCTGACGTTGACGACGCGTGGGGAGGAGGGGGAGGCGAGGATCTTGGGCATGATGAGGTTTGTGAAGAGGAAGTGGCCTAGGTGGTTTGTCTGGAACTGGCTTTCGAAGCCGTCTTCTGTGAGGCTGTATGCTGAGGCCATGATACCTGCATTGTTGACGAGGAGATCGATGTGGGGGACGTCTGGCCATGAGTTTACCGTCTCTGCTGCCTTGCGGACGTTGGCGAAGGAGGTGAGGTCTAAAGCTAAAGGCTTGACGTTGATTTCGGGGTGTGCGGCTGCGAACTCGTCGACGAGGGGTTGGAACTTGGAGGGTGAGCGGCCGGCTAGGATGAACGTGGCTGGTTTGGCTACGGCGACTTGCTGGACGAAGCTGTCGCCGATGCTGCCTGGGGAGACTCCCGTGATGAGTATCGTCTTGCCGGCGATGTGGGGAGCATAGACGGGCACCAGCTCGCTTGCTTTGGTTTCGTTGTTGAAAGAAGGAGCCATGGTATGTTCGTTCTGCGCTGTACTGACGAGTATGGTCGTGCTTAGCTTTTAATACGGAAGAGAGTGCCAGGTATTGCTTACAACTGCCTGGCCACTCGAATGAGATGACGAGAACGCAGGGAGGGCGCCTTTATACCCACCGGTCCTCATTCAATGTCAAAGATGAACACTAAACAAGCACATCAGACGCAAAGCGGCCCGCATTCAGTGTAAGCATGCCTTGTAATGGATAGTCTTCGAATTAGTCCACCCGCCTATTACGACGGATGAGATCGGTGGGCTGCTTCATGTTGCTTCGGGGCTATAACTACCCGTTCTGCTACACGCTAAAGCCTCAAGAATTCGGTACAAATGATGTGGTGCCGGAGATAGGTATACTTTATTGGGGGTTGGGAGTCTTGCTTTTCCTATATGGGAGACCTCAAGCACGGAGTTAACGGTCCTAAGAGATCATACCACCGCCAACAAGCATCGTAAATGGGCTATGTTGGCACTGTCGGTGAAGCTCCTGCGGCACGGGTCATCTTCAATCATCTTGGAACATGCAGACAAAATATGTGGTAATATTGCCTGTTCTGACAACTTGCGGTGGCATCCCGAGAAAACCACAACCTGGAGATAAACCATCCTGTTTCGCAAGCCTCCTCGCTTATACAATTGGGTGACGCTATTTTACCCCAAACGCCCATCTATTCATCCCAGATTCCACCTTTGGAACACCCGAAAATAACATTGACTCAAGCTGTCGACAGACATCTGCTGCTGTCCGGCATTCGGCGCGGCCGGCTCCGCGCTCAGTTCTGCCGGCCGTGCCCGCTACCCCACGTCGCGCCGTTGCTACTCGGAGCCGGTGCGGGGCCCCGCCCGCCGCCGGAAGCCGAGGTCGACGATCGGTAGGCGGCAATGTTGTGAAAGGGCGCCGCCGAAGGAGGGGCCGTCAGCCAGGTGTTGAGATTATCGGAGCCGTTAGGTTGAGTGTGGGTGAATGCGTTTGAGAATTGTCCTTGTCGGGGCCGGGGGATGGTGGTGTATTGAAAGGGGGAATGAGCTTGATTGGAAGACATCTTGGCGGCTTTGGGAGCGGTGGACTTGTGTGCTTTTTTTTGCCTTGACCGCGATTGAGATGAGATGTGTGAAATGCAATGAGAGATTGAGCGACCGAATGAAGGGAAAATGGGCTCGACAGGCCAGCTTTTGTATTCATGATCAATGTTCCTCATAACCCTCGCTCCTCACCACCATGAGGAGCGAAGCGAAACGGTCCTCCTCCTCCTCTTCCTCTTCTTCTTCCTCGCCCTCCTCCTCAACGACAAAAATACCAGGGGCTTTTCAGCGGGGTCTTTTGCGGCTGGATTCTAGGTATAGACGGGAAGGAAAAGTCTAGATGTTGTCGCCCATGATGATAGTGAGGTCCGGGAGCCGACGACGATTGCCTCCTATCACCACCTAAAAGTCGCGGGACTGGGCCGCTGCTCAAAAGAACCTTGCAAAATCAAAGGCAAAAGTACGCAGGTACTTTTGACTCCCGAGTACTACTGCAAGGCACGGCCGCTCATCCTTAGTACCAAATTGTCCGTCATATCAGAAGGAGTTTGGACACATGGCAGACAGGCATCGCAAAAAGACCATGACAGAGTGCGAGCGGAAAGAAAGGTTCGATGATCGACCGCCAAAGGTCTGGCACCTTGTCACCGAGTTTGTGCTTGATCCTTCTGGTGTGGACTTTTGCCGCTTGGCCGCCCGTACGGGTCAAATCCCAGCCAACAAGGACCTCGCTTGCAGTGGTCATGCAGAGTACTTTTGCGTGTGGTTTGACTTGATTGGCCGCCTCACCGACGCCGCAGTCCGAGAACACTATATTTCAGAGATGGTCGCTTGCGTGGCAGGTCATGGCTAACAGGTCAGTACGAGCATACTGAGCCAACTGGGCAGCCTTCTTCAGGGTGAGGTGTTGGAGAATCGATCCGCAACTCGTCCTTATGTTGGGACAAAAGCCGGCTGAGCTTCAGTGCAAGAGAGCCGCACAGGCAGCACAGCGCCAAGCGGGGCTTTTTGGTTGGAGAAGATCTCCGGGTATCTATTCTCTCGCTCATCTTCAGGGTTGACAATTCTGTCGTTATCGTAGTCTACCGACATATTGTACACACCGCATGCTTCGCATGTGACATTCGTCAATGTTCCGCTGACGCCATGAGAAGATCAACTCCGCTCCCAGCCAACTGTTCTGAAAACTTCTGCGAGCGCACCCAGAACGGTATCGACGATAGACTTAACGAATCCTTGGCGCTTGCTCTTGCCAGAGGAGTCCCGCAGGGGATCTTCGCTGCCCATCGTAGGCAGAACATTGTCGCTAGCAGACAAGCTCACGAAAAGAGCAAATGGAATGAGCCAAACGCACAGCCCAAAGTATGAGGCGATCTCGGTGAAGCTTGGGACGTCGGGTTGATCGTAGTAGGAGTGCATGTTGGAGTACGATCTTTGCTGCGCGGCAGAGAAGTGGCGGAACCAAAGGTAGTGATTGACGAGGACCAGGACTGGGAAGGGAAACGTTAGTTCTCAAGGGGCATGCATAGAGCAATTGCCCAGCTCTCAAGACGGCGACATACCACAAGAAGCCAGGAACAGAGGATCAGTCAGTCTGACGAAAGGGAACCGGCGCATGTTGCCGAGGTAGACGACATGGGAGACAACTCCCATGAGGGTCAACTTGAACGGGAACCGGTCGACGATGCATAGCAAAAGCTGGAGTACAATGACCGAGTAAATTAACTTTGTAAGAAGGCGCTTCGCAAAGACGGTATGCTCCTCGACAAGCTCCGACAAGTAATACAGACCGGACGCTGGACACAGGCGTGTTAGCAAGAGACCACCCTCAACCTGAATGCCAAGGGAGAGCCGAGATCAAGACGAACCGATGGCGAGGGTCAGAAAGCAGAAGCCCACGATGGAGCCAAGGTAGCCGACCAAAGGTAGAATCCACATGGTGACGGACGTTATATTTATGATATCGTCGTGGTACGTGGCATGAAGTGAAGTGAAGTGAGAAGTGAAAATAGAGAGCGTGTGAAGTTGTTGAATTAGAGGTCTGCCGGGGGGAGGAGGGTTGTGCACAGAAGCTCCCTACATTGTCTCTTGAAGCTATGACGGAGCTGGCCAGGGCGCGTCGTGAAATCCACTTTGCGAAAGCGTGGCCTTTGCGCGTCGAATTAGGTATTACCTAGCGGACACTCGGGGGATTTCTTGATCCGCGGCGGATGAGATAAGCGATCGTTCCATTGGACGCATCGTGGCATCTCCTCGTCTTTGGCCCCACCAACCTGTCCATTCTGCCCGCGCCGGGGGGAAAATATCTTTATCGATAAGACCGCGAATGAAGTTCACAGTCTCCTTATCGATAACTATCCGTGACCCCCCAGTTGCGAATTTTTGAGGATTTCCCATGACACACAATTCACCGCCCAATTCATCGATGCGCCGGCGTGACGACAGACTGCTCTGAAGCAAATATTGAAGGGAGCCTCCATTCACTATTGTCCGAGGTCAATCTTCTATCAGAACACTGCCCAACATGTCGCGCCCTGAGGATACCCTGTAGGCTACAGACCCCCCCTTCAACCCCGCCATGTGCCTCTAGTTGACCAAATCTCTCTGCTCTCAGTGCGGCCGACATCCACTACAATGACTCCGAAGCCCGCAAGTACACGACAAGTTCCCGTATCCAAAACATCCAGGCATCCATGACCCGTCGTGCCCTCGAGCTTCTCGACCTCAAGCAACCCTCCTTCATCCTCGACGTCGGCTGCGGCAGCGGTCTTTCAGGGGAAATCCTCACCGCTGAGGGCCCCGAAGATGGTGGGCCACACACCTGGGTTGGCATGGACGTGTCCCCCTCCATGCTCGACATTGCTCTCCAAAGAGATGTAGAGGGCGATCTACTCCTCGCGGATATCGGACAGGGCGTACCCTTCCGCGCCGGTTCCTTCGACGCAGCTATCAGCATTTCCGCAATCCAATGGCTCTGCAACGCCGAGAGCAGCGATACCTCGCCCGAGGGTCGCCTCACCAGATTCTTCAACGGTCTTTACGCATCATTACGCAGAGGCGGTCGCGCCGTGTGCCAATTCTACCCTAAGAACGACACCCAGCGCAACATGATCACCCAGGCCGCGGTCAAGGCCGGCTTCGGCGCCGGTCTTCTCGAGGATGACCCCGAGACGAAGAACGTCAAGCTCTACCTTGTGCTGACTGTCGGTGGTACCGCGGAGGGTGGTCGCGGAGGCGACATCACAAACGTTGTGGACGGCATGGACAACGTCGATGTCGAGGATGCGAGGAGGAAGGCTAGCCAGCAGAGTGGTAAGGGTGACATCAAGAAGGGAAGCAAGGCGTGGATCGTCAAGAAAAAGGAGCAGATGGAGAGGAAAGGAAAGGTTGTCAAGTCTACCTCAAAGTACACTGGACGCAAGCGCAGAACCGCCTTCTAAGCGGACAGTACTTGGGCGAGTTCTCGGGGATGTCGCATGGCATGGCGTTCAGGGTTACAATGGAAAACTTGCTTTTAGAGATCGAAAATCAAATCAGATACCCTCATTTACGTCTCAGAGCCTTTCTGCTTCATCTGGTTCTGTCTTCTTTACGAGTCTTGAGCGTGGAGTGATCAATGGTCTTAGGTCTTGCGAAACAGAAAAGAAAAAGCCATCTGGCCACACCATGAATTGAACAACAGATATAGTAATACCTCAGGAAACTTCACCGAAGTAGACAACAGCTCAAGTATCCAACTGATGATGTGACAGATGACAGATGAGGCGGCATTGGATCCTGTTAACCCTTTCCTCTTCGTCTAATGTTCGAATTTACCAAGGTACCCATCCTAATACAGCTTCCGTGAATATTATCTAAAGCACTTGTTTATTTTCTAAATTCTACCTTACCTTTTCATCCCAACCATGTATTTGATGAGATCTACTCCTCCTTTAATCATTTGTGGGATGAGAACTACGGCAACTGGCAAGTGTAGATAACAGATCAATAGAATTATTTCTGCCGCTCATTTGCGATACCACATTCTCGACTTTCTTCCCTGTCGCATCTTCCGTTGTAATTGCAACATCCCATAGAGCAGCGCCTCGCTCGTCGGCGGGCATCCAGGAACATAGATATCTACCGGCACCAAGCGATCACAACCACGGACTACAGAGTAACTGTAATGGTAATACCCCCCGCCGTTGGCGCAGCTACCCATACTAATGACCCAACGCGGTTCCGGCATCTGATCATAGACCTGGCGGAAAGCGGGCGCCATCTTATTGGTGACGGTACCCGCGACTATCATCACATCTGACTGGCGCGGTGATGCTCGAAACATGAAGCCGAATCGGTCTTGATCGTATCGTGGTCCGGCAATGTGCATCATCTCTACGGCACAGCATGCAAGGCCGAATGTCATTGGGTACATTGATGACTGACGGCCCCAGTTGGCAAGTTTGTCGAGGGTGGTTCTGGTCAGAGAGTACTTAGAAATTACCCATGGGTGATCCATCCGGGACGGGGTTACTTACACGGCATATTCCACCAGAGATTTGGGCTGAGATTGTGTAGGTAGCGCAACTTCGCGACGAGTCGGGCGTGGAGAGACGGATTTCTGGCTGGTAGGAGAAGTTGCAAGGCACCGAACGCTAGCTGGTGGAAGTATCGATCTCTGCGCGACTCCCATGACGCGGGGCACCCGGGCTGCTAGAGTATTTGACATATCGTATGGAAGAGAGGAATTCTTGCCCAAGAGGTAGGAGTGAAGGTCTTTGGAATAAATGGAGGAACGAAAGGGGCACCGGTGCTTCTTAAAGCTCGGGAAGTATGCATGGGTCTCGAGCTCGAATACTCAGGGCCAGAGGGGACCAGCATAGAGAGACTGAAAGAGAAACGGAGGATAAGGCTTTAAGTCTTTACCAGCTACCTACCTTAGTTTCGATGAGATTTCGTAGAGAGCAAGATACTTAACCAACTGCTTAACGAGAGCTTCGGCGGGTGCTTGTCATGCTCTCCATGGTCCAAGTCTTCGCATTTTGGTGAGGTCTCGGTCGAGTTTGCCAGGACCAACGCAAAATATCTTGAAGGAAAATGAGAGACTTCTACAGAAAGACATAGGCCAATGTAAAATCATGAGATCTCATCAAATTGTTCTTTGATCATGAGCTTGTAGGCCCTTTGCGCAATTTGTTGATCGTGATTGGTCCTCCGTCTAAGTCGAAGCGAAACCCCACATCGGACTCGCGACGAGAACGAAGTGGGACCAACTGATCCGAGCCCGCCTGCCCGGGCCCCGTAAGTCCGTCGTCAGTAACACAACCGCAAAGGCTACCCGACCGCTTCAGTCCTTTCACGGAACACACAATCCGATCATCATAACTCTTTATTCGTTCTGCCAGCTTCTGGTCTCGCCGGTATCGATGCAGCTAGACCCCTCAAGCAGCGACCCCTGACCTTGGTTGCAACCTGCTGAAGCTTGCGTCTGAGCCCCTGTCTCCCAAGTGCCCACCGGAGCTGTGGACGACAGACCTTGGCATGGAAAGCCTTCCTTCCTTGAGACATGGGCCTAAAAGAGCTCATAAAAAGGTTCGAACGGGATGTATTGCCTGTAAGGCGAGGCACGTAAAAGTAGGCGGCCACCCCAAGTCAGGTTGAGCCCATATCTGACTTCTATTCGGGACAGTGTGATGAACGAAGACCCCAATGCAGCCAATGCACCAAGCAAGCTATAGCCTGCAATTTCCCTTTACCAAAACTATATCCTCCAACAGAGGCTACAGCACCAGATCTGTCTCATGGTCTTTCCTTCAGGGGCGGAGCACTTGACCTCAATATGCTTGATCTCGAACTCATACATCACTGGACACTCTTTACCTACGACAGCTTGACAGTCAGCCCCGTAATTAAAACATTCTGGCTTAGGAACGCGGCGAAAATCGGGTTTCGCTGTGACTTTGTCATGCGGAGCTTACTGGCCCTTTCCGCCGTTCATTTGGCACATCTCAATCCGGCGCGAGAAGAAGCACTATTTCAACATGCACTGAAGCACCACAACACATCGACAGCGGCAACTATTGCATCGATCCATCATATAGACCAAGTGGAAGATGTCGTAATGCGAGAAAACCTTTTCCTATACTCAATGTTCATCATGTTTTATAGTACGCATCACCTAACTTCCCTTCTCGACCGATGTGTGGCGCTAATATCTCCGGTACTCCTGTAGTCATCTCGCAGACGGAACACCCCCAAGATGCCTTCTTTGGCCGTCCAAGTCGAAAAGAAACATCATCCCCAGACTGGATGGTGTTCTTCCACGGATCAAGGTCAATCGCGCTGGCGTCAATGGCACTGCATACCACGACCAGTCTAACCCATCCAATAATTGGATACACAATGGGCATGCTCGCAGACCGTGAGAGGACATCAAAAAGGCAATACCTCGGTACTTTACTTGCCCGCATAAAAGAAACTGAGTCGAATGAACATTACGAAACGTATCTGCATGCCGCGGAAGAGCTTGAAGCAACTTTTGCGGTACTGGCCGAGTTCCCAGAAAGCAGAGACATCTTCCACGGGTTCCTTTGGATCAGCAACGTATCGGACCACAGGGGAGATCTGATAGCCTTGATTCAGGGTCGTGATGCGTCACAAGAAGCGTTGGTTGTGTACACATACTTTTGTAAGATCATCCAGAGGCTTCCGGCACGGTGGTGGTCTGAAAAATGGGTCCGGGGGCTGAAGGATGGTGCCTTTGCCTCCCTTGATGAAGAGCATCGAGCTTGGGTCGTTGAGTTACCAAGTTGGACCTGATTCGTCCCCAAGCACACATATTTATTCACTTATCTTGGCCGTCTGGAAGTACCCGTAGACGTACTGGTATGATCTCCATATTCTCCGACGTTGACTCACCCTTTGCGAGCATCCCTGTTGACCCGAATGGTTTGCGGAAAAGCCCTAGCGGGCAGTCGATTGCAACCCCTTGGCATGCAGATGGCACAAGATGGGTAAAGAGCATCGCATTCCCAAAGCCGAGATCTAGGAGAATTAGCATCATGCACTAGGATGAACGAAATAAATCGGCTTTTATTGGAGGACCCCTACGATGGACTTCGCTACGATAGGTGAGGAGGAGTCGAGACAAGGGCCGCCGCTCGGGAAACGGCCCCCGGCTTGGAAACTGGAACCCGAGCTTCGGGAGATCGGCGGGCCGGGCTGCATTACGCAACCGAGCCGGAGCCAGGGGCCGGACTGATATGGTAGAATTGTACTTTTAGGCCGTCGTTCGGCGGACGACTCAAGTTGACCTTATGGCGACAGAAATGAAATAGAAATATCTTTATCGAAGCCTTCGGCATTTGTGCTCGTGGTTCTACCAGCAAGAGTCAGCACACCGAGCTACAATCTCCGTTGCAATATTCCAATCAATACCAGTATTCATCCTATATTTTGGCAGCTACGACAGCTACATCCGTCATCACATTTGCGATGCCTTCAGTCGTGCTATCGCTGCTTGTTTCAGCGGCCGCGGTATACCAGTCAAAACGACAGAAGCTGACCCAAGCTAACCACCTTCTCAGCTGAGTATCTACGGAGTGGCAACGGTCATCTACAATCTCTTCTTCCATCCCTTACGCCGCTATCCGGGGCCTAAGCTATGGGCAGCTACGCCTCTGCCCGCAGCCATCAGCATCCTCCGAGGCACTCCTCACCTAACCATTCTGGAACTGCATAAGCGCTACGGCGACGTCGTTCGCGTGGGACCCAACGAGCTGGCACTTGCGCACGCCGATGCATGGAAAGATGTCTGCGGACATCTTAAGCGCGGACAAGACGAGAATCGGAAAGACCCAAAGTACGGCAACGAAGAAATGGATAAGAGCCTTATCTCGGCATCGCGAGGGAGACACGGGCCCGCACGACGACTTCTGTCTCACGCGTTCTCTGCTCGCGCAATGGCGGAGCAACAGCCCCTGATGGACAGATGGATCAGCCTCTTCATCCAAAGAGTACACGAACACAGCAAAGGTGGAACAGTGGCCATGGATGCCTCCAAGTGGTTCGAGTGGACGACGTTTGATATTATTGGGGATCTGGCTTTTGGAGAACCCTTTGGATGTTTGCAAAACTCCGCCTCGCATCCATGGGTGGATAGCTTCTTCGCGTCTATGAAGATCATTCCGTGGATCCAGGCCATTAGCGACTTTCCTCTCTTCTCCGTGTTGAAACCTCTCTACTTTATCCTCTTTGTTCCCAAGGATGTGTTGAAGCAACGGGCTTTAAGCCAGGTCATGGCCGAGGAGAACCTAAAGAAACGGCTTGCTATTGGAGGTGACCGACCAGACTTTGTTCAAGCTTTGTTGAAAAGCGGCGAGAAACACGTGAGTATCAAGTACATGGTCCTGATATCCTCCGTTTTCTTTCTCACAAACATGATGTATAGGAAATGTCCCCAATCGAGATGAGGGACAACATGGTCCTTCTCACGACAGCCGGCTCCGAGACAACTGCAACTACTCTCGCGGCGACCACATACTTCCTCGGCAAGCATCCCGAAATTCTCTCCAAGCTGAAAGCTGAAGTACGCTCGGCATTCAAGAGCGAGCAAGACATTGATGTCAACAGCGTCCAGAGCCTCCCTTACATGCTTGCTATCCTCAAAGAGTCTATGCGAGTTTATCCTGCTGTCGCTGTTGCCTTGTTGCGTCAGACGCCTCCGAGCGGCGCGCAGATTGCCGGTAACTGGGTAAATGGAGGGGTGAGTCTACCTCTGTGACGACGGGGCTTACTTGAGGTTCACGCTGACGTGGTATGCAGACGACTCTGGGTATCTGGCAGTATGCTGCATATCACGATCCCACCAAGTTTCTTTACCCGGACGCGTTCATCCCGGAGCGTTGGCTGGATGATAAGCGCTTTGATGGCGATCAGAAGAACTTGCATCAGCCGTTTTCTTACGGCCCTCGCAATTGCTTAGGCATGAAGTATGTTTTCTAGTACTTGATCGTGCTCTTTCTCGTCCTGGGACCTTGATCAAGATGGTTACTAACATGATGCGTATCTAGCCTTGCGTTTGCTGAGATGAGATTAATTCTTGCCCGAATCATCTGGAATTTTGACTTGGAGCTGGCGCCAGAGAGTGGATCTTGGGCAGAAGGTCAAAAAGTTTTCTTCTTCTGGGACAAACCTCCCTTGTGGGTGTACTTCAAGCCTCGAAAAGAGCGATAAACCAGTTGGCAGCTTCCTTCGAAACGTCATACGGTAATCGGATAAGTGCTTGAGGAAAGGGATAAAGCTCAAGACCAGTATTATGCCTGGAAGAGGTAAATTTAGCAAGGCCGCGGTATTGTATCCTAGATGGATCAGTTCCGTGCTTCAACTTCGCGTTGGCCAAACTTTCAGTCCGCTTCAATAGTGAAACTCTTTCTGCAGGAGGCCGACAAGAAAAGCATTCCTGTGATGCAAACTACTTTTCCGAGCCCGTGACAGTTGCGTCAACGGGAAAAGTCTAAGAACCATATCCCCTATATATCTAATTGGATTGTCGATTCATGGAAATTACTTGAAGCTAAGTGACTCACTTGCAGAAAGTCTTTGCTATTTTACATAGCACGAAATATCATCCTTACCAACGGCTCCAAGACAGACACCAAATCACAATGAAGCCTCACTCAGTGGTACCTTCATTGTTCCCTCTTTTCCTCACAGCACATATTCCTGTTGCATGTGCCGGCCCTCTGGCTTACGGCACTTGCCAGGCTGGGTGCGCGGGCTTGGTCACAGCTTGCTATTCCGCTGCTGGCTGTGTCTGGGGTGCCACTGCTGGTAGTGAAAAGCGAGGAAACCATAATTACGCAGGCTAGAGACCAGCCAGAAAGATTCTAATACTTGCAGTTCTTGTTCATCGTCTTAGGCATGGAGAGCACTCGGAAGATTTGCTTCAAAATTTTGAAATTTGTTTTTTCTTTGTATGACTCGAAGTAAGTACGTAGGAGCATTAACATCACGGTGTCATTATTCCATATTATCGAGTACTGGAAACGCCAAGCGTGGACACATGCTTCTGTGCATCCTATACTTTGCTGAAACAGAGTTAGCCATTAAGATACGAATAGGGCCATCCCGGAGCAACTTACTTGAACGCTACTCCCGCGTCACTTGAACTGATACCGGTTTGGATAAAGGTATCAGACCACACCCTATTGTACCTAAGGCGTTGGATGTTAGGTTTTCGTTTATTGTGTATACAGCGACGCTTCAACAGAGAGGACGAACCTGTTGCAGATATAATAAGGGTTGTAGGCACCACGGTTAAATTGAAGAACTCTGTAAAGGAAGACCGAGGCGCATTGATCTTCGGGAAAAAGCTGTTAGACGTAAATTATGGCTTGTGGATGGTTTGAACTTACTTGTGCACTTAGAGAGACACCACTGCTCTATTCCGCTCGTCACCCCTTCACTTGCACTGTCAGAAGTGGCATCGTAGTCGGCACTAGCTACTCCATCCCGCTCCAAAACCTTAGTAAAGCCTTGGGGAGCATCACTCCATGTAGGTTTTGGCGGTGGGTAAGGCTGTGCAGATGCCGATGAAGAGGGCGCAGCCGAGGTTGCAGCTGGACCAGTGGTCGAAGTCGGAGCTTCTGGGGCAGAGGTGCTGGTAGGAGCTGCAGAGGCAACGGAAGTTGCTTGACACGCACCGGCGCCGCCCGAAGGCGCTGCTTGGCGACGTCTGCCTGCAGAAGATCCAGGGGCCGAACATGCTAGACCACGAGGGTCAATGCCGTTCCAGATGACGGCGGGTTCGCCCTCAACTCTTGAGTATGCGAGAGATTTGACCATCTCCTTGACGTTTGTTGCAACTGAGCCCGGAACCTGGAGACGGGCCTTGTGCTCGTCTTGAGATAGCCAGACTGCAATCACGCCAGCGACTGCAGGCGCGGCTAGGAGTTTAATGTCAGTTAGCAATTCTCCTACAAGTAAAACGTTTGCGAAAATAATTGGCAATTGCTCACCGAAGGAAGTTCCGTAAAGCTCCTGCGAGCCGGCAGATCTGCCAGAAGCACAATCAACGAAACCGGGGGCGGAAACAGTCAGTTGATCTCCAGTGCCTTGAGAGAAGAATGCGCGGTAGCCGTCATTCTCAGTTGCGCCAACGACGATGATGTCCGTGGTAGGCCCGAAGAGAGCAGGGTACTCCGTCACATCATCGACGCCGTATTGCTGAACGACAAAACATGATTAGCAAGATGAAAGTTCAAAGATAGAAGGCACGATGTTGGAAGACTCACAGCATCGTTTCCAGAAGCCGTGACGATGACGATATCTTCCGCCATAAGGGCCACAAGAAGTAGCTTATACGCGGTAGTGGTAGACGACAGCTTGTCGGGGATGCCTACCATAGGCGAATGGTTAGTGTACCAGCCAGGCTGATGGAGAACGAGGCGCAAGGTGAGACTTACGAGACCCTAGCGACATGTTGATGACAGCTTTGCCTTCCAGCTTCTTCTGGAAGACATCGTTGCTAATCTCAATCAAAGCCGTGAAGATAGCCGAAAGCGAGAGAGTACCTGGCAGCTTGACAGCTATCAAATCGGCTCCCTTCGCGGTGCCGTATGCTGGCCCAGCTGCTTTTGAAGCTACGCACGAGCCGTGGTTCAAGAAATCGGTCTCGTCTTTTGTCGCGCCAGGGGCGTACATAAAGCCTTTTGTTCCTGTCATGCCCGTCCATTCCTGCCATGAGTTAGCAATTATCACGGACGGGGGTATGCTGTTGAAAGATGTCATACCGAGTTCTCAGCGTTAGCGCCGGTGTCAATGACATAGATCGTGACTCCCTTTCCTGCTTCTGAAGCATATCCAAACCCAGGCAAGTCCGCAATGCTTGCTCCAGCTGGCTGCGAAATTGCCTTGAGTTCATCAACTGCGTCCGATTGCAACGCAATGTCAGCGGGGTTAGGAACACTTGTTTTTGGCGAACCAGGTGGGCCAGTGGCTGTTGGTTGGCGCGATGCAGATGAGGGTGGCGCAGAAGATGATGGCGGTTGCTCTTCTTCCAGCCTCTCATCGGGAGTAACACCGGCAACCTATGTGTTTATTTAGTACTGTGAAGTCTCGCGGCAGAAGAAAGAGTCAGACTTACACCAGGGCGCTTTGACATGGCGTCTGCCTGCTCAGTGGTGATGTTCGCCTTGAACATGGCCACCAAGCCAGTGCGGTCACTAATGACCTCCTCCAGTGACTTGGGTGCAGCATCTCTTGAGAGTGTGCTGTTAAGGTCTTGAATCTCTTCCTTTGTGGAGTTTTGCGAAGTGAGAATGATGTAGGGCGTTGGCACAGCCGTGGATGATGGCGTGGAAGACGATGTTGCAGATGTTGAAGTAGGGGCTGCGGAGGTAGAGCTGGGGACAGATGGAGCAGAAGAAGGAGGCTTGGATTCTGCCGGATCTGAGGTTTTCGGATTTTGTGATGGGACCGGATTCGAGATGTTTTCAATCTCAGGAGTATCACCATTCGCTCCAGTGCCGATGATTGACACAACAGCTCCAGGAGCTAGTGCGTGAGTGACACCGGCAACCACAAGAGACCCGCCGCCCGCACCGGCTACATAGGTTGCTCCGATAACTGCTACGACGACCTCTCCACCAGAGATTGTCTGCGTTGTCGGTGCTGAGCTAGACGTTCCGATGGTTGTCCAAGTTGACGATACGCGAGTGGATGTTCTAGGGTCGGGAGTGATTAGGGGTTGTGTGGAGGAAGCCTTAGTGCTAGCTGGTCTCGTCGTGTTTGAGACGGGAGCTTGTCTCGCGATCAGATGGCGTCTGCTGTGCATCAGATCGTTCCGGGTGTCCTGGTGCGGGAGTGAGACGGCCCCGCTGCTGAGTAGCAGCAGGGCAAGCCCGCGGACTAGGCCGTTGAGATGCATGTGAACGAAGGGCAGGTAAAGAATGACTATGCTCAAAGAGCGAAGGTAAAGATTGAATGAGTGTCAAAGAATAGTGAGCGATGAACATTTGCAATCGACGTGGAACAGATCATATTTGGTTGCTAGAATATATAGAATTCCTACCTTATGAGACAAGGGAACAAGCCTTCTGTCAGGCTTCAGTGGCCGATGAACTGCAGCCATAGCTGCCATATCAACTTTCCCGTCTTGGCGTAAAGTTTAGTTGATCAATCTACTTTCAGGAGAACTTTGCGCCATGTTAACGAGCGAAATCGCGAGGAAGCTTGCCTACGTGCCTAGGGCTCACTGCTGGCTGTTGATGCTGTTATTCTTAGCAATGGTACAAGTCGCTTACACGATGCCGATAATTTAAACCATACCGAGATAAACTTTAATAATGTTTGGACTGACAGCTCCAGCAGCGTGGCAGCCCTACGAGTACATGACTCAAGAACGTAGAGTCCAGACCCAGTTGCCCCTCCTTCAGGAATCCGCGGCTTTACGTGAAGCATGGATATTGGTTGCGTAGTAATAAGAGGCTGTGTGCCGCGCGCCCTTTCGACCAAAATAAGCCGACTTAGCCGTCAAAGTCATGTTTCGGAATACGCGGTGCCTTGGCTTGCGGATAAACTTGGAAATTCGTGGCCGAGCCCGAATCGACTGTGGGTTGATCTGGTGACAAGGCACCAGATTATGACGCGGTCAAACCAGTTATGAATGAAGAAGTGCAGGGTCCATCTTGCAAGTTCTCGTTATCGCGTTCGAGGAGAAGTATAGCTCTGATTACGTCCTGTGGGCTCCTAGTAATGGCTGTCTTGGAAAGTGTTCAGGCGCGTGTGGTGCGCACTGCGGCATCGGAGGATTCGAAATGAATTTGGGACGCTCTCCGTGCCTTTTGATTGATTACGAACAAGAGGCGAATTATGAGACCTGCTCGATATTTACGTCGGCCTAGAACCACATATCCCATCAACTGCTAGATGACAAGAATATTTATGTACGTACTTCTTTCCTAAAAGGCAATGATGAATCATACCTCTGACAACGCTCCATTTCCTTTCCTATTCCTTAACATGTATCCGTCGAGTGCGAGTGATTGAGTTTTGGAGATGACAAGATGAGATCAACGGCTCTTAGCATGCGTTGATGAGTTTCAAGGCGATACTACGTGGCCGGTTGTTTCTCATCATTCTGTGCCTGATCTTGACGCTTCCTCTACCTATCACTGCTGCTTTGTGATTGCATTTCCTATTTTGTGGCGCTCCTGTTCTCATTCTTTACGCAAGTCCCCGGATTTCTACACGAAACATTGGAAAATATATGAGATATCGTTTGCGACGCACATCTACCCACGTCAAGTATTGAAATAGGGAAATAGCATACAGAACAGTAAATATTGCGAAGGTCTTTTTTTAACTTCCAAAGGGTTTCTCAAAAGCATCTCGCCTCTGAACCATTCTCCAAGCTCTGAGTAGTCGGGCAAGAGAGCACGATTCAGGGATACGGAAGTCCAAACTCTTCGGACTAATTTCAATAACATTCTGCGCACTCTTATTTAAGGACTGAAAGACGACAAGATCTTCAATTTGCAGATGACACAATGAGAAACTGTTTTACTTAGAATGCCGGCTTGGCTGAGTTTCAAGTACTAATGTTATGTTCAAGTCAAGTGAAAGGACACTGGAGAACAAAAATCAAGTCTAAGCAGAACACATAAATTTATGCTGGGTGGAGTATCAAGAAGTTCGACATCATAAAGTATCCAAATGCCAAAATCCCTGAACTCAGGAGATCCTGTTGTTAATTTAAGATATTCCCAGGTCCTTCTCATATTCAGGTCGTCGATAAAGGCTGCATCGCTCTAATTACAATTGAAATGATAGCTGAACTTCTGGGTGGCGCCGCCTACCAAGGGGCCTAGCGACGCTGACCATTCGACTTCGACGAGCCAATTGGGAAGAGACGCTAAGCCCTGGTCAATACACGGCACTCCTTTCCCCTCCTTCACGTTTCTCTTTTCAACATCGCCTGGCTACCGGCCAAGAGAAGTCTGCCGCGCTTTATGCATCGGGTATGATCGCTACATTACCCTCATTCTACATGCACCCGTCAACTTTATACCTTTGGCCTCCTCGCCTTCCGACAGCATAGCCCAACAATGGCCCTATTCTCGACGTTGAAGGATGCTGAACCAGAAGGATCTGCACCACAGGAGTTCGCCTATGCTCTCCGATGCGTTCAGTTGCGCGCAGGCGATGGATCTCAGCCGATCATTTGCAAATTGAAGCCATCTATATTGGGACAAATCCAGCACAGCTATGAGGCCTTATCATACGCATGGGGCGACACAACGAAAAAAGTCGAGATTCTTCTAGATGGACAGCCATACAAGATCACTAAAAATCTCGAAACGGCTTTACGTCGTCTGCGGTTGGCAAAAGAAGATCGCTTGTTGTGGATTGATGCAGTATGCATCAATCAACAGGATCGCCTCGAAGTCAATCTTCAGGTCAAGAGGATGTGGTCAGTGTACAAATATGCTTCGAAGGTCATTGTGTTCCTAGGCGAGGGGACGACTGATACTCACCACGCTGTCGAACTGATACAGACCTTAGCAGAAGAAGGCTTAGGGCTTGGCCATCGACACGTTACGGCTTTACTATTCACCAAGGATGCTCAGCCCACGAAGCGGGCTCTACAAAGCTTAATGGGCAGTCCGTGGTGGAGCAGAGCCTGGGTTATCCAAGAGTTCTCAGTTGCGACCGAAGTTGCTTTCGTCTGTGGTAACCTTCAGTGGTCTGGTGAATCCTTTTCCGAAGCACTGCGGACCCTGGTAGACGTCAGATTCAACGCAGCTCTACCGCGCGGACAGGAATATTTTATGAGAGAAATCGCGTCGACACCGATAAGTCATCTGATGACAGCACGCAAAGACTACCAGGGTAGCCATTCGGAACCGTCCAAACGCGCCCCTAAAAGAGACCCGCTCAGTCTTCTCTACAGGTTTCGGAGTTTCAAAGCTTCAGACCCCAGAGATAAGGTATACAGCTTGTTCCATCTAATCGGAGAGGTCTCGATGCTGCAACCGGACTACAACCGCCATGTTAGAGACCTATTCATAGATGTAGTCAAAGCCTCCATCGCCTCGTCAGGAACTCTCGAGATTCTCTGCCATCACAACAGGACAGAGAGCTGCATGCCGGACCTGCCAACCTGGTGTCCTGACTGGACCGTGCAACGAGGCCAGAGGATTCTGCTATGGCAGAATGACTATACAGCTGGAGGTGATGGGGGTAAGCCTTCAGCTAAATTTGAAGGAGACGAGCTACACTTGCAAGGCAAGGTTGTGGATAAGATTGAGTGGGCAGTCTCATTTGACCCTAAGATGTTCAGGAAACCGGGTTTGGTCTTTGACCAGATCATGACAATCCAAGCTCAGGTACTAGAACGGGCGCATGCATTCCCAAAAGAGAGCCAGATGGCTATATCGATAGTCGACTCATTCCGAAGAACCTTGGTGGGATCCCGCGTCAGGGAAAGAGGGCCGCGTCACGAGGCGACGGTTCTCGGCCAACGTGAAGCTGACAAGTTCTGGGATGCCTGGTATTTTTCGATGACCAACCAAGAGTCTTCGGGAATGCATGGAGCTGCGAAAACCTATAATGACGCTCTTTACAGCGCATTAGCTGGAAGAGTCTTCTTCATTTCTGAGAAGAGTCGCATGGGGCTGGCTGATAACCCGGCAAAAGCCGGCGATGTCGTTGGCATTTTTGCTGGTAGCCGTGTTCTCTTCTGCTTGCGGGAGAAGACGAGGGATAAGTCAAGGAGCGATGAAGATTCGAGACGCACATACAGTCTAGTAGGTGAATGGTAAGTTATTTCCTAAGCTTGTATGAAGTTGACACCTACTTGATTACTTACTAACAGTATTGAATGGAAGCTACTTGCAAGACTTCATGCAAGGCGAAGGTGTCCCTGCTGAAGAGACAATGTCGCCAATTTGTCTGATTTGATCACGTATTTAAGTGACTTTTAAGTCTGTTTGTCATCCACCCATGGTGGAGGGGAAGGGTTTCAAGAAGGCCTACGTCTCGGATCACTAGAGAAACCTTCATGCTCCAAAATGCAAGTGGTTGACTATGAAGAGAACGCATTTATTCCGGTGGTTAAAGGTAGTTTTATGTGAGGTACCTAGATAAGGGAGACCCCAATTTAGGAACAAAACAACAAGAGAGAAAAAAACGATGAAAAGCGCGCTTCGAAGACTTGACGAGATTTCCTAGTTCGCTATTGGCATACTAGAAATTATCAGATGGTTCCTTACCTCTTCCGAAGAAGGCAATTCAATCGCCGGTGTAACGCCAAGCACCGAGGCCCCTTGTGATTGCGGCCCGGAGCTTAACCCCGCAAGAAGGGATTCGACTACACTACGAATAGTCTAGCCTCAACAATGGATAGGTAGATGCAACATGCCACGATTGTCCTAGGCTGGGGGCTGGGGACAGAAAGTGTTGCCAGGGCATTCTACTCCCCACAAATAGTCGAAGCCCGTTCTTGCGCCGGCAAGCTGCTCGTCTTTACTCTTCCCAGCTTTGAGTGTTCTCTTCTTTAACGTTCCTAGTCACGCCTAGATATTCTATCCATTACATCCAGTCTTCCCATTTCTCTCCACTCTAGCAGCGGCGTCTTGTCAAATTCTATCATTGTTGGCTTACTCATAACCCCCGAAAGCCCACGGCAGGAAAGCTCGTGTCGTCATGATGTTAAGCGAAATCACCCCTGTCCCTGCACCATGGAAGCTCAAGGGCGACGTCTACGTCTTCAGCTTCTGGGTACCCAGAAAGCAGGCAGAACATCCTCCAACAATCACGTACTCTCCACTCGAAGCGAATTCTCCATTTATACGCCCAGATGGTAGTCGCCCTCTTGGAGGGATCAGCATGATCCAGATCATCCGTTACACTGAAAGTCCAGTCGGTCCCTATGACGAACTGATCTTGAGTCCGGGATTTCATGAGTACACGGTTGAGGAGAACGGCAAGCGCATCAAAAAGAAGAATGCAAGAATCACAAGGATTTACGTTTCTCAAAAGTACACATGCTGGAATGGGCGAAAAAGTGAGATTTCTGTGTTATTTCCCACACCACTATGCTTGTTGCTCACACAAAGGAAGATTGGAACATTCCTAAACATCTAGCAACCTTCGACTGGGAAACAAATTCAGATGGCGGCACTTCTGTGAGAGTGTTCCCTCACGACACATCCGGTGACATCAAAGAGTCGACGGCAAGCACCACGGCGCTGTTCCAAGCCACATTCAAGCCTATGCCATATGTGCCGTCTTTCCCCCTCTCTCTTGACATTCTAAAGTACGTCGGTGTGGATGCAACTCTTGTTCAGCCCCCATTGCCCGAGGGAAGTGGAAGCCAGGGGGAACTACCAGGGACCGATCGCTGGTGCAGCATTGCGCCAGGCCAAAGCTCCAAGAAGACGAGTCTAGGTTGGTTCGATATCCGACAAGCTGATGAGAACGGCCGCATCATCGGGGAACACGAGAACTTTTGGCCTGGGCTTGGAAGGTGGCAAATTGGTATGAAGATGGAAGATTCGGTTGTCTCCTTTCCCGAACCAAAACATTGGGATGCACCCAAATCGGTCCTGTAATCCAGTATCATGCCAAAGGGTTCTTGACTTGTCACTTGGTTATGACACGCTTGGTGATGAAGATTTGATTGTTGAAGTGAAAAGGTATGCGTAGGAGGGAATACTGCGACGCTCGTGAATCAATTACGTTATCTACCCGTTCACACTACTTAAAATGCATTCTCTCTTTGACCAATAAACCGTGGTTCACTGCCTTTATAGCCTCACCCTTCATCAGACCCTGTACACACGACTCGCCCACCAAAAGCCAGTAGTCTCCCTCCTTGCGCACACAGTACGGCACATCACCGCCCGCAAGCACCACAACAGCATCTCCCTGCCGAGTATTCGATGGACCAATGCCCATCCTTCCGTCTGCAGTAACCAAGAAGGCCCTATCAAAACCATAGTTGTGAACTAGGCTCTTGTAGTAGTCTGCAGCCCCACCGGAAGATAGTTCCTGGAGTACGAAAAGAGCATTCGAATCCCCGCTCTGCTCTACGCACAAGGACAAAAGTGATACGTCGTTTAGGAGCAGATGATGGATATAGGCCGCGCCGTCCGCGACAGACTGCTCCCAGTCCCGGCCGACAAATGAATGCTGCTTGACCGTAGTGGCGCTGACAAAGTGTCTCGTCCAGGTGGGTATGGAATCCTTCTTGAGTGTCTTCAGCGCCTCTGACAAGATACGCATCATCTGTTCTGTAAAAGGCTGCTCGGGATCAACCTTGCGAGAAGGATTGACGCCAAACGGCACAGCCACCTCAACTGTGCACACTCTGATACCCATGAGTGAGAGTACCCGCGGGTCGTCTTCGTGACGGATCTCAAGTTCAAGCCCTGAGGCTGCAGAGAACTGTTCAAGGAAACCGAGTCTGGCTGGGCTGGACTTGTCTCCGACATGCACCCATGAGAGAGTTGTAGCGATGCCTTCGTTGGGATTCTTCAAATCGCTCCAGTCGGGGCACCACGAAGGTATATCTAGACTCATCTCCCGCTGTCTTCTGGTAATGCTGCCATCGACACAGCGTCCTCGGTTCAAGAACGCAAGTGACCGACTCTGTTTCAGCATATATCGCCCAACCCTCAGGTATACATCCGTCACATCAATTTGATAGTCTGGTCTCAACTCGGGAGGTATAGTAGCCAGATCCTGACATTCGCGAGCAAGTCCCATGAGTCCGTAGATCTTGTCCCTCTGGTCGCTGGCGTTGAATTTGACCTGCGTGATCGAGACTAGTGCGTCAAGGGGCCACAACGTCTGCGCCCGCTGGAGGTTAGCCATGGTGTCGATATTGCGTAGCTTCTCGGGCACTTGAGAGAGACGCATGTAGCCATTTTTGCGCAGCCAGGCCGCCGCCCAGCCAAAGTGACTCCAGGGGAAATACTGCTCCCCATGGAGGAAGATGGGATCCAGCGTCGACAAGGCGACCTCCTGAACGACCCAGATCCTAGAAAACCACCGTCTTGCCATGAGGTTCTTGAGATGCGACCACCGAAAGTCTTCCCACGGCGGCAGACCGGAGGCTTCATGTGCAGAGGGACGGTACATGCAGGTTGGTATGTCACTCGGCTCCGTGGCTCCAGGATTCTGCTGCCTAAAGACGCGGTATATGCTGTCCAGCAGCTCCCACGCACCATAACAGTCGCTCGACTCGGGACCGAGCCAGATAAGCGTTCTGATGGCGCCGCGATACAGCTGTCCCATGAGGGAGACTTGGGATTCGCGCTCGGCGAGATTGGACTGATCGATGCAGATGCTATCGATCCAGATGTGACGGACGGGAGGGTCGAGCTCGGAGTTGCTTCCTGCCAGTTGCGAGAGCCTGTGAACGCAGGCGGCGAGATCAGCTCCAAGTGTGACGACTCGGCTGTTTATGAGGACGTCCCGGTAGCTGTGCTGGCTCGTCCAGCTATGACTAACGGCGTAATATGGAGAAGCATCGCGCAATTCCACTACTTCTAGACTGCCCACTTCATCTGAGGCGGGGTCTGGATTCAGCCGCAGGAGTCGGACTTGGTTGGTCTTGAGAGGGCTGTATAGGCCGGCCTCTTTCGGGCCCTGCTGCGTGTTCATATTTGGTTGCCGTTGGAAAGATTTGAAGAAAGGCGGCGGGATTTGGCTAACGTCCGTGATTTGTACAAATTTCTACGGAGAATAAACCCTGGGATGCAATTCTCGTTGCATTCAGCCTGACGTGCCTGTCCCCCGCCTTCTTGGAGAGGGATCTCACGTCATGCTAGGCTGACTAGGCTGACACGTGGCGGCATACAGCCACAAACGGCTACTACATAGGAGCTCAGCCTTCAATAGTCTTCATTATACATATACTTTTTCTACCAGGAAGGTGAAATTCGTGCAAGTTGAATGAACTGGGGAACACTCTTGTGCATCCATGCTTGTATAGCGCACTTAAGGCTGGGCTTAGGGACTTCTCAGGATAGCCACCCGAAAAAATAAGCAGGACCCATGAGACAAATGGGGTTGTGACTCAAGCTCCTAGTCTGGCTCCGACCACAGTGATCCCGCCAATTCTCGCGAGGCAAGGTACCATTGCAGCACGCTCGGACGCAGGAAACGTGGGTGTTCATCTAAGCTTCTCATGTCGTACATGACGATATGGGCAGGAGTGGGACCCTGCTGCTTGGGACGGCCCGAAGCGAGTGCCAGCGGTTTGACGGACGCCAAACTGTAAAGACCTGGTCACCAGAGCCCGACATGAGTCAAGACGACCTCTCTGACCTGGTACATTCGCCGAGGAATGTGCTTGGCCTCATCCGCGTTCGAGGTTACATTGCGACTCTACGTGGAGATGGAAGACTCTGGGTATCTGGGCTTTCACTGAGCAAAATCATTTGCTGTGAGCCATTCGGAGTCGAACGATTTTACAATATAACAAGATCTACGAGAGAATGAAGACTAAAATTGGGGCGCTTAGAGTTTCATGTGATCACTTTTGAGGCTCATACTTGGCCTTCACACTCAGTCGGGAAACCCTTCATGGCCATGTCACCGGTAACAATGGAGGATGTGGTCATGAATCGTCAATTTTACAGGATATCTAATATGCCGAGCTCTCTACATGAATGGCGAAATTTATCAAACTCTAAGCCCTGACTCTCTCCTGTCCGACCTTGGCAGCAAGCTCCAAGCCCTCAGCGACGTCGCTTGGCTGGGATAGGAAGGGGGAGTGGGAGGCCTTAGAAGAGTAGGTAATGGCAGTAGGGCCGAGAAGAGTGGCCATACCCTGCTGAACGGCGAGGGGAATTGCCTTGTCCTCGTCGCAGAAGAAGAACATGGAGTCAATCTCGTGCCACGGCTCGTAGGTCACAACATCGTCGAAGACCTGGGCAGACTGGTGCTGCAGCTGCTCGATAGCCTTGGCGCGAGTCTCGGGCTCAACATCGTGGTAGAAGACCTCCTCGGGAGTCTGGGCGTAGACGTAGTTGCCCTATAAAAGTGTAAGTATCGGGAATGCAGCATAAACTTGCGCAAAATCTTTCAGCGTCATCTTACCTCGAACTTCATCCACGGGAGAAACTGGCCACCAAGCATCTCTCTGATGCACTTGCCCTTGGGCACAACGAAGGCGGTGAGGTAGACGAAAGTGATGACACCACCCTTCTTGCCCTCCTTAGCGCGCTGCTTGTAGCCAAGACCCTCGACGGCGTTGGCTCCGACAAGGCCACCGTAGGAGTGCACAACGAGAACAATCTCCTTGCCCTCATCGGCGAGTCTCTGGAGGACAGCTCTGACGGCGTTGGCGTCGTCTGTGAGGCCCTTGGTGGGGGGCTCAGCGCCGACAGAAGGGTACTCAACGGCCTCAACAGGGTAGCCGCGAGACTCGAGGAGTTGCTGAGCAGGCGAGTAGCAGGTTTCCTTGTGCCACGCACCAGGTGCGAGGACGAAAGTGGGCTTGGTGGTAGACATGATTGGTTGTGTGTGGGTTGTGTTGAAGAGTTAAGCGAGGATGGTGAGCTCGGCAGGGGAATTTCCAGAAAAGTCGAAAGCTTGAATCATTGACGGGCAGAGGGAAGAAGTCGCCATGTTATTAAATATGAGTGATATATGATCGTTGGAGCCGACGCTCAAATCGCGTCTGCCCCTCGCCTCACCGCAATCCATCCTTTCCCCTCTCCTTTGTAAAACGGTAACCTTGCGGCCCCGGTGATATCCCTGAAAGACGCGCCGTTAGCACGCCTTTAGCTCTCCGGAATCCCAACCCGGAACTCGGGAAACCCTGGAAAGAGTCCACTAACGTACGGCAACTGCCACATCTCTCGCGAGAGCTACGAAGCTGCGTGCGGGTCGAGCGACTCATGAGCTTCATTGCGTCGCACTCAATGCGGAGCATTCTTTAGCGGCAATTCCCAATGAGGTCGCATTGTCCAGTAATGGGCCGAATTCAGATTGATAGGGGTCTTGTCAAGAGGTGCGTGCGCACGTCAAGAGGGGGCTTCAGGGATAGTGTTCCCGAACGACTTTCCCTGGGACTTCTCTTTTTCAGGAGTCCTTGACTGGGGACAATTCCGATGATTGCCTTGCCAAGTTGACTTCCGCAACGATTTCTGACAACAGCGTCGTAATAGGCGACCCTTGTGTCATTTTGCAGGCTTTCTTTGGAATGTTTGACCCTCAGTCCACGTGTAAAACGAGAGGGTCTTCGGAAGCAGGGTAGTGATGGAGGGGTTGCGCGACGATCAATGACCTGGGTCTGTCTTTGTTGGGGTGACGTTGGGCAGAAGCACTGTTCAATTCACAACGCCCGAAAGCTGACATCGCCGTTGCTCGCTGCCTCTTTCGTTTAGAATGTCTTTGTTATGAAATTACCTAGCTAACTCACGTCACGTTGGCCGCTGTCGCGAAATCTGGAAGGTTAAGAGTATTATTCCTTCTCCCGTTGATAGAGGCCACATGATCGACCATCGTATCGAACTCATGAGAAAAAGGATACTCCACGAGGCAGCAAGTTCTACGAGGCTACTCATGGCCGGAAGTTGCGCGCGTCATCAGCCATCATCAAAGACATAGTATTGATTCGCAACGAACATTGTTGCCGTTGGTCTACTTGGAGATAGTCAGAATGACCTCTAACGTCATTGAGAAGGTCTAGGAGTAGTCAGCATCGTCCCAGTGCCGCCTTCATGTAGTTTTGGTCGCAAACTTTTCATGCGACTGTAAGCAGAACGCATAGCTGAGCGAGTTTGACGAAGGCTGACATCTTTGAATTGTCCGCATCCGGTTTACCCTAAGCTACTGTAATCAAGTGGCACGGGTGCTGACGAGCCTTTCGGGAAGGAATAGGGCTGAGTGTGACGCAGGTCATCCTCAAAATGGTTAGATATTACCGACGAAGTGGTCACTCGCGAGAGGACTCTAGTAGACAATGACCAATAATCTCACTCCGCCTTGCGGTGGCAGACTTTTGCGTTTCCTGCTAGGCAGAAAGGCGGGCGGGCGGAGACCTCGAGTCATCGTAGATCTGACTTTAGTTCCACTGTGTAGTCTGGCACACACACTACGTTCATTGGCTTAACGTCTAAGCCGCGAAACCAAGTTTGTGACCACATGCGAAAACCTTCACGAAAACCTCAAATATCTGTGCTATCTGATGAACTTACAAACATTTACTGAACACTAGTCGTACTAAACTAATGCTTAAGAGTTATGCGACATGATGCAGATGATCTGAAGCCTGTCCAGCCTCAAACATGACTCACAAATGTAGAACAACAAGCAAGGTATTGACAACTAGCAAAGTAAGCACTGACTTGTTGATTTGGCTCATAGTCAAGAACAAAGCCCCGAGCCTGAACGTCATAAGACGATTCAGGATATCCACGGCTATATATAGGCGAAGAGATGCATTGAGAATGTCCTACGAGGAGCCATGTCAAACTTAGTTGCTGCATCTTGACCAAGAATGAGTGGAGATTTCTACGCTTTTGAGGATGTAGTTGGCCAATAGAGTACTTCCTGACTTCGCCAATTTGTCAAGATGACTTCGTCTCATGGGTACTCTCAAAGACGAAAATATCCCAACTCATGCGTATAAACTTATCGACAATGCCAAAACTCGTTTAACAGTGCAAACCTGCCCACCTTACCTATGACAATGGTACAATTTACCATTCTGGTGGGAACGGTTATCGGTTGTTACGACATGAACACAATCATGAGTGCATATGCACGATCTTGTGAGCAAAGCCGCAGCCAAGACTGACTGTCTCACTGTGTCACAGATCAAGGCGCTTCCATCCAACGATTGGCTCCAATAAGCGGCGTCAGCTTTCGATCTAGAATCAGCGAATTGGACTATGCCACATTCCGTCATGCGTCACGCTGATTCTTGGATCCATTTGGCTAGCGCCGCATACCGATTTCAGTTGAGTTCCAGGGTAAGCGGACATCGGTGAGACGACCCAGGCAGCCTCGTTTCTGCCTGAAGCTTCATGCGGCTCCATAAAGTACGTTGCCGCACAAGACATTGTCAAAGACTCTTAAAGCCAAGGCTGGCACCCAATTTGTTATCATCATCGGAATTTTACTGCTCAATTACGGTTGGAAAGTAAACATGAGCGAACTCTTTAGGCTCACCAAAGCCTCTCTACTCACCAGCGCTACTGGAGCTACTGATGCAACGTCCCAAAAGTTATACCAGGGACTCAACGACTTTTTGGAACGTACTGCACCAGGCTTCAAATTCTTTACAACTTGGCTCAAACTCGACATCACCACAATCATCCTCCTGATAACACTGGGAGGGGAATTGCCAAGGGCGTTGACGGGCATTCAGAAGCTGGGGACTCAAATCTACTGGTGGATTACCCGTTTCTTCACCGCTTCCATCTCAATCGGGAGTAACGACAAACTTAACAGAGAAGTTCTCAACTGGCTAGGAGCACACGTCCTCACTCGTCAAGGTACACGTGTCTTGACAGCTCGAACCGAAGTTATCCAGAATGAGGCGTGGTATTATCGAAAGCCCATCGAACGAGATGACCTCCACCATGAGAAGAGGGTACCAGTGCAGTATTTGCCAACCTTCGGCACTACCTGGTTTATCTATGAGGGAGGGTTTTTCATGGTCCGAAGAGTGTCTACGGTTCGCGTCGGCTCTGCCTACACCGGTGTTCCTGATGAATACTCTGCTGCCCCGGAGGGCGATGAGCCGCTCGTTGTGATGCGCTTGGGGCGCGCTGTCCAACCTGTCAAAGACTTCCTGAACAATTGTCGGCTTTTTGCGGACAAGCAGCGCGAAGCTTTCATCACGGTGAGAGCAACAAAGAACCAGTACAATCAGGAGAGTTGGGACACCACTATCCTCCGACCGATAAGACCATTAGAAACCGTGCACTTTGACGAGAAGACGAAGACTGAGCTTGTCAATGATATCGAGACGTATCTCAACCAGAAAACCAGGAAGTTCTACACGGAAAGAGGGATTCCGTACCGGAGAGGCTACCTCTTCTACGGACCGCCCGGTACAGGCAAGACGTCTCTTTCTCTTGCACTAGCAAGCTACTTCAATCTTGAGCTCTACCTACTCCATATCCCCAGCATTAGGGATGACAACGACTTGGAGAACCTGTTCACCGCGCTGCCGCCGAAATGCATCGTTTTGCTGGAGGACATCGACGCGATTGGAATTCAGCATCGCAAGAAGTTCGAGCCGGACGATTCGTCATCGGAAGACAGCGACAGCAGCGCTAGTAGCGCAAGGTCTTTCGGGCGATGCCGCTGCACTTTGTCAGGTCTTCTGAACGTCTTGGATGGAGTTGCGTCCCAAGAAGGCCGCATCGTCTTGATGACGTCTAATGTGGCTCACAAACTTGATAGAGCACTCGTAAGACCAGGGCGCATCGATAGAATGATCTATCTAGGAAACATCTCAAAGGGAAGCGCCAAGGGAATGTTTGAGCGCATGTATCGACCTCACTTGTCAACCGAGACTCTCCTAACGGACAAAGATGACGAAGCTCTGAGGAAGCAAAATTCGGAATTCGACGAATTGGCAGAAGGATTCAGCTCTCATGTCCCTGACGACATATTTACCCCGGCGCAATTGCAGGGATTCCTGCTCAATCACCGAAATGCACCGGAACAGGCCGTCAAGAGTATTGCTGCATGGGTCGTAGAAGAGAAAGCTGCGATGGATGAAGCGCAGCGGCGGAAGAAAGCGGCAAGCGAGCGGAAGGCGAGGAAGAAGAAAGCCCTCAAGATGACGGCGCTTAAGGCACTGGCTTCGGAGTCTGACAGTGAAGTAGCCAATGAGAAATCTGACGGAAAGGAAATTAAGAAGGCCAAAGGGGCTGTCGGAAGGAATACCAAAGTCGCTAGCGGCCAACCCCAAAGTCCTCCGGTCAACGAGAAAGAAACAGAGAAGATCCCTGAGCAGGCAGGTTCGCAAGTTGAAGGCAAGGAACCAGCTAAATAATTGATGATAGAAGTAGATGTGAAGTTAGCGAACGGCATCTAGCATAGCATCGGAGTTACGTCAACTTCAAGTTCTGAGTAGAGACCGTACTTGAATCAGAGTTGCTATAGTCATCAGTAATCGCCAAATAACTACAAGCAAGGCAGCAGCTTACTTATTGACATAACAGGCCTAGTGCTGGTGCTGCCAAGGGGATTTCGATCGAAGGGGGCTAGCCGATGCGGCACAGCAGGGGTAAACAGCGCCCGACTTTAATGGAAGCGATACGTGGAACTCCGCGAGAATATTTCAGCTTCACTTTCTTCCTTTCATCTATGCGACTTCGAGTCTTGTCGTAGGTAGTGATGTCCTTGCTGATGTCACTGTCTTTCTCACCGGAATACGAGGGGAAACGTCAAATACCCAACTACCTTAGTCCGCAGGGAGGTTGGTTCCCTGTGACCTTAAACGCGCTTTTCCGACTCACTTGCCTACACTCGTTGATATTCTAGCTGGCCTCGATCATCGCGTGGAGATATTCAACTTGACTTCACCATATCAAGACTCTATTTGCGCAATTGCATCATGCGATCCTCAATCTTTCCAACCCTCTCAGGGGCTCTTCTGCTTCTGGGTCACCTCCCCAACGTCGTCGCAGAACTTGATATCAGCAGCCCAGACGGCATCAAGGAGTCATCAAAGTCGCTTGCTAAGGACCTTATGACGTTCTACAAAGGCGACGAGCCTGGAGAGACTCCGGGAATACTACCATGGTCGTCCGAGGGCAAGAACCAATACTGGTGGTACTTGAGTGGCAGTTTCTTCGCCACCTATCTCGACTACTGGCACTTGACAGGGGACGACAGCTATGCGGCTACAGTTAGCAAGGCACTACAGTTCCAGGTTGGACCCAACGACGATTACATGCCCCCAAATCAGACAGCTAGCCTTGGAAATGAGGATCAGTGTTTCTGGGGCACGGCTGCTCTCATGGCTGCCGAGTATGGGTTTCCCGAGGTGAATGGAAAAGTCAAGTGGATCAATCTTGCGGAGAATGTGTGGACGACTCAAGCATCGCCTGATCGCTATGATGAAACCTGCAATGGTGGCCTTCGCTGGCAGATTCCCTTTTCCAATAATGGTTATGAATGGAAGCATAGTGAGTTATGGTGTTTCTTTGATAAGATTAAATACAGTTAAAGCTAACTTTATGCAGCGGCCTCCAACGCGTGTTTCTTCAATTTAGGAGCTCGGCTTGCTCGGTTTACTGGCAATACAACTTACTCGGAATACTCTAATAAGAGATGGGACTGGCTCACTGGAGTCGGCTTTGTTGACACCAGTAACTGGAAGGTGTATGACGGGGCACTTGCAGAGAATAACTGCACCAATATCAGCAAAGCCCAGTGGTCGTATACGCCAGCCATGCTCATTCAAGGTGCAGCGTTCATGTACAACAATGTAAGCCTTCCTATCCGAGCATAAGGCTCGAGACTCAGAGAATCATATGACTAATATCGTTGTAGACAAACGGCTCCGAAATCTGGCGTGACCGTGCCGTGGGTCTCTCTGATACTTTGTTGAAAGACTTCTTTCCTGACGGCGTCATTTTTGAATCGGCTTGCGAATCAGCCGAGGGTCGCTGTCCCACCGACGCCCTTTTCTTCAAAGGATTTGTGCATCGGTGGCTGTCGTCAGCCACTCAACTCGCCCCTTTCCTGGCAGACACGTGGCTTCCGGTCTTAAAAACTTCTGCTGAAGCTGCAGTCAACCAATGCGAGCCTGAAAATTCGGAGGTCAACAATCGCTGCGGCTTCTATTGGACCAGCGGCAAATTTGTCGACCCCATGACGGCCGACAACACTACGGGCATTGGTGAAGGACTGAGCGTTCTAGCTGCTATTTCCAATCTACTCATCAAGGATTCCAAGGCACCGATCGTTGGGGCTGCTGCAAGTGGCGGAAGCTCTGGCAGCTCTCCTAGCGGCACGTCAGGAGGATCTTCGCCGACCTCGACTACCTCGACGACAGCTACGCCAGGATCAGGAGCTGGTCAACTTGGAATGGACTTAAGGATGTCTTTCATCCTCGGCTCAATCGTGGTTCTAGCTTGGAATCTCTAATTCTTAGGTGACGGATTCAGGGGCTCAAAACACGCACATATGGCGTCAGCTGAAGCTTGGGCGAGCGACAGAGCAGTGCGATGACATAAGCGAAGGCGTAGGATTCAAACAGAATATGAAGAAGAAGGAAGATGTAGAGATTACGATAGCAAAATACTAGTTTGCCACTCATACATAGTAAAATACGGCCCCGTTTAGCCGTTGCGCCCAACCCAGTCAGTTCCGTGACATTATGCATCATTCCGTCGTAAGCGTCGTAAGTGTAGCCCAATCCCCCTCCTATCTATGAGACCTCCTAGCTTGACCAGCAAAGCCCAAATATTCTTGAGTATCCTGCAGTATGATACCAGAATCTTCTTCGTTATCCATGAGATACCTCGGCATTGTCGCCGATCCCATTCCGATCAGAGTATTGTGTATATCCTTGGGGTTGATTGTGTCTTTTGAGTAGTGACCTTGAGTAGGGTAGTCAAAGGGGAGGACTTGGTCAGTGTCCATAGTGTAAGAGTGGTAGTCGGATGGCACAGTTGATACGACGTCAAAAACGGGCTCAAAAGCCTCAAAGCCTGAGGCGTCGAGGTTGTCAAAGTCGTCCACTGTGCCGGAGTGGGAGTAAGTTTGGTAGTCAGCTGGGAGCTGCATGCCCGCGTAGTTGGCCTCGACGGGCCGACTCTTCGATCGGGTCTTCCGAGAGTCGTGTGATGAGGTGACACCAGACGTTGTAACGTGTTGTGTAGAGCCTGTGGCAAGAGACATGTTGTCCATGCCCCAGTTCTGGTCTTGGTAGCCAGAGTTGTGATAAGTATGCGAGCTGTATCCGTTGCCGTTTCCAATAGTGCGGCTGTATCCACCGGAGCTCGCAGAAGGGTATGCGCTCGAGGCATCTGTTGATGATGCACTCGGGCTGGACCCGGAGAGTCTCCGGTACTCGCGAGACCTCTCCGAGTCCGCATCGCTTCCGTCAGAGTCGTAGTGCGTGGCGTACCCCCTTTCCCATCTATCCACAGCCTTTTCCATCGCATCAAACATGAGCTGCGTAGGCAAAAGACAGGGAGAATAGGCGTCGTGGTCTGTGCCATTGAGTTAGCTTGCTATGTCAACTACTTGTAAGTGCACTTGAATCAACTCACAAATCTCCACTTTCTTCGCCCAGTCCTCCTGACCGGGGTAAAGCTTCATCAAAAGCTTGTGGCGATACTTGTAGTCAAGCGATTGCCCACTTGCTCGCACCGAAATGTTCTCCAGAACACGTTGTTGGTCCTCCGAGAGCAATGGGGGTTCATGAGGCGACCACACCTTAGTACAACTGCGCGAGTGCGATGACTTGGATTCTGCTGGCTTTGAGCCGAATCGGGCTCCACAGTGATGGCACTGCTTGTCACTTCTCAGATGAACTCGCTTGATGTGCTCGCTGGGTTGGGTAAGTCAGTACGCCATACCTGCATGACTTGGACAGGGGTCATAAACTCACATCAATTTACCGATCCCACCCTTGATGTTTCCATCAGTACAGGAGTTTCGGACATGAGTGAAAGCTGCCGGGTTTTTGATAAAAAGAGGGCAGGCCAAGTTGACGCTCTTCTCGTCGACATTGTCCTTGGATTGGTGACGGTGCAGGGGTAGCCCCATCTCCCTCCTGAGCTCCGTCATGAGGAAGTCCTTCATGCTAGACCAGCCCATTGGTGACTGGGGAGTAGGTTGTTGGATGACATCGACAGGCACATTGGTGCTAAGTTTGGGTCGCTTGACCTCCAAGACCTGGCTGGACTTGCCGTGAGCGACAGACTCACGGCTTCGCTGCCGGACTCGCTTGCTGTTCTCGCCCATGATTGCTAGATGGCCAAAAGTGTGGTTTTCTTGGCTCCTGAAACGCTGCGAGGTTCTCTGTGACCTCTTCTCCTATTTGGTAAATGCGCTGAACACGATGTTCAGTGACTTTGGCCTCCGTTTTGAATCCTTGCTCGGAGAGCTTGATGAGGTTTGCCGGAAATGTGGCTTGCTGCTCCCGAACCCAGGCTTCTGTGAGTCTGTTGCTTGGTCCAATGTACTTTGGGTCGCTGCTGACAACCGAGCCGAGTGAAAATGAGGGCTGTTGCTGCCGAGTAAAATGACCCTGCGATCTTGTAGATCTACCATCGACCAAATCGCCAAAGTTAGTTCAACTCTCAATGATTCTAGCGTAGTTCCATGGCCAAGGATATGGTCCGGCTTACACCCGATTGGGGATAACTCACCTCTTTGGCGTGTTGTTGAGCACCATTCGGTTCAAGTCAGATAGACATAGAGAGCAGCCATCAACCCGGAACTACACACAAACGCGCAAATACCGGATTCTAGATGATGGGAAAAGACAAGAAAGAGTCGTGAACAACTTGAGAACACTCTTGAATGTGAATTCAGAATGAGAGAAGAAGAGGGAGTCGATACATGGCTCAACGGGGCGGCTTACGACTAAGAAGCAATCTTCGATCGCAATTGCGATCAGGGCATCCCGGCCCCGTCCGCCACCGCCAACAAGTGCCGTTGGTCGCAATTGAGAATGTGAAAGGGGTCCAAAATAAAGCAAACATGTTGCTTGAAGCTGCGGATTGATTTCCAATCGTTTTGAGGCGATTTGGGTGGGTTGTGGTCGTTCGACATGGCTTCAAGGGTGGTATGGGACGGGATTTTGGCATCGGATCTCACTACGTGGGTAGCTTGAACCCAGTAACGATGTTCAACTCAGCGTTTTTGATATGCAAAGACTGTTCAATATTGTTTCTGAATAGTCTCTTTGTGATTGGTCGTGAAAGAACGAGTATTGATTTGCTCTGGCAACTTGCGCACTCGCTTGGCGTCGAAGGGGAGGTCTGGGAGCCAACCGTCCGCGCTTGCATCAAAGAAACCCACGACTACATGTACCCGAACAACACGCAAAAGGATTTCGATCTTTTCTACCACGAATTTGGAAACTCTGAAACTAGTGCAATTACTTCAAATCGAGCCACAATGAGCCCTAGATCATCGTCCAGGGTCGTTTAACTGGTGATCCTATGGACGTGCCCTCGGAGAATTAGCTCAATAGCGCTAGACTCATCCAGGGACCAGGAGTCTGGAATGCTTCTACGGATATTCTACTAGGTGGAAAGGCCAGCGTTGCATCGGCAAGCTTCAAGAGAACGATGATAGACTTCTTCACCGCCTGATTTAAGGTTTTTTACGGGAGTTCTCAATGGACGAACACTCTCTATGTGGAACAGCCGATGGATTCCTGTTCCGAGCCTACGGTCTCGTGACAAGGGGTTCATGCGGGCGATCTTGGATCAGGGTTGACGACCTGACCATCACGAAGGGTGATCGCAAAGTCGCAGAAGAGTAGGAGCAGTTGCACGGATTCTGGAGATGTGAGAGAGTCCTCCAACCCGGGGTTTCGGCAGAGTAGCGGTCAGAAACTGTATTCCCCTGGCAGAAACGGCCGTGTGAAGGGCGCGTTTGTGCAGGCCTACTACTAGTGGCCAAGCGGACTGGATCTCTGCTGTTCCGGCCGTCGCCATTTTGGCTGCTTCTAATGCTTCGACGCGGGGTGGTGTTCCCAACGACGGGGGGAAACATCTGCCCTGCCCTCCATCTCTCTACCACACGAATTACATAAACCAACCACTCGTTTCGATTGTTTCGACATGGATGCCCAGTAGGATGATTGCCACACCCTTGCTTGAATCCGATCCACCAAAGGCCGATTTGCTCCGTGTCCCTGGATCTGTGCTCCGCTGGTCCCATACCCATCGATTCCGAGTCGCTGGGTCGAGGTAGGACAAGACGCCTCGCCATTGGAAGAGGCGCAGCAACCTGCGACGCTGCCCCTGATTCCGATGGGGACTTCGAAGCGGTGTGAGCACGCTTGGAGCAGTCTACCCATGACCGCGGTACCAACAACCAGGTTTGCCAACGACAAGATTGGCATCCTGGATCCTTCAAACCCCAGTCTTCAATCCGCGGCGTAGTGTTGCTCGTAATTCGCGCTGGAGTCGTTACTTGTCAGTTACAAAGACCTCCACGAGAAGTGTTCAACCTACCTTGACGAGACGAGCAATTGCAGGATCGGACGCGCAAGATCATGCACGCGCCATCTCTTGAACCAACAAACTGTTGCACGACTCCGGCACCAATCTCTGTCGTCGAAAGCAGACGCCGCAATATGGACCAGAAGCGGTGCAGAGAACCCAGCCTGCACCCTATCCTCGATGCATTCGTCTGGTCACCTGCTCTTCCTTCGATGGGGTCGATGCTGATCGGGCCTGGCGCTCTCGCATCCTTGGAGAAGTGCTATCGGACGGTCGCCGAGAGGCTGATGAGGGCTCGCTGACTGTAGCCCAATAGACCGCCGCGCTTGGCCGATAACGAGCATCGATACGTTAGATAGTGTTGTGTGATACGTAAAGTAGGTATAGCATCAATCAATCATCTTTTGAACTGAAAGTACGCCGTGATCGATGGACCCCGGCTTCTTGATCTGCTCAGCTGGCCATTGAAGCCATTGAGCGTACTGAGATGGTAGAGTAAGGAAGAGCCCCTTCATGAGATGCTCCGACCAGCCTTGTATGAACCAGAAATGTTCGAGGGTTTGGACCAAAACATTGAAGTGCCCTAACAAGATCAGGGACAGCGCTTCCCGATGCTGAATGCGTATGACGAAGTCGTCGCTCATGCTATACAGCCAGCGCATTACGACCTCAAATCGGCCCTGGACGTGCGCCTCCGGCTCAGCTTCGGTGCCAAACGTTTGCTTATAGCAGTCCTTGAGCAAGTCGAGTGAGCTCGTGTACATTTGCCGTTCCGGCTCAGGCGTTGTGGCTACTAGATCGGCGAGCTCTTCGAACCGTTGCTCCCATAACACCATTTTGTGCACGGGGTCGGGCAGTGGTGGACATTGAGTCCAGGTGTGTTCGAAAGATATGTTTCCGTCCTCCCAGCCCGCGATGATGGCCTGTATGCCCATCTTCTGGACGACTATGCGGACGCCTCGGAGTAAACCCCACCAAGGGACCTCGCCGTCCTCTGCCACGACCAACAGATGCCCTGGGCTTGGCTTCTTCGCAAACGTCGAGAGGCAGACGAGCACAGTGGTATGGTAAAGCGCTTGACAGTTGTCTGTGTTGATATTCGGCATGAGGTTCGTGATCGCTGGCAATGCACTTGTGGAGTGCCGCTCTGCTAGGGTCTCGTAGCGTGTGGCTTCTGATGGCCGGAGTCTGGCCAGGTGCTGTGCTGATACCGCCAGAACCATGTGAAAGACGTATGGATGTTGGAAGCCTAGTCGGGGGACATACTCTCGCCACACACGTGCTTCTCCGAGCGTAATTGCTGTATGGCACATGTAGTGGTGTAGGAGTTCGAGATCGTCCCGGTTCAATACCGCAGGAGCGATGGAGGAGAAGGAGGGCTCGGCAGACATCGTAGGGGCCGGCGTACGCGGTGTCTTGGTCGCATCGGATTCGGAGGCAGTCGGTGTCGGTAACTTCCGGACGGCGTCCCAATCCTTTCGAGGACGGCCCCGTTTCCGCGGTGCCGGTGGCGGCCCCGGTGGCGACAGGTCGGTAGGAGATTGGGTGAGTAGGTTCGTGGGCGGAGGGGCGAAGTCGCAGTGCATCGAGAATCTCAGACAGTTGCCACATTCGGGCTTGGTCTCGTCGCACTGGCAGGTCCATTACAGTCAGTCTTGGTTACTATTCAAAGTCCAATTGCGCGTAATGCGTGAGTGAACAGCGATTCAACTTCGCGAGGAATCTGGAGAGACACGCCTTGACTTTTCTCCTTTTACAATTGTGGCACCCATTGCGAGACTTCTTATGAGATCTTCTCTTGTTCTTGCGACACGTCCCGCAGCAGCATCCACTACTGCTCGTGTGTTTGTCCGACGCCGTGCATACTGATGCTGTCGGGCCGGTCTCGTCATGGCCCTCGTTCATGGTTCGCGATCGTGGGGCGGCGCTCGTCGAGCGTAGATTCGGTTAGGCTGAGTACTCCGTAGCGGCTAGGTATGGGACGGTAGCTCGAGTGGGACGGCCTCGTCCATTCCTACGAGCGCATTCCGCATATGACGTCGCTTGGCATCAGTTTGGGGTAGCCGGGGTTCAGCATTGAGTTAGTCGACACATAATCCAGCGCCTCACAGAGATGGAAGAATTGCAGAATCTCGACGGGACTTGCTCAGAGCTGTTCGGCAGCCTCCCCGCACGTGGGTCCCACGGCCTCGCTCTCGGGATCTCGGATGATTTATCGTATTTGATCCGAGAATTGATCCGGTTTGATTGGCCGAGCGGCACTTACTCTGCCGATGGGATGAATCCCTGTTCTTCAAGATCTCATCGATTGGAACTTTTCTTTTTGCAACTTGCTGCAGGTTGCTGTTCGGCTTGGAGTGTGGGAGTTGAATGAATAGATCCAATGACGTTGTTTCAAGTAGGCTTTGACTTCTCATATCAGATATGACAGCAAGATATCTTCACCCATTGAACTTAAGGCCCGAGCTACCTTACCTAGAATTAGGTCTTCATGGACCTCTTGAATCCTGCCGCAAAATGAACACAATTGACGGTTTTCCGCGGAGTTGGCGCGAAAGACATGAAGGTTTTATCACAGATGCTATCCGAAATATCGCTTTCGCGTCTAGTTCTGTGTTGAGCAGGATGGTGAGAAACTTCGACTTCTTTCTCGAATTTCGGCACTTAAAGACAATTGAGACAACTGAGACAACTGTTTCTAACGAAATTGATGTTCTATTTAATGTAAGATAACTTCTATGTCAAAACTGGGGTATCAACCTCTATCCTTATGTATCAAATGGGTATCTCTAAGTCATGCTCGCGTTCTACATCCAGGTCTTCGTATTAACGACACCTCTCAAGTCTAACTCGTACTCTGCATTTGCCTCTCTTCGGAAACTCCTAATGCTCATCGGGGTCATCGGGGTCCTAGGAGCCTGCAATGTGGCGCTATCTCTCCACGGGGGCTGGTAACTAAGCGGCTGCAATGGCGCCGGTGGCAGTGGCTTCATTCTCGGGTCGAGATGCTCCGAAATATGAACCTTGATCATGAATGAGTCCTCTGAGGGAGAGGGCTCAGGGGACGGTACGGATCGATGTCCAGACGTGATGACGGGAGCTGGAACAACAGGCTTCTTGTCTCCGAATGAAAGCCGGCTGTTTGCCCTGTTCAAAGTTTCCTTAACTTCAACCGTCGGCCTCGTGCCTCGTATGGTCGTGAGAAGCCCGGGAATCTTCTTGAGAAGGGGTCGTAGTGCAGGAAGACTACCGCACATTAAGGCGCACGAGATCTCGGCCATGCTCCATGTCACCACATCGACGTTATCCCCTGGCGATGTCAGTTCTCTGCTTGGGATATAGTCTAGCGCTTGAACTAACATGTGGTGTCATAAGACTCAGCAAACAATACGAGCCAGCGTAGTCGCACAATTGAAGTGATGCATGCGCTGAGGAAGAAATGAGTCAGCTGAATGATCCAGATGTTCAATACAGACATGGAAACTTACAATGATCCTAGACTCAGCATGAAGCCAACCGCAATCTTCTTCTTGAAACCCAATTGGAGCCTGCTCAGTTGTTGGATGGGCATAGCAAAAATGACGATATCCTCAACGATGCTGAGAATGGCGCTGGCCATAGCAACGGCGTTGACGTTGACGCACTTTCGCTCGAGGGTCCGATCCCAAATTCCAGCGATGGGTGTGCATTCAAACATGATGACAAAGAGAAAGACCAGTCCATGGCCAACAAGGAAAACAAATACTAGTTTGTTGATGATTTGAAATTTTCGATCGGGGAATACGCGGGCGAAGAGGGCGATGATGGACAGCTTCGCCAGAATCAGGACAACAACGTAAAGCATTTGCACCGCGTAGTAGAGCTAGGATTAATCCATTAGTCACATTGACCTGAGTAGATGCACAAAGATTTCCACTGTTCGGCCTCTGTGTTCGACTTACTTGAAGGATTTTCTGGGCATTTTCTGGATTCACGTTCCAGTAATGAAGCCCGAAACCAAGATCCGCAGCTGCGCAAAGTCAGTTACTGAGTTGATTCCAAAGCGTTGAAGATCACAGCATGGAATACTTACTCGCAACTACGCAACCAAGAGTAGTGGCTAGTATAGCCTAGGGTAATTGTCAGTTGCCGAGGACCAGTAGAAAATAGTTGGGGCATCCATCAAACTTACGGCAGTGACTATGGTCATCCAATCATCAAGCTCTAAGCGGCTGGCTATAATCCATCTTGAAACCAATCTCAATATCACAATCGGAAAGGTTATCACAGCCAACACCGCAACAACCAACTTAATTTCGGTGTCTCGAGATGGGTGGGGGTAAGGACGGCACAGGTCATCTGTCATGTAAGACAATGCTAGAAATCATCAGTGAAACCCAAGCCAGGTACCTCAGGCTGAGAACTCACAAAGCTGATCTTGCCATGTACACGATGTCTGCACGCATCCGGATAATCCATCTAGGAGGGTGACGTTGGTGCAAACACATGAGGCGATGTTATCCAGTCCGCATCCTGAGCTGAAGAACGCTGTCGTAACACAAGAGACCTGCCATAGGATGAGATGAAGTTGACTAGAGGCTGAAGGTATCAACACTTACGGCGCATTGAGGGATCTGAGACATAAGCTCCAACGGAGAAGTTGCTGCATTGGTGATGTCTTGGCCGAGGACGGTACCTGCTACCCAAGGTAGCAGTGCAAGCAACCACCGCACGTGGTTCTTCATAGTTAGGTGAAACGTAGAGGAACCAGAATACTGGGGACCTATCGAGTTGAGGTCTTGTTTATCTGAAGAATGTTATCCAGCCCGAATATACGTCTCGGGAGACTCGGGGCATCGTTCCTAAATGCGGCTTTCGGCGTCTCCAGGAAGCACGCATAAGACGAAAGTCGAACCAGAGTAGAGCTTGGCCTTGAGATAAGTATATTGAATCATCGTACTTCGGACGGACTTGACAGCCCGGATCCAAGATTCGAATGACCTTGGATATCCGCAAACCGTTGGTCAATGTCTGTTTCCGACTAGGTTATCTTGTACACGAGCCCTGCGAGTCTGTCATCTGCATCTTGGCAGAGAGCCCAGAAATACTACACATGCATGCAAAGCGTCTGATATTGATTCGACCCACGCGAGTATTCTTGAGTTGGGGTTGCAATAGTCTCCGAACAAGGCAAAACGCTATGAGCCTCGCAGCTTAATTCGGCATGAGCGACCACTATGGTAGGCAGGGTGAATCCAAGTCTGAATCATGAACCCTGGTGCCGGCAACGAGGTCCATTGGTTCGTCCGATGTCCGCTGGGTCGGGGTTTCAAGTTGACATGCCGTCTAGTGAGCCCGTGCAACCTTTCCGGCCATCTCTCTGGGTCACTGAGAAACGGATGGGCAGATCATATTGCTTGATCAATATAAAGAAACTCAAATCTCGTGGTGGTTTTTGGCGGTTTGCTGCAAGCAGCACTGTACAAACCTATCCACTCTGGCGCAAGCGGCCCTGCCTTTGCCTCATGCACCCGCACGAGTTGACAACCACCCCGCCCGCTATCACATTTCGGCTCCATGTGGCTAACCACGTGTAGAGCGCGTGCGATTCAAGTCCGCGCGCGCTGATGCCCTCACATGGGGTTGGTTGTGGAGCAATCGAGTTGAATCACGTCAAAGTCCCCACGCGATAGTCTCAAACGCGGGCCCGGACATTGAAGAAGAAGCGATAAAGAATCAGGATGTTGACGTAACCCGGAGGCGGGAAGTTGATTGAGCTATCCGCAGCCACATCCGGAAATATGACAAGTCATATCCTCTCGCTCAAAGTTGAGGTTCTCAAAGGTCATGTGCGATGGTGCGACCTTGCGGAACCACGAGAACGAGGAGCTCGGGTCGGCGTGAATTGGCCAGTTACGCTAACGCCACAGCCGCGCTTCTCTAACGAGGTGTTCCCTGAGTCAAGCGCCCGCCTTAAGCCACGCCAAGTGCTGCAGATTACCTGGAGTAATCAAGGGGTTCTGGAACCAAGCTTTAGCTCATCATCGTAAGGTGCGATGGAAGAGACGGATACCGTTGGTCGGCATTCCGCGTACTCCGGACTTCTTCGGCCGGGACCTCTACCATGGGATGGCCACATGTCGCACACCGGTGTGACAATGGATGCTTAGCGTGCTCCAAACCCATGGCAAAGACGTGCTGCCGCATTCCTATTTTGCATTTAGACTTTGAGGCAAGGGCCGTACCCAGCTGTGGCAGCCGTTATCTTGTGTGGATTGAGCTTCCCAATCCTCAGCAATTTAGCACTCAGCTTGCGCCCACCTTTAGGCTTGGCTTGCCTTGCCTTGCGTTACGATCGTGAGAGTTTACTAGCTCAGGCAAGTCATTAACCTTAGCCAATCCGGGGTTGCACAATGTTTGGTCTTGGGAAATGCTCGCTGTTTCTGGTAAAATGAAAACTCGCCCAGACGGAATAATAATCAATTGACTTATGAAGACAGCCGAGGAATGAAGATACGCTTGCCACCGACAAGATTGTAAACATTCAGCCAGCACAATAGATTGCTCAAATGAAAGAGACAGCGTTGCATAATAATCGTAAAAGGAGAGCCAAGCGAAACCAGTCTTGGCACTGTGCCGCCACGCCGTAGCCCTCCCACGCCGATAGCGTAGCAACGACATTGAAAGCTGCAGGAAACGAGGATTTGACACTTGCGTAACCCTATCGGTCATATCCGCAATCTGACAGACGATGTGACAAGAAGACAGAATAACATTATCTTCATCCCCGCGGTGTTTGAGTATGTGCCTCTTCCGACATTACCTTGATTTGTTAAATCACCACAAGCAGTTGACCGGGCTTTCCCCCAGTGATGCACTCCCGTCATGCCGAATCCACTCTATGGACCTCTCCCGCCGGCGGGAAGCATCCAGGTCCTCAGTGCCAGACCAGGCGGTGAATCGAGCGTCCTGGAGGCGGGTTTCGAGTCATTAACCCCCGAGACTCCTCACGACTGCGTCTTTCCTGCACGTGGAACAACTCGCCATCTACACGATGAACATGATTCGAGGTCAGCAGTGGAACCATGATGATAGATGTCTTGAATCAGTAGCAATTCGCCGATTACGCCATGTGCTCATAAATCCACAGATTCCTTGCGCCAATATTGGTTGATGTGATCTGAATCAGTCCGAATGATGTCGATGATCGAAATGACTAATCCCACAACTAGAACGCGAGACTTTCATCCATGTTCGAATTGGGTACGTCCCGAGAGCGATTAGATCAGTGCGTGGGAGAGTATCGACACAGTTGATTTAAATGACAAACATGGCCGTTGAAAAAAGGCATCCAGTAGATATCGGTAATATTCAGATGGACTCCACTGAGGGTGGAAGTGTCTCTCAGTCACTTCTACGTCGATGTATACAGCAGGCCTTTTTCGATCTCACCGCCCGTCCCGTGCGAGAGTTGCCCTCGATAAAAGCGTGTTGCGTGATGAAATGGAATTCAGATTTACAGATTTGCGAAAATGTGGCATTGCACGTATTCAAGTCATGACCACTCATTTTGTGTCTCATTTAGAAGAACCAAGGGGCACGTCAACGGAGTGACATAACTAATACGGCCACTTGTATTCTATGAAAGCATCTAAATGATCAAGTTTCTTCCCAAGTTGAAGCTGCCAATCACTAATATCACCTGCATCGAAGTAAGAAGGCTATACTGTAGCATCCTGACATACAGTAGGTAGTTGTCAAGTTTCTCATTGTATCGCTAAGCTTACCCAGGTTATCAACAAGTGTCCCCTCATTGACGCAGGGGACCATCATTGCTGGATCATTGCATAGCGTCGTCATTATGAATTGTTTAGACCAAGATCTAGCCATCAGAAAGCAAGATCCATGCAGGTATACCTGCTGTGCTGACCAATTCCCCCAACGATGCGATGTTGGAACGAGGCTACAATTTGACCAGCTGAGTGATATGATGGTCTTGTTGCTAAATGAACGTTGCAGAAGCTCATAAGATCTTGGTCTGAAGCAAGCTGCTATCTGGTCTTATGACTGGGACAAACCAATTAGTGCAATAGTTGGACTGAGGTGAATCATTCACTCTTCGTTACTCGGTCGATCTTAAAGAATATTATAAGATATACCTCCGGGAGGCACCCAGCTTTCAGAAGCCAAGATTCAGACATAGTGGAACATGTCAGATCTGAGCCCCGGCACTTCAACTGCCACGGGATCTCGATCAGAGTGAAATTTAATTCTAAGTATTGAGCTGCGCTCTCGAGGGAAACAAGGCTGTCTCTGTGCACTGAACATGAACATGAATTTAGTATCCACTCCAAGCAGTGAGGTACCGTACCAAACGCAAGCCTCGTCGGCATGCTCGCCAGCGTCGATGAAGAAGTTCCTCCAAGTGTAGTCCTCAGCCTTTAACGCTACCATACCTCAATCTGCATCAAACTCACCAATAAGGTACTCAGCTCGAAGACTTATCAGAGAGGCACACATCGTCGAGTCTGGGACTATAGGGAAGACTGAGTTCGAGTTTGATCAATAAACTCGCGGACACAGGAAGGGGCTGTTGTGAATGCCTTGGTATGATGTCCTGAGTCTTTGTGAATGTTTTTTTATTCAAGAAATGTTGGCCAACTTGGAGAAAGCTCAAAAGGATTGAGTGAAGATCAAATTTCAGCAAGCAGCTTTCATTCTTTCAACGCGACTTTTCTGCGTCACCCGGCCCCTGTCCTGCGAAATCTATATCACCAAAATATCGGTAACAGAAAGCAGGTCGTATGTACAACCTGGGTGAGCATCTACGGTGTTGTCGTCAGCATCAAAGCACCAACACCGCCATGGTAGCTGTCTTCATAGGTCATGTCATGAACGCGTCAAAGGCGCGAAGTTGTACCGCAAAGGGTCTACCCGAAATGCCTCTTGAAGGGTGGAAGAGTATCGCATATACCATGGGATTTTGATGTGGGTGGGATTCTTTGAAGTTACACTCAGCGAACCATCTTGTTGACGTGGACTGAAAATGAAGTGATGACTGGTGACCTCAGCATTAAAGAGTGATAGAGCTTATGTATATGCCCGGTTCATTTTCCTGGTATAGGGAAAACATGCACTCAAATCGGATCGTGAACGAGTAATCGAACACGGCGAAATGGTGACCAGCATAATCTTCCTATCGGCAACATGAACCTGGTACTCCTCTATTCTCCCAAGGTAAGATCGTGCATTTAATTTCGTGTACCACAAGGTCAAAAATAATGACATTGCTGACAAGGATGCATCTTCCGGATTCGTAGCCGAGCAACATCAGGGTGCCTTTGGTACCTTGATATGCGCGTCGACTAAAACACCCTGTTGCGGTGCCGGAATACGTGGTCTTACTGCTGCTCTGCCCACGTGTCCTACTAGAAGCCTAACCGAGTCCCTTGAATCTCTCCCTTCTGCAGCCAGCCGAGGCATCGAGACCTCGTCCCTCAGCCCAACACATTTCTTATTCATCACCATGCATTCCGACGTGCATCCGCCCATCAGCAATTGGCCCTTTCCATAGAGTGATGAGCATGCCTATCTTGTCTCGGCGGTAAGCGACGATTTGTCCGTTGGCGTCGTCTTGTGTCGCAGGACAGAAAACCAGACCAACGGTAACCAGATATAGGAAACGAGAACCCCGATGTCACCCCAGTCTCATCGCTTCTTTTGGAAGGTTGCAACAGATCTCGCGGGTGTTGATCCATTGGTACTCGGCCCGCAGCGGTCACAAGTGGAATCCCTCTCCCATCGGCCTTTAACCTTTGCGAGATGCATGCAGGCTTGCTGGTCCAGACCAATTAGCCAGAAACCCGAGTGCGTGTCCAACCTCCTGTCTTACCTGCATGTTCCATTTATGAATCCTTCCAGGGCTAGTTCAAGTCAGCCTGCGTACTGCCTGCCCTGCTGGCGGTGGCAATACCACTAGGGCTTTGATAAGACGTGCTGACAGGGAGGTTTAAATCTTGGTGACGGTTCGAGATGGAGTTAAAAGCTTGACTTCGGCAGTCGCATCCTCCCCCGCAAAGCCAAGTCGTCTGCCCCAGAAGTTCGTCTGATCTGGTTTCCCCGGTTTTCTGTTCTGGTCTCGAGCTACTCAATTGTCAAAATGGAGTCCGACAGCGCCCAAGTATCAGAAAAACACGCTCGCACCGAATTGATCGAAGTCGGCGAGTCGCAGCCCTTCGACCACCATGCGACTAAGAAGCTACTGCGGAAGCTAGATTGGCATATCATTCCCTTTATGAGTCTGATCTACCTGTGAGTCGTCGCACAGACATTGCGCCAATGCCACCCCAGCATCTGGGCCATGCGACATTGATACTGACCTGGATTAAGACTATGCTTCCTTGACAGAACGAACATCGGAAATGCTAGGCTGGACCATTTGGAACAGGACCTGAAGTTGAAGGGTATTCAGTATAATGACTGCCTCGCCATTCTCTTCCCGTTCTACATCGCGGCCGAGATCCCGAGCAACATGATGATGAAGCGTCTTCGGCCGTCGATTTGGCTGACATTCATCATGGTCTGCTGGTCTGCGTCAATGATTGGACAAGGATTCGTGAAGGATTACTCGGGGCTTATGGCGACTCGTGTCTTTCTCGGAATTTTTGAGGGTGGTCTTTTCCCCGGTGTCAACTACTACATCACGCAATGGTGAGGCTTTCTCCTCTGATGCTCCAAGTAGCACGCCCTTGGTGTGGACGATGCTCTGACAGATGCTTGATTAGGTACTGCAGAAACGAATGTGGCTTCAGAATGGCCCTCTTCTTCTCCGCAGCGACTCTCGCCGGTGCGTTTGGTGGTATCCTTGCGCGAGGAATTGCCGAGATGCATGGAGTAGGCGGTCTCTCAGCGTGGGCATGGATCTTTATCCTCGAGGGTCTCCTGAGTATTTTGGTGTCTTTCACCGCGTACTGGGCGATCTACGACTATCCTGCCACGTAAGTTGAAAATTCAGGCAATGCTAGATGTGGAGCATAGGCTGACCGTCATCATTGATAGAGCACAATTCCTTTCAGACAAGGAGCGATCTGAAGTTCAGCGTCGACTGCAAGTAGATTCAGGTCATTTATCCAATGAGTTCAACATCAAGTATGTCTGGCAGGCCATCAAGGATTGGAAGATTTACATCCACATGCTCATCTGCATGGCGGGCTTCTGCCCCATCTACTCGATCGCCTTGTTTCTGCCAACCATTATCAAGAACATGGGCTACACTTCCAACACCGCTCAGTTGATGTCGGTGCCGCCGTATTGCTTCGCTTGCATCTTCACGATTGCTGCCAGTTGGTATGCAGACCGCGTAAGGCAGCGTGGTATCTTTCTGATGGGCTTCCAGCTGGTGGGAATCCTGGGCTTCGGTCTCTTGGTCGGTACCAGCAAGTCTTCTGCTCAATATGCCGGCACTATTTTTGCCGCCATCGGTAAGCTTCTATATCCGTCGCCGTGATAAGGTGAAAGTCTACCTGTGTGCTAACCTGATATGACTAAGGCATCTATCCTCAAATCCCACTTGGTCTTGCCTGGAACAGCAGTAACATTGGCGGAAGTCTGAAGAGAGGGACCGGCATTGCGATGCAAGTCATGGGTGGTAACTGCGGCGGCATCATTGCGTCTTACGTCTACCTTAGCCGGGATGGACCCCGCTACACTACCGGCCACAGCATTCTCATTGGCTTTGTGAGGTAAGAGAGAACCGTAATGACACTTTGACCAGTGATGACGCGTGCTAACTTTCACTAGCATGGCCTTCTTTTTGACGTTGTTCATGACCACATGGTGCAGAAAGGAGAACGCCCGTAGAGATCAAGTTGCTACTGAAGCCGGAGTGCAAGAGTTGACTGCAGAGCAAAAGGAACTGGAAGCTGAGCTCGCAGATAATGTGCCATGGTTTAGATACACGATCTGAGACGTGTGGTCTGGATAACAGTCTCTCTCGAAGGGTTAAGGCGAAAGGGATGAGATAGAGGGGCATTTCTATCCGCACGGGTTGTTTGACGCCTTACCTGACAGTATTTTGCCCCGAGATCAGATCGTCCGGTGATCTCTTTGGACCCTATGTATATGTTAAGGGACCATGCGCTTGACGACTGGCAAATAGAGTAGATGTAGGCTCCACTGAAGTCTCGGCCACGATCCGGGCTCTGGTAGTCGGAACCTTCTTGTAACGAACTCAGTCGGATCGCAATCCCAAAGCCGGGGAGATCTAATGGCTGCTGTCGCTATTATAGCTCTTTTTATTGACACGGGTCCTCGGCAGTGACACCTGACACCTCCATTGGTCCGAACAAATGGGAGCCGCTACGTCCCAAGTTTGTGTGAGATTCGATGCGGCAGTACTCTGTAGACGCCAGCAGGCGACGTGACCGATGAATGGGCCTTTCAGAAACCTGGGCGCCGCGGCGGGTGGTGGGCGGGATCGAAGTAAGCTTTTAACGCTTCGTCGATCCTGGAGGCGTCCTTGCGCGGGATGAATCGTTCTATCGCGCTTAATCTGCGGCCTAAACGACGTTGGAGGAACATGAAAACCAGGATGGTGGTTTCAGAACAAGGGACTGTTTCCGCACAAATGTTCGCGGTCTGAACTGACTGCACGACATTACCGTGAGAGACTCGAGAGCTCCCAACCCGTCGAGAGCGAGATAGGATAAGCGAGCGAGCAGAAGAATTGATAATGATCCAAACATGTTTGGTTATTGAACGACACGATATCAAACCTTTGCGATCAACAGATTGTATCCGTTATACCCGAAGTAAGAGATTTTTCACATAGCTCAGCCTCTTCATCGCCCAAGAATGACAGGACCGACCGGTCTCGAGCGTCATACGACAACGAACACGACGAATGCGACGGACGCGACGAACACGACATGACCAAAGACATCAGTTTCCGAAGCCAAGCCACAAGAATACAAACCCGGAAATATGCATCGACTTTAGAGTCTGGCTAAGAGAAGAGATTTCGATCTCTGTAAGATAAAAACCCGCGAGTCCGTGGGGCTATGTTGGTTGCGATCAAATGGATACGGGTGAAGAATGACACCAGGGCACAGAAGATCATTGTTCTTCTAGAAGACATTTTCAGGGTTCGCTCGGTTTCGGTTTCATCGATACTCTCCGGCCCCGTGGCTAGTGGGCTCGCGCCACGAAAAATGCTTAGCTAGCGCCCCACGATTGTAGATGAGCTGATTTCCTTTGAACGCACGTCCTCGCCGGTAGAATGGGACATTGGGCCGTTTTATGCCCTCGATGGGCCTCGTTTGGGATATAACTCGGCGAGGAGAAATGCAGCCTTACAGATAGTACTAAGTAGTCTGTAACGCCCCCGGAAAGGTTGTGGCTATCCGTAGCAACAGGTAAGGTACGAGGGGGAAAGGGGAGGGATGGCAAGTGTGCCTTGCTGCCGGGCTGACAGCCGTCAAGAAAGATTTGGATTGATGGACACAGGGGACTGGGTAGTAGCGGGAACTTAGGGTTCATGGAGGTAAAGGGGCATGGCAAGGCCCCGTCCTGCCCGTTAACCCCGGAAGCCTAACACAAATCTCGTCGCCGGGATCACGGCGTGATGGCGTGGGCACTGGCCAAGACGGGAGGATAATTTTGGGAGGAACCTTGGTTGGAACCTTGGTGACAGAATGCTATGCTGCCACACTGACTTATCTCATCTGCGTTGCCTTTGAGTGGTTGAGCGGCGCAGGTGATCCCAACCATACACGTATTGCCTGTGTTGCGTTACCCACCCAATACATGTATTTGGGTATGCCACTCCACGCAATGCATGCCGACGTTGATGGAGGCTTGGTGGAGGAATTGACGTCTTGATGCCGTGGCTCTTGGCCACATGCGTGATATTCAATCTGCATGTCTACAGATACCTCCTAGTTGGTAGTAGTTTCCTACTAGTGCTTCCAACGGGCAGGATCAGAAGCCCCAAACCCGACGTGGATCGTCATTTAGCCAACATGGATCTCGAGAGAGGTGTTGAATCTTTATTAGAGTGCCGCCCCTCTCGTGGCACCCCTGAGCCTGAGCCGGAGCCTGAGCCACCACCACTGGCACCACCTAGGAAGAGTCCTTCGGCCTAATGATAGCTTAGACGAAACGTAACCGTACACACCGACACACACCACTCTTGCTTCTTTACAATCCTGCCCATCCCCTCCCTTCAATCTTTAGTGTACACTCGAGAGTCAACAAGAGGGCTAGGCTCCAATAGGAACGGGCAGCATACGGCCTTGTTCGTTTCACTTTCTCCACGCACACGCCATTCCAAATCCGTACGAGCCGCTATGTTATTGTGTTTCTGACGCACGCACCCGTGCTTCGGCTTGACTCGTCAGCAAGGCGCAGTTTGGGGCCAGCTTTTCTTCAATACCCGCCCCGGCGCTGCCCAGCACGGGACGGGGCAGACTCACTTCCAGTCACTCCGAGAATCCCAAGAACCATCTTCCCCGTCTAGGTCACTGGTCACTGCTTCGCTCGCGTCTCCCTTCACGATATAACTCGAGTGGCTTGCTCCGCGCTTCGATCTTAGGCGGGTGTTCAAAAACCGGCCCCATTCGGAATTGAACTCAACTACGGCTTCGTCGCGCCAGCCAAAAAGCTTCCTCCCCGACGACAGACAGGACCATAGATACATCACATCACCACTACTCGTACTCATCTTAGTACCCTACTCAACACTACAGCCATCACGTATTCACGTTACCGTCAACACAAGACGCCATTACCTCAGCCGTTCCGCTGCAGAAAATACCACAGACCATCTCCGGCCCCGGCGCCAATCTCCCCGACTTGTCTCTCCTCTTTCAGTCCCAACCCATTTACCATTCACCATCCACCAACCAACCATCCATCCATCCATCCTCTCAACCCCACATATTCGCTTTCGGTCTCCTCGACTTGCTTGTTCAGACTTCCAACGACACACCAAACGATCGTTGTCTACGGTACCTTTAGCGGACCGCGCCGCTCTTGAAGTGAAGAAGAGCCACATCTTGCTGACATCTCGTCACTGGTACTCAACCGATTCGTCAGCTTGCCGCCTCCTTCCCCTGCTCATTGGTCTTATCGGATTCTTGTAGCAAGGGGGCTTGAGGTCTAGGTGTCCCCAAAGTCGTGAGGGTTCTCTCATCTGGCAGCCCAAAGGCACTTCGCTCGCCTGTCTGGGGTCCAGCTTACCCGCTCTCCATCGGACGCGAGGTTGGGGAAGTTACGGCAGCTGTTGTCCCTTTGCGCCAATCTGGGATAACAGCCCAGGACCGAGTAGGAAGAGTGGAAGGGCTGCTTATTCCGCTTGCTGCAAGATGCCGCGCCTAGGGTACAAAAAGTCTCGCGGTGGCTGTGCAAGGTGTAAACAGCGTCGTGTAAAAGTACTTACCACCCTTCATCCACACACATACACATACACATGCACACTCATCAAACCTCTCTACCACTCACAAACCATCCTGTATATCGAACGCGGCCCGACTGACTTTTTTGAACCCAGTGCGATGAGAACAAGCCGTGTGGCGCCTGTATCAGGCACAACACCCAGTGCAGCCTTCTCGAGGGCTCAGTGGACGGAGGCTCCGGTGACAACATGAGCTGGGAGCCTACATCCAATTCTAACGCGGCGGGACTCTCCAGAGTGCCGAGTTTCCAACGGAGGAGCTCATCGCGGAAGGGGTCCAGCGGCAGCCGCAAGACACAAACGCCATCAATCAGCCCGATAGATCACTCACTGACGCCGCCGAGTCTGCTCGAGGCCACCCTCAATCTGCCGGCAGACTTCGTCAGCGACCGGGGCTCGTCCATCGGAAATAGGAGGTCCTCTATCGCCGCCTCGAGCCCCGACCCGTTTCCCTACTTTGTCAAGTTCTCAACCGAGCCCGTGGAACCAGTTCATTTGAGCAAGTGGATCACAGATCTCGAGCTTATGCATCACTACTCCACGGCTACTAGTCTCACGATGCCCAGGTCATCAGACGTGAGCAGTATTTGGCAGTTCGAAGTGCCAAAGCTCGGTCTGACGTACATGTTCCTGATGCACGAGATCCTCGCCATCGGTGCGTTACATCTGGGTTATCTGCACCCAGAGCAGCGCGAGTCCTATGCCTTGCATGCCTCACAACACCAGAGCGATGCGATAGCAGGCATGCGGGAATCACTCATGAACATCACAACGGAGAACTGCCACGCGCTGTTCGCGGCATCGTCATTACTGCTGCTCAACGCATACTCTACGTTCCCGTACCAGAGGGGAGCGCCCCATTCACAAGAGGCCCCAACAGTCGACGACGTTCTTGATGTCTTCTTACTCGTAAGAGGAATGAGCCATATCCTATCATCATTCCAGCCTTCTATCCAGACTGGACCATTTAGGAACTTCTTCACAGAGGTAGTCACTCCCGCGTCCACACCGTTGCTGGAGGCAGTCACACAGCACCTCGAGAACCTCCAAATAAGTTTAAAGACATCCAGCGCCGATGAATCAACCAAAGCCATCGTCAGCAAGGAGATTGACGTGTTTCTTGGGTGGATCATGCACGCCGTCGAGACGACGGCGTTTCCAGAGCTGCGGGTGGCCTTGACATGGCCCATCAACCTCACTGAAGAATATCTGCAGCTGCTACGGAACCGCGATCCGGCGGCTCTGACTCTGTTGGCTTACTATTCAGTTGTCGTTCGCTCCACGGAAGCTACCACGTGGTTCATGCAGGGATGGGGGATCAACTCGGCGCGGGCGATAGTATCAGACTTGGATCCAGAGTGGAAAGAGTTGGTCAAATGGCCTTTGGCATTCATAAGCGACAGGAGTATACAACTTTAGTTGCCATCTAAAGAAATCAAAGAACAAATCATTTAGACTACCATGTTCCGCGCTCATGACGTGAATTGCTTTGCCTTGCCAGGTGCCAATCCCTATTCAAACTTCAAGACAGTCATGGCTACCACATGCCGTATGTGTCGTATGCGATGATCCTATGCCACAACTCGAGGGTGGCGCCAGTCTACCACCGTCAACTGTCAGCTTTTTCCGTTATGATTTGGCCGATTATTCGCCTGTCTACATCTGTTAGGCTCGAAAGTATAATTAGCCGATCACCAAAAACCTAAAGGATTCGGCCGAGCGGGAGCAGAGTGCGAAGCGGGCTTCAATGGCCCGGAGATTTCTTGGCGACTACAACTCGTTCGACCTACCTACTTAGGATAGAGCTCATTAGCATTGAAGGTAAGGCATATTCAACTACCTTACTTCGTACAGAAGCTACTAGGAACACAAATGAGCTGTAGAGTCAGAGTGTGAATGATCTGAAACGATCAAAACAGGGACAGACGGGTTGTACCTCAAACCCCGAAACCGAAACCGAGGTAGGTGGGTGCGCCTGGTCTGGTGCTACGATTAGTGGGGGTGTTGCGAATGTGCGATCGTCCTCGAAGCTTAAGTGATCCGACCTAACTGTACGGAGTAGTTTCTAGGGATAATACCTAGCGGAAAGTGGGAATGGCAAGGCTGATTATGACTCTGCCGCCAGTCTTAAACACTGCTTGACGCGCTGCGTAGTCTCGTTACCACCGTTGTAGCCCATTGTTCCCGGAGAATTTGTCGGCAGGCTGCAGCTAGGGGTCCCCGATGACATTGGATCCTAGCTTTTCGCTCGAAAAAAGCCACACAATGGTCATGACGTCTGAAGGGACAAAAAGCTTAATGATGCTTATTGACGCCGCAGGCGGCAATTGTCGGACGAGGAAAAGGTCTGGACGCGTCCAACGCGTGGACTCACGACTTGGGAAAGCGAATTCCATCTTCCCTGACGAGCCGAGTTAACAATTCTTAGCTTCTCTCACTCTGCGGTCATGCCGATGAATTTCCACGATGGCAAACTTGCCAAGTTATTCTCGGAACATGCGTGCCTATTTGTACATTGCCTTTGGCGGAAGAGGCTCACGAGACCTGCTGCCGCCAGTATGCGCGTTCATGGTACCGATGAGCTATTTGTTCTCTCTTTCAATGTTGTTTCCTGGCATGGCCCTCAGCATAACTCTTACTGTTGAACCGGATCTCAATCAGCTCTCCCGAGGGACCCCATTGTTACCGCTAACATGTCGATTCTACCTTTAGGCATAGGCATAGGAGATGTTACGAACGATCAACCTTACAGCACGATTCGCGAATCTTCGAGACGAATAGACGATGACGAGTACACACCTAACCTTACAGAGAGCCGGGTATGAGCTCAATAAACGCGGTCGATTTCGATTATTGGCAGATCTGAATATAATAAGAGATCAGTTTCCAATTGCGAAACTTTTCAACTATGTACAAAAACTGAATATTCGATTTAAGCCCAGGTGTCGAAGAAGCGAACAGCTTGGAAGAAAGCCTCCTCCTTGCCGAACTTCTGTCTAGGGTCCGAAATGTTGGCGCGAACGCCAAATCCGTGCGAGGTACCACCATACACAGCGAGGGAGAAGGGCTGGCCAGTCTCACTGAGGAGAGCCTCGACCTCGGCGCGACGAGCGGGCGTCATGAGGTTGTCAGTTTCTACAGCGGAGATGTCAGTGACAAAGAACCCTACAAGCGCCCCGCTGGGACGCAGAGGGGCTGAGATGGACGACGTACCGGCGGCGGCGACACTCGCGGGACCAGTGATGGCCGTAATCTCCTCGTCGGTAAGAAGACTGGGGTGCGCGGCGAAACCGACGTCAGCGCCCTTGCCCTCGGCGAGGACGCGGAACGAGTAGCGGCCTCCGAAGCAGTATCCCGTGACGGCGACCTTGCTCACGCCGAGCTCCTCGCGCAGGTACTTGATAGAATTGGCGATGATCGGGTCAGTGACGTTGGGTCCGTGCTGCGCAAGGAACGCCGTCGTGTTGAAGCCGGGGATGTTGATGTCGTTCGGGGCCGGGCTGCCGTTGAACAGGTCCGGCGCGACGGAGATGTAGCCCGCGCGAGCAAAACTGTCGGACAGGCTGGCAATTCGCGTTAGCATCGGTATTTGCAAGGGGCCGCCATACGGCGCATGCTCGATGGCTGGCAAACTCACAGCTTGTTTTGCGCGAGCTGAATTCCGAAAACGTCGGTCAGGTACAGGACTCCAACAGTTCTGTTACCACGCGTGCTCGGCTTGGTGACATATTGGGTCACTGCATACGAATCGCGTTAGCGTGTCCACCTGAGAGACATCGTGATGAGATTAAATAGACTCACGCCCATTGTACTTGACCTCCTCGCCAATCGGGGTGCCAGTATGGGCAATGGCGGAAACGTCGGCAACGGGGCATTTCTTAGCAGCATTGGTTAGAGACACGAGGCCCAGAAGGGCTGCGACAACAGTTTTGCTGAGCATCTTGAAGGTTTTGGACTGGAGGTAAGTCAATCACAGAACACGGCGGACGGAGACCGGATGGAAAGAGACATGGGACGGGACGGGATGGCCCAACATCTTTTTAAGATTTAAGCTTCTCCTCGTTCTACGCGTCTAATGATTACAAATAAGCCAGATCGGAACCTATTTTCTTGAATGGTCATCCGGACGGAGATACGGGTGGTATCTTGGAGATATCCTTTGCCAAGACGGTAGACATGGCGCAAGACCCTTGAAGACGTCATCCAATCCTCTAGCCGTGTGCTCCGCGTCTCCGCAAACACACCGTGAACGGTGAAAGGATCGAGAGTTGCCGGGGCGGGGAGAAGGTTCCAGTCTGGGCCCAAGGAGGAAGCCGACTTCTTCCTTCTCCGCTTCAGAAAAGTGCGCCAATCGTTGTGCTCGGTGCCCCTGTTTCTGTGGTGGCTTTGTTTGCTTGTTTAATGTTTAAATGCAACATTGATGGACGTGATGATCCTTGGATTCTGCCAGGGCCAAGCGGTGCGGCAACGGGAAATGAGCATCGTTTAGGACGGACTGCCGTCGTTTAGATGAGGGGCCCGCGTGGGGCAATTGCGACTTATCAATGGCCAGCTCGCTGCCGAATCGGCAAAAGGGTTGAATGTTGAGTGTTCATTACGGAGTACTAGTTCTTAGTAAAGTTTCGATGAGGGTATTCATTTATCAGATTCGGTCAAACTGATCCAGACCATTCAATTCTCCATGCTGTAGGCCCCGATGGCAGTAATTCTCTCAACAACCGTTATGTCGTCTCTCACCTTTTCGATAATCAGGCTGGCTAGCTTTCATTCAAGCTTCTTCTCAGACAAATCCTAAGAGACCCTCAGTCGTGAACAGCTTTGCGCAAAGCGTCAGAACCGCCCCGACCATGCACACGACCCCGCCAAAGATGGAAATCTGGTCATAACCGTGGTAGCGATTGAGCAACGCGCCGCTGACCGGCGGCCCAACCAACACAGCAATCGATGCGAATGCGATGCCCATTCCCATGTAGGTACCGATATCCTTCGGCGTCTTTGGGCAGAGGGTGAAAACCACGGACCCTCCTGAGATGATGGCGCCAGAAGTGAGACCATATGCTGCGGCAAAGCCGATGATTCCAGCCTCAGTCACTGCCTTGGGCCAGCAGAGAATCGAGATGGCGGTCAACAATCCCGCAGTGAATAAGATGTTGATGCGACCAAATTTGTCGCCCAGTACACCGGGGATGATGCGGCCAGGGATCGAGGCTCCGTTAATGACGGCCACCAAGTAAGACGCCAACGACGGGGTCAAGCCGTGATCGATACCAAACGTCGGCAAGTAAAAGAAGGGGATGAACATGCCCACAAACATGAGGCACACGCCACCAGTGAGACACAGAAACAGTGGCTGTCGGAAAGCTTTCCAGATGAAGAATTGGCTCCGTCGCGGGGGAAGACGGGCCCTGACGGCGACAGACGAGTATAAGAGGAACGGCATCATGATGAAGCCGCAAATGCGAACGGCCCACCCGAATCCCAGCGTGTCCAGCAGCTCTGAGAGAACGATAGGAAACACGACTGCACCCAGCGAGGAGCCGGCGATAGCGAGACCCATAGCTGCGCCTCTCCTCCTCTTGAAGTATTGAGGCGTGGCGGCCATAGCTGGGAACATGATCAACCCGTTTGATATGCCGCTGAGCACACCTTGAGCGAGCATGAACTGCCAATATTCGTTGCATAAGCTCGTCATCATGACTGAGAAGATGTATACAATCGCGGCGGGACGGATGACCTAAGTAGGTAGTCAGGGTTAGCATCTTCTTGATGACCAGACTGGTACACCTATGCCTCGAGCTTCACTCACCCATGCGCCATAACGGTCAAAGATTGGCCCTCCTATAGCACCAGAAGCAAACACCAAGAATGCTTGTATTGATCCGATCCATGAAATGTCGTCAGGCGTATGGTCCGAAAGCTGATGGCGCGTGTAGTAGGCTTGGAAGACGCCAAATGAGTTGGTGTATCCTAGCGAGCAGAATAGAATGGCCGCTGTACCGGCCGCAACGGACCATGCTCGCGTGCCGCCTTCGGGGAAGTCATCTTCAGCTGACTGGGTGACCTTTTCTTGTTTCTCCTGCTCGCCTGGTCGTCCTTGGTCCGTCGATGGCGTCGACTTGCTCTTCTCCGACTCTGCGCGCGACTGTTGAAGTACTTCCCCGCGCCCCTCGCCCGAATTGGCTCTCGACGGCCCGCCCTCGACAATATCCTTCACCTCATCCTTAGTCTCTGTCGGTTCGTTCATGGTTGCGTTGCTCTCAGAGAATTCTGTATCTTTGAGAGATCCTAGAAGCTTGGATCAGCTTCATCTTCAACTTGAGGACGAATGAGGCGTGTCGCCGACTATTGAATGATAACAAGACGTCTCACACCTCGGGACCGACTGCCCGCGGCCACCGTCACGCGATGCCTACCCGTGAGGCGTACATGAAGTTTTGATGGGCTTTGTTTCTGCAGCTTGGCAGCTAGCCGGGAGGAACGTGCCAGTCCGAGCCATTGGGACTTCGCCGATCGACTTGCTTGACTGCGGCTACGGCACGGCCGAAACCGCACGTGCACCGGCGAGCTTCCGGAGGCTCATTTGTTTACAGTCAGTTTGAGAAGACGCAGCCCAGCCCGACGGAATCCCCGTTGGAGGCGGGTCTCGCAAGGCCGTGGCATCTGCAAGCTTGTTGGAGACGTTTGAGGAGTGACGATGACTTCATGGTTGGCAAGTGGCATAGCCTCTATATGCATTAGGTTCATGACGCTGTCAACCGTTCACAATCAACGTCGTCCGATCACCTACTGGCAAGTGCCGTGCAGCTTTTAAAACAGCACGTAGCGTACCCGGATCGACGCCAAGGGGATGCGAATGCGGTCCTCGATACTGCACCTCCTGTCGATCAATAGTCCCCGACGCAGGCTGTACGTCTGCGCTTGCATGTTCAACTGTGTCATCAAGCCCGATAACCTTAAATCAATGAGCGCAGTCGTCTTTCGCGTCCGCACCCTTAACACCACTTGTTGCCTAACCCAGGCCACAATCACACCATCATCCATTCGGTATACCAGATTCCTGTACAAATTTCATTCTTCAAGAGTTTGCCCGAACTCCACAACGAAGTTCTCTCAGAGCCCTCCGACTCAGGGTTAGTGATCGACGAAACCTTTCAGACTTATCCCAACCCCATGGAGAGATGATCGCTCTATGTTGATCAAGGCCTTCGAAGACATGGCGATCTCTTCGACAACAATGATGTGGCCCAGTGCCGATTCTGATCATGTCAAGGCCCTACTTCATCAAATGGCGGGCGCAGTCTGTGTGTTTGACGGACTTCGGAGTATGGGTTGAAGTCAACCTGTCTCTTTGAAAGGGTTGGGTTAGCTATGGTGCATGTTTCTCCGTGAAACGAGTCTACGCCTTGGTGGGCTCGGAACAACTGGGTAACGTTGCTCTGCTCCGACCTCACTCCGTTCTTCCGAACTTCTCAGCCTGAATTGAGTCCAACATTGGTTCGTCTGAGGTCCTGTAAAAGCCCTGCTTGCCAAGACGGCAGAATCTCTACATCCAACACAGATGCTATACATTAGATGCCGTAGTTGCTCAGACTGTGTCATTAGCTCCCAGGCCACTCGTTCCTCTGTCGAAGTCGTCAAGTCGGCTGCTGCCCTACGATGAGAAGAGCAGTCCCAGACAACACCGTGGAGAGGCAAATACTGTTAGGCCACCCATAATGAAGGTCTTATTCCGTCCCCAAAAGCGTGACACGATGCAAAGAGCGCCATGAGAAGTCGGGATGCTTACTTGAGCCACATGTGTTTTGAAGCACTCGATCCTCGAAAGACCAGGCAAATCTGACGAAGGTCTGGCATGTGTGGACTTGACTTTTGATACTGTTCTAATGCGCAACATCTGAGCTGAACTCAGGAAACCTCGCCACATAAAGAACCGTCTTACAAATTTGGTACGTTCCATGTCCTCTACCTTGAAGGTCAGTGTACCTCTCTTCTCGACCTAAGCTGGGCTGTTGCGAGAGAATATTTCAACCTACTTGTAAGCAGATGTTAAACATCGCCGGCACACAAGTTGGTCAACAAAAGTCTTCATCGCTCTACAAGGAAATTACGCGGAGTTTGCATAACATGAAAGAAATGGCGTTACATCGCACATTCAGAGAAGAAGACACACATACATACCATCACCGGCAAAACCGCACATGACGAACCCCTTAATATGGAAAAATGGCAGCACGAACGGAGCTACAACCTCCGCGAACGATGATGTTTGCCCGTCTACCCCGCTACGGAACCAAGGGGTGATAACTATTTAGCCCCGGCTCCCCTGCGATCGCTGCACGCCGAGACTCGCGCCGAGACTCACCCCGCAGATCCCCCAGACGCCCGTTCGGCACAGACTTCGAGCCAGGAGCAGAGTATCGGACCACGCAACGTCTTCCATCACCGAGCTGGTAGGGAATGATGGCTAGAAGCCTGTCTTTCGACGATGCCGGCTGAAGCTTTTTGTCTCAAGGCCCGGTTCGCATGACACTCGTCAGCGCCGGTCACCTGAAATTCCCGCCGGTTCCATCTGCGCATTACACGGCCAAACTTCGTCGGTATTCGCCAAGAAAGCTTACGAGGTGAGTAATGTCACGCTGTATTAGTATCGTACATCCACTTATGATACATTTGCTGACTTTAGCTTGCGCAGCCCTACGAACCCAGAAGCTGGACTGTCTTGATCGAAGTCAAGACGATGCAAGCATCAAAACGTCCGCATATCTTTGTCCTCGTGGCTCGAAAGGTCACTGAGCTGCTTGATGCTCATGAAAGCTTGGTATCATGCTACAGGACTCAGTAGCATAGCCCCGTCGAGCTTCAATATCCACGCAAGTTTCCTCGAACGTCGTTCAAGCTCCGAGACGGACAAGGGAGCCCTGCCGGACCAGTTCGGACGGTAGACTAGCGAGAGCCGAAGACAGGCACGATCGGCAAGGTATCGCGACCGTTCCTGACTACCATCGTTCAACTTATCCCGTACATCCCGGAGCTGTTTGCTCACTCCTGCCGTCGCCGAGATCTTGGCTCTTGAAACCTTGACTTGGCTCTCCATCACCTGGCTACCACATAGCGTTGGCTCTCGGACAACAAACCAATGAAGTAGAACTTCTCTCCGCCTACAAGACCTTGGCGGTCGTTCGACAAGGGGACTCCTTCGGTGCGACAGTCCTCAGATCCGCATTTCAAGAGTCACTTTCCTTGCATTAAACACTCAACTTTTGACAACACTGGAAGTGATGGCTTAGCTGCCGACGGGAATTTCGTCCCGGCCAACTCCTTCCAAGACTTGGGCGGCAAGGTAGAATGCGATCCAAGGTCGCATGAGACTCTTTCGAGAAGAGACTCTGTCCCTACGAGTGTTGGCAATGTAACAATCTGACCCCTTCCGTCGACTTTCGACAAATGCTCACGGAACTGTACGCGATGTTGCCGAAATCCGGGACGCTAGAGAGAAATTTCTCGGGGAGCCTCATTCCGCAACAGTAAGTGGCCAAATGCTTTTGAACGAAGTCAGGAGCATAAATATGGAGTGGAGATCCGTATTCAACTGGACTGTCAAGTAGGCTCTTCACAGCTTACGCTCAGCTTTCACTTGCCAGCTTTTCAGACGATTCTTCAGTCTCTGCGGTTCCCTTCACGATGAAGTACACTCTCTCAGCACTTTCCATGCTGGCCATGGCTGTGGCTCAGCAGGTCGGCACCGAACAGCCTGAAACCCATCCCAAGATGACCTGGCAGAGGTGTACTTCTTCATCATGCTCCAACGTCAACGGTGAGGTCGTCATCGACGCCAACTGGCGCTGGGTTCATGGCGTTGGGTAAGTAACACTGCTGGTTGTTATCTTATCTTCAGATGATGAACAACAGCACTGGCTGACACACTCGTCCAGCGGATACCAGAACTGTTATGATGGAAACTCGTGGACTGGTTTGTGCACGACCGGAGACAACTGCGCCCAGACTTGCGCTGTTGAGGGAGCCGAGTACGGCGGCACCTACGGCGTCTCGACCAGCGGCAATGCCATGACCCTGAAGTTCGTCCAGGAGCATCAATACGGCAAGAACATTGGCTCCCGCATGTACCTCATGAATGGGGACAGCAAGTACCAGACCTTCCAGCTCTTGAACAACGAGTTCGCTTTCGACGTCGACTTGTCCAGTGTCGAGTGCGGCATGAACAGTGCTCTGTATTTCGTTGCCATGAAGGAAGACGGCGGTCTTTCTTCGGAGCCTAACAACAAGGCTGGAGCCAAGTACGGTACTGGATACTGTGACGCTCAATGTGCTCGTGACCTCAAGTTCATCGGCGGCAAGGTAAGCCTCAAACACATGTGTTTGACTGTATGAAAAGAACCTGTGACTAACAGCGGCGACGAACAGGGCAATGTTGTAGGCTGGGAGCCTTCTGAGACCGATAACAGTGCTGGTGTTGGCAACATGGGCGCCTGCTGCGCTGAAATCGACGTTTGGTAAGATATACAAATCAATTCTCACTCGAGAATTGTCGAAGTCCTGACCAATGCCCAGGGAATCCAACGCCTACGCCTACGCTCTGACTCCCCACCCTTGCGAGAACAACAACTACCACGTCTGCGAGGGATCCAACTGCGGTGGCACGTACTCCGAGGACCGGTACGGCGGTGGCTGCGATGCCAACGGTTGCGACTACAACCCGTACCGCATGGGCAACCCTGACTTCTACGGTCCCGGAAAGACCATTGACACCACCAAGAAGTTCACCGTCATCACACGCTTCTCCCCCGATCGTATGTATCAAGTCTTCATCCAGGATGGAAGAACCATTGAAGTCCCCGGCGCCAAGTGGGCGGGTGTACCCGAGACCTCGGAGATCACGCCCGAGTACTGCGAGCGCCAGTTCGCCGTCTTCAACGAGCGAGACCGCTTCAACGAGGTCGGCGGATACCCGCAGCTCAACGCCGCGCTCAACATTCCCATGACCCTTGTGATGTCCATCTGGAGCGATGTTAGTTTCCCCCTATTGCGTCCACAAGCCTCTGAACATGCCAAGCTGATGTTCCGCGATAGCACTACGCCAATATGCTCTGGCTCGACTCAACCTACCCTCCCGAGAGGGCTGGAGAGCCGGGTACCGAACGTGGACCTTGTGCCCCAACTTCTGGTGTCCCCGCCGAGGTTATCGAGCAGTTCCCCAACTCGCAGGTCGTCTGGTCCAACATTCGCTTCGGTCCCATCGGCAGCACCTACGCTGTTTAAGAGGACTGAGGGAAGACCCGAAGTTGTCTACGACATTGGTCGCTTCGGGAGTGTCTCCAAGACTACACTGAGTGGAAGATGTCTCCGCTTTCCCTTGTATATAACTTCTCTTCTTCCATTGCCGGCACCATTTTTTCCGTCCGGCTTTGTCCCATAGACTCGGACCTGAATACACTCATACACACTGTCCAACATGCGCAGTAAATACTTCTAGTACTTGTGCTTCGAGGCCAAGGAGGCTTGCGGTGAACATAGCTCATCGACTTCAGGGAGTAGCATCGCAGTATCGAAAGAGTCGTATATGTGTTGGCGATAGGCCACAGTACTTGACGAGTATCTTAGCCCATTGCCTGTTCTAACTTTCGAGTATCGGGAGAAGGATGTGCCTTTAGCTATTAAAAGTATCAACTCCACCCCTTTGCTGACTCATTATGCCGGCAAGCGACGTGGTCAAGTCACGAACGCAGGGGCGCTCAGAGGCATCGGGGAGTATCGGCACTAGAATAACCGTGATCAGTTGAGTCGTCGGGTCGTTGAATATTGCGTGGTATGTTCGACGATCGATTCGCAGGCTCGGGCACTCTTGACAGAGTTCGTCTCGACGTCGGCTTAGCTCGGCTCGGTGGTATTTTGCTACCGCATCGATTCTCGATCGGAGGAGCCAGAATCGTAACGGATGAGAGATAACCTCTGAAGGGCGAGGATCATTAATTTCTATCTTTCCAAAGGGCAAATGAATAAAACTACTACGCCTCTGACTCGTATAATCGTGTAGGTTCCGAAGTTGGAGCGAGCATCCGCGTAGGGATAGTAGAGAGTTGTGGAATAGAGACCGTATGGATTCCAATGGGGCGGAGGACGTGCAGACTAGAGACATGGGATGATTAGCCAAGGCATTTATTCGCGATTGGGAAAGTCTAACAGTTGAGTGCCGTGAGTGCACCGACGTGACGAACCAGCCTCAGGCTGTAGCTCAAGAGGAGAGCGAGAGCGAATTACTCTAGACAGGGGTGACCCAGATACTCTCCGTGTCTTGATTCGTCAGTATGAAGAGACAAACGTCAGTTTGCGGACGCTAATGCAGACTGCTGACACGCTAAAATCTGGTTAGAGATCAAACAGGGGCTTTAAATCCGTCCGAATACACTCCCGTCTGCGAGAGTGCTTCGCCTCGACGATGACAACGGCCAGATAATGCTTGGATTAGCAATCCATCTGGGAGATAGCAATTCGAAAAAGGGAGGAACATAAGGACAACATTGATCCTCAATCTGGCTTTCTCTCAAGTTTCCGCAAGAAGTCCTCAAGTTTACGAAAGTCCAGAGATAAGTTGAAGGCAGCTTCGACTCTGTCGAGACTATCCGCACAAACTAGGCCTGAGTCAGTAGGAGTCCCCACCATCGAAAAAAGGCATCGACGCCGATTCGACCATTTAGGTTCCGGCCTTGTGGCACCATCCCTGACACTTAGACGGTGGAAGGCCGTCAGCAGGCTGCATATAGTCCTCTAGAGGACCAGTCTCATCTCCTTCCAGCATTGTTGTCATCCGTTTGTCAAAGATTGACCAGATCTCGGAGCTGCTGACTGCTGACACGCTCGATCTTGTTGGCTCGGCTCTCTCTCCCTTGCCCAACGCCTTTTTGACCAATGTCTTTCGAGGATATCCTTCCAGATTTAGAAGCAACGGCAACGATGGAGATGTGTTTCAGTCCCGGCCCGGCGATTCCTGCCGGGACAGTTATCCCGGTGATTGCGAATCCTCGTTTGGCGGAATTGCGGGATCCTTCAGAGGACTGGACCGGAGTTACGAGTACGGCGGAGAGGCGTAAATTACAGAATCGGCTGAACCAGAGAGCGCGAAGTGAGTCCACCTCGCTACCGATTTGCTGACATCTACTACCCGCACGGGTAAGGCTAGTATCAATTAGCTAACGATTACACGCGTATTACAAGGGCGGAGAGCACAGAAGAAACTCGGCAAACATTCTCCATCAGATAGAAGTCCATCCTCCGAAGTGGACTCTGACCCCTCGACAGCCTTGGTGAAGAAGGAGTCGGCCTCGCCAACTAACGAAAATACCCAGACGGCCCTGGCGGCCATCATCGCAGGGAAGATTGGAAAGGCCGCCGTCCCAGAGGTTTGCCTCCTGGGAAAGACAGGCATGCCAGCTATGCTAGAAAAGTTCGCCGAAGGAGCCTACGATGACTACATGCGCGGCCGACCCTGTACAGACTACCTGACGACCCTCGTCCGCGTCAACGTCTTCCACGCCTTTGTCCGCAACGCCCAAGCCCTTAGCTTTAACGCAGAGTGGCTGACCTACGACTCCATCTCCCCCTTCAACAAATCTGGCCCTGGCCTAGGTCCCGCCACGACGATGGCCTCGTGCCCTACCAACATGTTGCCCACGGCGCTGCAATTGTCCGTCGAACATCACCCGTGGATCGACTTCTTCCCCCACCCCCGCATGCGAGACAACTTTCTACGGATCGTGGCCGAGCACGGCGAGGACTACATTGACGAAGACGAAATGTGTCGGGACGTTGTCGATGTGGGCGCGGGGGCGGGAGTCGAGGACGCGGCGCTTATCGTTTGGGGTGAGCCGTGGGATCCGCGGGGCTGGGAGGCCACCGAGCCGTTTCTCCGGAAATGGGGCTGGCTGCTTGACGGCTGTACCGAAATGCTCGAGGGAACGAATTACTGGAGGGAGAGAAGGGGCCTGCGAAAACTCAAATTCAACTGATCAAAATCCTTGCACAAAGCAACACTACCTCCGCCCATGTCGAACACAACCAAGTGTGGGTCCAGCTGGACCTTAGGTAAATGGTCATGATTAAATGCAAAGCTAATGTCGTCTGACTATCTACTGGCTCTACTATCACGAGCTCTTGATCTTTGCCTGGTCCAGAATCCTCATTAACTCGACAAAATACGGGAGGAACGCCTCGCATTCGACCCTGAAGCCCTCGTGAGCACCCGCGACATTGAGCTTTGGACACCCCAAGATCTTGGCCTGCTCATCGACTGCCTGGGCATACCATGCCTCTCTGCTCCGACTACCCCTCATCAACCCGATACTCGTTCCGTTCTCCCGGATGCGATACAAACTCGGCATGTAGCCCAACAAGACGGCAAACTCGTTGGCCCAGTGGTTCGGGGGGTTCATTGGATCCGATGGCCCTGTCCGAGGAACGCCTTCATCGAAATAGCCGATCAGCTTAGAGCTGAACTCCTTCTGCGCAGCATCGACGCCCGAAGCCTCATATATCTCGAGACAATTATACAAGAACTGAAAGACTTCGGTGGCATTGGGGAGCAGCATGAAGGTCGGGGCTTCGTGGGAAATGACGTGCTCGACCATGTCTGGAAAGTCGAGGGCGAACTGAAACGCGAGGATGCCACCCATACTACTTCCGAAAAGAGTGGCTTTGCTGAAGCCGAGAGTCTCGATAATGGCGCGGATATCGCGCGCTTGCTGCGGTGGGTTGAGCCTCTTGTTCACCTTGGCTTGACTTGCGGACATTTGGCGACGGTCAAAGGTGGCGCAGGTATATCTATCCGATAGAGCGGCGATGATTGTGTCATATTGCCGGCCATGGCCGTTGCCTCCCGGGATGAATACGATGAGCGGACCTTTGCCCTGGGACCAATAGTGAATATCACAGCCCTCGATGTGCAGGACTGCGCGAGTTGGAGCAAACTCTGGTGCCATCACCGTATTCATGCCGAGCTCTCGATTGTATGGAGGATAGCAGAAAATAGCTCTTGCTTCAGCTGGAATTGGCACTGAAGTCGGTAGATCTCATGTAGGTATTTGAGTTCCGACAATACAGAGCGATTACGACTCGCTATATAAAGCATCGATGGTATACCAAAAGTCCTGAAGGACTAAGACGCGGAGTCAAATACCGGCGGCCGTTTGATGACCCGGCTTACGGCGTTTTCGATTAGAAATACAGAGGACGCGTTGTCTGTCTGCAGGGTGGTGATCCTGTCAGCACGAGTAGCTTAACCCGAATCAATCAGAACCAACAGCGGATTATACGGGCCGGATCTCCTAGAGTGAGCTGATGAAAAGGCACAAGCGATCAAATATGATGATGACTTCTGGATCAGGACGCGGACCCGCCGGGCAATGGACGCCGGGTCGGCGCCCGGCCCCACATCGCCGGGGCAAGCGATCTTGGCACTGGTGATGGCTCGGTTTCTTCCTTGGATTTCTTACCTAGCTCATCTAGAATAATTGCAGCTTAATTTATAGATAACTAGATTACCACCTATTACAATAGAGAGACAAATTGAATATCGTCAGCTACCTATCAATCAAGATTCGGAGCGCAACCCATATCCTTAGCAACCCCCAAAACCTTCGGTAACTCTCGGGAACGAATGCTGACAAGACAACTGTCGTACTTGTCACCACACCATAGAGAAATGAGTGATCATGACGTGTAGCGAAACAGTCTTGGGGAATTTCTGGCCAGCCACTCTTTCAATGATTATGGTGTTGTTCATGTGCCCCCTGTGATGTACGCATGTAGGGTAAGGTAGTCACAACGACCCCTTCCTGCAGTGATTTCCTCTCGCGACCGATCAATATGGAGACAGAATTTAGTGAGAACGAGTAGAATAACTGATGATTGATATCAAAAATGACTACTTTCGTTGGCTGCAGAGAAGTCAAGTCTTTTGATCTCGGCACTCGGCCACTGCAGGAAATCCAAGTATGAAGCATCTAGATGCGACGCAACGCCTCGTAGAATGTGATCGGCCCAGCCGTGCATGTACCACAGCCACTCGAGCGTCTTGACCAGTACGGCAAAGTGACCCAGCACAAGCAGCGCGACGGTACTCTTCTCCCTGAGACACCGTACGAAGTCGTCGTCGGTGCGGTAGATGCAAGCCATAATCACCTCCATCTTCCCCTCGAACGTGGCGACGGGCTCTGTAGATGTTCCAAAGGTCTGTTGAAAAGCGAGAGATACGTGATCCATCATCTTTCTATATGTTGTTTCATCGGGATCTTGAGAGTCGGCAATGAGCTGTGCGATACGTCCGAGGGCAGGTTCCCATATGACGGTTCTTGAAGTTGCCGAACTTGAACGCGATAATGATGAGTCCTTGCTCGGCGGCGGCTCCTCTCCAGACCGCATGGGGCCGAGAACACCCGAGAAGATGGCCTCAAAGCCGACCGTTTCGATGACAAGCCTGACGCCCCTGAGCAGCTCGAACCAGGCCACCTCAACGCCGTCCGAGACTATGAGCAGATTCTCCGGCGCGGGACCCTTGGCGAAGCTGCATGTGCAGACGAGGGTGGTAGCAATGTAGAGGACCCCGGCGGTCTCGCGGCCGAGGCGGGGCATGATTTCCATTATCTGGCGCAGGCCGGTCTCGTAGTGTTTGTCTGCCAGCCCTTGGTACTTCGTGCGCTTGCCTGGCTCTATGGTAGCCAGATGGAATGCGGATACGGCGAGGAGGAGGTGGAGGACGGAGTGGTTTTCGAAAGCGAGGAGAGGCACTTTCTGACGCCAGAGGGTTGCGTCGCCATGGTCTAGAGCCGGGCAGGTCAGGAAGTGGTGCATTAGAGCGAGATCATCAACAGTCCAAGTCCATGTAGCGAGGACATCTAGAGAGGCTCCTGGAGCTGAGGAGCCTGTGACGGCTGATATGTTTCTGCATGGTGATGAAGTGTGGCTCGGGGTGCCGGATGATGAGGAAGCTGCCGGGGCACGGAGGCGCTGGCTGTGACCGGTAGAGTAGCCATCTTGGGGTGTATCATTGTGTCGAACCTCGGTGGCCTCTGAGTTCTGGGAACTATTCACACGACGAAGGGCATCGCGAGAGGCATAATCTGGGGTGTTCAGGTCTGAGCTTGGTGTTGACGACTGCAAGCTGCAGTTGTGTAGGGCTTTGGAGCATTGCCCGCACTTGGGCTTCACTTCGTCACACTGTGCTAGTCAGTAAGCTACGCAACCATGTAACGCAATATTAAAATCCTGCCTTTATTCTGCGCTTTTTGCACATCTCACAGCCCGCCCGCGACTTTTTATGCGGCCGCCGCTTCACGATGTGGCATGTTGTGCAGGTGCAGCCGGGATCGGCGTGAGCGGTCTGCGGAGGGCCAGCACCCAGCATCGGTAAGGTAGCTTGGTAAAGAATAGCTAAGCAGGATCAAATTGTTCTGCGTCTAGACGACGAATCAAATGTGTGTGGTAAAGTAGCCAATGGTAACTCCAGGTTGGGGGATTTTGGTGTGGTCAAAGTGAGGAAAGGAATACGAGACAAAATGAAGAAGACAAAAACCAAACGAGGATGGAGGTCTACGAGGTGGGGGGCACTAGCCAATCACCAACGAGCAGTGACTCAATCATCTCTTGCACCAGTCCCTTCTGTTTACCTCAATTGACTTCAACTGACCTCGGCTTTGATAGAGATACGAAGCAAACATATCCACCAGAGACTTACGTCTCAATATCGGGGGTCATCTTAATCTGCCTCGACGGTGCCTTTGTACTATATCAATGACGAACAGTTTATGCCTAACACTGATCCTTAATACCGCCAGACGACGAGTAGGACACCAATGTGACATTCACAGTGTATTCACGAGAGATTTGTGAGCTATCGAGGTTTTCTTCCGCGGCATTTGGGCACAAAAATTGTCAGAAGAAGTTTGACCATGAAGTATTACATGTAGAATGGGGCAACCTCTCATACTACACTGCGAAGTCCATGCTGTGAGCAAGAAGGACGAAATAGAATCGGTCCAAATAGCGTCTGTGAATGGCGATGAAACAGCCTGCTCATATTACCAAGTTGTCCAAGGCGTACAAGTTGAGTGGACCTAGGAGATTAGGCCCCTTCCTCCAAATCCCATCTGATCACCAAAGCAGAATTTTAGTTTACTCTGAGCAAGACCAGCAAGAGGTCGTATTACTCTTCGCACAAACGCCATCGAATATCGCCTTCTGCGGATACGGGCATAGCACTTGCTCTTGCGAAGATCCATCCGGCAGCGTCACAGTCACTGGTGACGACCCTGGCTCCGTCCCGTTCTCGACCCAAGCTCGAAGCTGCGCGAAAATAGTCTCGGGCTGCCCTCCTCTGCCACCCCAGCAGTGCTCGAGACCGGGGACGCGATAGTATTTGTAGAATGAGGTAACATTACCGCCCACGGCATCAGCGATAGTGTTGTAGTATCGGAGACTGCCGCCTGGGGAGATGCTCTGGTCGGCCTTTAAACTGTTAGCACAGTACCATGTAGAGTATTCGCGTGTCTGGCGTATGGAAACAAGAAATGAGGGGGGCATTTACGAGTCCGTGGTAGGTAATGATCTTGCCCCCGGCGTTCCTGAAGTCGCTCAGATCGGCCTCGTCGGTCTCCATATTGGAGGCGAAAACCAATTTGGTCGCGCGATGGATCATGTCAAATGTTGTGTACGTAAGGTTAGGCACTGTCGCATTAGAATCTTTGGCGACAAAAGCCCGCCATGCAAAAGCTATATTTGCCTCGCCGGCGCTGCTCCTGCAGACCTTGCCAGTGCACTCTGTTGGCGCGATGACGGATAGCTCGCTGCCCATCTCGTACCCGTCGTAGATGAACTTCCCGGTCGAGGAACGGGGACCAGTCCAGGAGGCGTTGGCCACGTTTGCGGCCGCTTGGCTGATATTGAGCGTCGAATTAATCTGGGCGCACTGGAATGACTTTCCAATCTGGGCAGAAACGTTGAAGTTTGCTCTACAGGCCTCGGGATCACTGATGAGGCCGTCTTTGACACCGTCTAGGTCGTCACAGGCGGAGACGGCCATGGCGGTGAGCGCATCGAGTTCGCACCCGAGCGGAAACTGCTGGGTCTTCAGCATGTAGTAGCTAGGCCAGATCGAGTTGAGGTAGAACTCGGCCCAGTTGACGGCGGGGGCGGCCGACATAATGCCATCGTAGGCGTCCGGGTATTGCTGCGCCAATTTGAGGCCCTGGCGGCCGCCTTGGGAGCAGGCATTCCAATAGGATCGCGTAGGTGGCTTGCCATAGAGGCTTTCGATGAGCTGTTTTGCTATAATGGTCTTTCCGAGAGGTTTGGTTAGCATTACGGTCTGTTACGTGCTGTTTTCGTGTTGTTGGCCAAGAGAAGCAGGATACCTCGTCATTCAAGGAGACCTGACCAAAGTTCTGAAGGGCGTTGGTGTCTAGGCTTCCCGGGCTCTTAAGTAGCCAGTCAATGGGATTAGGGGTGGTAGGAATCCCGGCGTCGGTGGTGACGGTCGCGTAGCCTTTGGCAACGGCGTTGATCATGGCGGCGTAGCTGAGAATGAAGCGACCGGGATTCCAGCCGCCTCCGCCGACGGACTGCAGGATGCCGTTATAATGGTCCACGGGCGGTAGCCACGCCTCGACTGTGAGGATGTCGTTCTGTCCCGGGTGCGTGTAGGTGACGGTGACGTTGCAAAAGGTGGCGTTCTCAACGTTGAGGGCAGGCTGAGAGTAGGCCCATCCTTTTGGGACATCAAAGCTGTAATCCTCGACTAGGTTGGCTTGTACGGCAAGGATGCTGGCACCTAGGAGTGTCGGGGCTCCGAACGTCGCGCTTGCGCAGCGGCTTGCGTTGACGGCCAGAGACATGACGGCGGGATGATGTATGAAGACTTGAGGTTTACAAGGAGGTTGTCAAAGAAATGAGGTGATCAGAGAGAACCGGATTCAACAACGGATCTTATTTCTTATAAAGCAGTTAGTTAGCACCGATGGCGAGTTTGTTAGGAAGTGAGTCCACAGTGAGGCCTCATAATCACTGGAATTAAGGATTCAATTCCTGTGGGGTTTGAGACCCATCGACCTAGAGATTATGATAGTGAATGGAAGGGGAACAGCTACCAGCATCTGCCCAGCAAATGAAAGACCAGGATCGATGTGCTAATGAAGTACATGAATGTGCTCGACAATGTCCATACCACTTCTCCTTCATCGTCATGCCGACAAGTATCTCTAAGACCTGGCAACAATCTTCACGGGCACCACTTCGGGGTCGCCGCAGCTGGAGGTGGGACTCTCCATTGCTTAGTGCTGGCTTCCGGCATGTCAGGTTCTTTCTCGAGGACGCAAAGAAAACGTTTGTGTCTGGGCGATGCCCAAATGACTTCCAGACTTTGAGCTGTGGTTCACGCACGCATGAGATCGAGCGACAGGGGTCGTATAAAATACGACCCCTGCAGGCGACTTGATCGTCGTCCGCTAAGGAACCTGCGACTCGCGAGTAAGTATCCATATTTGACATTGATTATGACTAAGTATCCACTCGTGGTCAAGACTTATAAAACAACTTCACTGGTGACGTTCGCGCTTAGAACAGGGCCAAGTTGACAATATTTGACTGCTATAGGCCGTCCCAATTGCCAAGCTGAGCTTTCTGGACAGTTTTGAGTAAGGCTTGACATTTACCCCCAACTCGTTTGTGGTACGGACCCTGCAGATCGAGAGAGGTCCTTTCAATCGCGCCTCTAATACAAGGACACCCTTGCTGTTATCAAATGCTTTTCTATCTGTGCGGGACTGGTAATGACTTCTCAGAGAACGTTCATGGAACTGAAGACTCCATGCGTTGAACGATGTTGAGGCCAAGGGCCTAAGCAGTGTCGGGCTCCAAGCATTTGGCATATTGTATAAAGCCAGGAGGCAGGTCCCTTTTGATGAAATGGCCAGTGAGCTCAGCCAGAGTTCTCACATTGTATCATTCTCTTCACGCTTTCACGGCACTTCGCGTTCTGTTTCTTGTACGATAAAAGAAACAGGACAGTGGCTCTCTTCTCCCAGCATTCATGGGCAGCTTCAACCAGTATTCTGCTTTTGCTTTCATCTGACTCTGTTCTCCGGAGCCAATCGCGCGGGATCCGAGTTGACCAAACCGACAACACGATACTCGATCAACTCGTTCTCAATAGTTGGAGAAAGCATCTTTACTTTCCACAGCCTACCGATATATCTTCGCCGGCCCTCTCACGATGCCGAGTCAAGAATGGCAGAGCGATCTCATGGACTGCAGCCCATGCGGCACCTGCATGATGGCCTCATTCCTTCCATGCATGGGTACGTCAAGCATACCTCCCCAGGCCATCTTACCTTGGTACATTGCCGATAACCCATACCGTCGCTGACCGATGCACTCCCCGTCTCTCACATCAGTCTTTGGCCAAACATCTGAACGTATGCGCGACCCCAGCCTTTCGGGCTACTCACCCGTCAACGGAGACTGCTTCATGCTCTCGGCCCTCGGCTCTATCGGTCTGGGTTGGTTGTAAGTGACATGTTGAACCGTCACCTCCTTGTTTTCTTTTCTCTTCAAAGCGATGATCGCGATGTTTGGTGGTCTACTGACTTTACCTTTCTACCCAGGTTTCTCATGAATAAACGCGGCGATATCCGGAAGAAATTTCATATCGAGGGGAGTACGTGCGGCGATTGCTGCGTGTCGTTTTGGTGCCCCTGCTGCGTGCTCATTCAGCATGAGAACGAGGTCAAGGGACGGACCGACTATGGGCCGATCAATACGGGGTATCAGTCACAAGCGCAGAATATGGAGATGAAGTAGACATGCGGATTTACGGCCTCGATTGCTTTTCTTGGTACAGGGCGGTAAAGATTGTACTTTACATACACATGTTGCGATTTGATGGAAATAAACTCAAGACTACGGCAAATTCTTACTACAGCTTTAGTTTCGAAGTCATAATCACTTCTCACACATGCAATCTGGCGGAGCACGTGCAATGATGAATGTGACTGGATCAATAGGATCATGAGGCACTTCGAATTACTTGATTTATCCAAGATCCAGGAAAACAAATAGGGCGATAGTCTTCTGCTCTGGCCAGACCTGGTGACCCATAGGCAGTGTGCGTGTAAGCGTGACGCCAGACACTCACATGCGGACCAATTTGTAAGAACGACCACAATTACCTCTAATAAGGCTGAATCCAGGGTCTGCACCTCGTCGCCGCGCAGAAGCCGTTGCAACACGGCCCGACATATTGCCCATTGGTACCATAACACTCCCCGTACGTCGGGACACAGACGCCGAGGCAGCTAACGCCCGTGACGGGCTGCGGCGGCCCGATGATGACCTGTTGGAGACCTTGAGGCGTGATGCCGCCGACCAGAGCCTTCTCGCCGTTTGTATAGAAGGTGCACTGGGAGAGGGCGTTGTAGTCTGGTGCGTCGATGATGTTGACCGAGATGTCATTGTCTGCGTGTTGAACAAGGGGTTAGTACTCTTACCTTAAACTCTCAAACAAACCACGGGCTGTATAAGGGGGAACTCACTGGTGGGATACACCTGTCCATCGGCGGGGATTGTCATCTCGTAAGACGCGGGACCACCGTAAAAGGTTAAGTGGACTGTCTGAGGGGCATCGCGATCTTCGAGCGGGTGAGAGAGGGATGGGAGGATGAAGGAGATTGAAGCGAGAAGCAGGGAGACCTTCATGATGAGACCTCTTGAGTTGGAATACTTCTAAGATGGGAGCGGTAAATTGTGTTGATGCTGGCGGAATGGTAAGCTGATGGGTAGTGCGAACTGCTCTGGACTTCCATCATACCTAGCGGTTGAGACTTGACACGCATCTTTATACTCACCCAGATACACGATCCAACAGACCTTAACCACCTACTCCTGACTTTGCGAGGAACAAAGATGCCTCGGCTCTCCCTCGTATGGGTAAGCCAGTCCCGTGCCTACCTACGCTGCTGTACGATCATCACTCGTCCTCCCACAACTGTCAATGGCCCGTCTTCGGGCATGACACCCGTACGACGGATACGAACTCACATGGTCTACGCCTCGAAAGATATTTTCGTCCCTTGTCAACCCAGCATCATCACGATGCGTCCCACTGGCAAAATTCGATCGGTACTGTCCCCCTCCCAGGCTAATTCCTCACTAATGCCGATCGATCTCGTAAAAAAAGAAGGTTGTGGCAGAAAAACCAGGGAAAACGTCCCGAGTGTGGCGTCAGTCGGACCAATGCCACGATCTCCCCGCAAGACACTAGAACTGATTGATCCTCGGGCTGACTTTGGTTCCAGTCGCTAGCGTGCGTGTGAAATCTCTAGGCAAAGTAGGCAGAAGCTGAAATGGCACCGGCATGGAGGGGAAGTGGAACACATTTTGTGTAAGGCCTCTTTTCCTTACTAGCTTTTGTTGGGAGCTGTTCGACAACATGAGGCACTGGTAATCGCCCCCTCGTCGGATGCATGCAGCTTGATCGCCCGCCAGTCCCAAGCCGGGTCTGGGGAACCTTAGACCCCGGGTCCCAGGGGCAGACTGACAAAAATCTCGTATCAGGGCGGAAGGAGAGGGGTTGCCCTGCGCATCGTACTGAGCATGAGACTGACGTCTATCTGGGACCATGTCTCAGTTGGGCCTTCTCTCAAGTGCAACCTAGAAGTCGGTGTGGATTTGAGAAGGATAAGACATGGCATTTTGTGATGTGCACGCAAGTATGGCAGTCAAAGATGATACGAAAGTGTTTCCCCCATCATTGAGTCGGATTAAAGGAGAACCCTCCGTGGCAACTCTTGGCATTCGGTGGTAATTTAGTCAAACTCGGATGCCGGCTGTGAGATCGGCCTCAGCTCCGGTCAGCTAAACGTGCGTCTGGCATCTGCATTCAGCGGTCAGCAGTGGGATCTCCTGGACAAGGACCCAATTGCCATCAAGTGTTTCTCCGAGGCATCTTTCATGCAAGGGTTCAAACGTTACAAGTAAGCTTGAACGTCTTCCGTTCCATCGAGGTCGTTGAGCAATGTCTGACTTTCTCGATGTCTTGAAACTCCGATTCTAACATGTAGCTACTTGATGTTCTCGTATTCCCATAGTAACACCCTGTGAAGGGGTATCCGCGAATACCTCTAACCTCGCCATAGACGTTTTCCCGAATTGTCTTGTTTTATCCCACCATATCTTAATAGACATGGTGGTGAGATCTATCATGTGGAGGCGCAAGAGGCGCCACGTTGACGCTTAGGTTATCCGACTCACACGCGTCGCCATCCCAAGGGCCGCAATCAGGCTGGCAAATTGTCCCGCTTTCCGGCACCGTCCCGTGCTCAAGGTACTCCCGAATAATCTCGGTCGTGCACTTGCTCCCCGTCGCAAAGGCAGCGTGGCCCACCGACTCCTGAATTACGACAGCTGAACCGGGGTGTCCCGCACTCGCCCTGAAGGCGTTCCTCAATGGCGTCACGGGATCGAGCCGCGACGACATGAAGAGCAGCGGCGCCGCAGGTCGCCCCTCCACAATCGTTGCGTCATGCGGCGGCGTTGTAAACGGGCCCGTAAAGCGCCACTTGGGGCGGACGAGCCAGCTCGTGCAGGCGAAGCGAATCTGTCCCCAGTAGCCGGCGAAGGTCGGAGACTGTGATTCGAGCTCCGCGACATAGGCCCTGTAGTCGGCGAGGGTCATATTCGTATTGTCTTCGCCGTCGCCGCAGAGGACGGCCTGGCCGCCATCTCCCCAGGAGAGCCGCAGATCTGTGGCATTCGGATGGGAACAGGCCTGGTCAATCTTCGGAATCTCGGCTGAGACGGATTTCAGGATGGCGGTGTAGTTTCCCTCGATGGCAGCGTTGATCTCGTTGGCGAGCTTGATGAAGCGAGTGTAGGGTGCGTAGAGCGGGTTCTTGAAAGAGAGGACGACGTCGTAGCCTGTTAGGATGTTTGTCACCTTGCCGTCGAGTACCGCGACGGGGGCTTCGTCGAGACGTTTCACGAGCTGATCGACTCGATCACGAATGTCTTGCCACTTCTTGTCCGAAGGCCGTCTCAGCGCGCATTTCTCCTTAGCCTCATAGCATGTCTCGTAAAAGTAATCGACAAGCTTTTCCGTGTCTTGAAGGTTGGTCCTCCAGCCCTAGTCACACGTGTGTTAGCCGCGTGCGAAGAGGTAAAGGGGAACATTTCAACACTCTTACCCCTGCAACGTAGTCATTTGAATCCGCGATGCCATCAACAATGAGCCGGCCTACGCGCCCGGGATACATGGAGGCGAACGTATTGCCGAGAATGCTGCCATAGGAGAAGCCCCAGTATTGAATACGCGGCACGTCCTTAACCTTCCGGAGCTCCAATGACTGCTCGGGTTGCGAGGCTGCTGCTTTTTCCTTGCGAAGCTCGTCAATCTTGTCCACCATCTCGACCATGTCGCGACAGACAGACGCCGTCGTAGCAAATGGAATAATGGAGCCGTTGCCCGGCTTCTCGGTGCAGAGCCTGCCGTACCCCTGAATCCTCGCCCACTGCCTCCTCAATGCATCCGGGCTGGCATCGAGCGGCCCGATGGCCAGACGCTGGATGTTGTCCGTGTCCCTTGCGAGTTCGTCCTCGTAGCAGTCGGCCACGGGCGTCGTGAATTGCACACCGCGCGGATCCCAGCTCAGCATCTCGTACTTTTTGCTGCCGCCGCTTAGCGTGCGGCGCATATCGTGGCCATTGCGGAGCAGCAAGCTCACGCCGGAGCCACCAGGCCCGCCTGGGTTGGTGAAGACGGTGCCCCCGAAGGACGGGTCGTCGTCAGGGACGGAGGCGGGGAGCTTGATGATTGCGATAGCGACCGTGTGCTCGTTAGCCTCGTCGAGCCAGTCGAGGGGGACACTGAGACGGGCGCATTGGTAGTCTTTGTAGCATGGGTGGTATTCCAGCTTGCGGGCGGGCGTGATGGTATCCCAGTCAAAGTCGGTGATCTTGGGAGGGTCAGGCTTTTTGGCGGCAGTGAAGCCGACAAGACCCGTGACGGCGGCCAGGCCAATTGGCACCTTCATTGCGTTCAGGCTGTGAAGGACTGCGACGAAGCGATTGTATTTGTGAAGAAGTTGATGAGTTTCTCGATGCAGAAGGGTTGAAGGGTGATGGGTACTCCGTAGATGACGTTGGGCAAGGAGGTCGCGTCCGCTGTGGCTTCCACAGTGTTCGTCGCTGCTGCCAATCACCCGGCGCGCTTTAGTTTATCGCCGAACTCCAGTCAATGTCAGGGAAGGCACCGGTCGATACGATTAAGTTGAAGATGAACGGCGTGAAATGAGGGGAAGCTTTCAAGGGCCTGAAGAATGAGTTGAGCAACCGAACAGCCTTTTGCTGCGTCAGCATGGCCTGCCTGTAGGCCTGTAAGCGCGGCGCGCAATGATCCCGTCTTACGCCCTTTTGTGCACCAGAAGACCACATATTGTATGCCGCCAGGCGGAATGAGGAAGGTAGAAACACACACCTTGATATGGGCGAGATTGATGCGGTCATTCTAAAAACTCATTTGAAGATAGATTCTACTATTATAAGTCAAAAACTGTGAGGGTACATGAATAATTATGAAAACGCCGTGACGCCTGCTGTTCAAAACCTCATAGCTTTCCACACATGCACTCACTCACTCATCAGCTCTCATTCACTCATTCACTCATTCGCCCACTCAGCCACACTCAGTCAAGCCTTCGCATCCGACAACCGAATAAGCGATGATCCAACCCCCGTACTGCTCGCCCACTGGCGATGAGCATCCTGAATATCCTCGAGCTCCCACACCTTCTTGATGGGAACGGTGATCTTGCCCCCAGCCACCAACTCAAGCAAAGCCTTCAAATTCGGCTCAAACGTCGCGTCGTCGCGCGTAATGTAGTAAAACTTGGTCCTCTTGCCGCAGAACGGCACCATGCCGCGCGCCATAAGTTTCATCGTCGGCAAGATTACAGAGCCATGCTCCGAGTCGTCGTTGAGTGAGCGCAGGTTGCCGCCGTATCCGACCAGGATACCGGTGGGTGATAGAACCGAAAACGACTCATCCCAGCTCTCGAACCCAAGGGGATCAAACACGGCGTCCGCCCCACCAAGCTCCTTCACGGCCTGCATCCATTTCTTGTCCGTGTACACGAACGGGTGGGCCCCTTGTTCCCGGGCGGCGGCGTGATTCCGCTCCGATGCCGTGCCGTAGACCTCGGCACCCTGCAGCTGGCACAGCTTCATGAGAGCGTAGCCGACGGCCCCGCTGACACCGTGGATGAAGACGCGTTGCCCTTTGCTGACTTTGGCGACGTCAAAGACCATGGCGTACGCTGTGTTCCAGTCTAGGATCAGGGCTGTGGCTTGCTGTAAGTCGGTGCCGGGGGGTACTCTGATGAGGTACTTTTCCGGCAGGTTGACCAGCTCGGCTTCGGCGTCGTAGATTGTGAGGCAGGCGACGAGATCGCCCGGTGAGAGCTTTGATGTGCACCCTGGGCCGGTGGTCTTGACGGTGCCGACGAGGCAGTAGCCCGGGGTCAGCGGGGCCTTCTTCTGCAGTGGGTAGACGCCTTTGCGCATGTTGATGTCGGCACCTGAGAAACCGGAGTAGATGGTTGAGACCTGGATGTGGTTTGCCGGAGGCGGCTCGATTGTGTCCTGGATGATTTGAACCTTGGAGACATCGCCGAACTCCGTGATGACGGCCTTGCGGATAGTGG